TGTTTATCATTGTATTATCATTGTTTATTTATCACTGCATTTACTATCATTGTATTTATTGCATTTATTATATATCATTGAATTTATTATCATTGTTTATCATTGTAATTATTATTTATCATTGTATTTATATTCATTGTTTATCATTGTATTATCATTATGTATTATCATCTAAACTTGTGGTATCGTTTTCATCTAATTTCAAGTTGCAATGCTTTAGTAGCGTATAGTGTTCTTCCGTTATGTTATGGCGTAAGCTCGTCCGCGCCCCGCGGCATATCTTGTCGACAATTATTACGTCGTATCTCTCATGAGTTGGATGGAGCCGCATGTATCTCGTATGATCAATTTTTGGAGGTCCCTATTTACGTTTTCTTTATTGAGGATCAGTAAATCCTCTATTTGCATAAAATATTTGGGATATTATTTGTGACTACCACCGTATTGGCGGTCGCCCTGTTCTTTCAGCCCGGCATATTGCCGGCTGCGCAAAATGCCTAATTTTATTTGCTTGCATTCTGGCTACCCTTGTACGTGTACTCTGTGCTTTTCTCATAATATCAGTGCGAATCAAGTTGTGACTGATTTAGCGCATCTTTATTCATCCGATTTGTACGATTTTCCCGCACAATTTTCTACATCAAATCTGATCTTTAATCGTTTTTTACGTTATTATCTTCGTAACTCAGCCGTATCTGATTCGACAATTGTGCCCTTGCCTTTGTTGTCGCTTTAATTTTCCACTCTATTTTATCTCACGCATTGGATTAACTGTGGAACGTAATGTTCGCAATGGGACGCAGACGGAAAACGGTTGATCCACTAGTTGCAGTCGGAAGGAACTCCGGCAGGATCTCCAAGCCTGCACCGCGACGTGGCCGACCGCCTAGAGCGCCTGCTCTTAAGGTCACTACTGCTTCTCGTCCAAAGCCCGATCGGTTGTCAGAACTTCTTGTACTTAAGCGGCAATTGTTTGAAGAAATCAACCAGATGACAGGGACTTCTGAGCATTTACCGGTATCACCGCTCTCACCGATGCGCAGTGTTCGGTTTTCTCCTCTCCTGAGCGTACAGGTAACGGTAGCGTTGTGAATATGCCTACCAAGAAAAGCTCTAATGCCGCAGTTCCCAGTTCCCAGCGTTCTTAACCGGCTTGGTGTAAAGCCTGACGCGTTAATTCAGTATTCGGATGACATCACTGATCTACCAGCCGTTGCTGAAAAACTAAGCAGCTTTGTTTGATCATTCTGCGTTCGCTGATTTTACCAAATTATTCCTCTTGTCTTTTGTGTTCGAATTTAATTTACCTAAAATGCGTCGTGACGAATTTTGTCAACCATTATCAGCCGTATCAGCGGCCGGCCAGCGCGCTAATGCTATGAGCTTTCCAAATGTGGAGTCGTGGACTCGTTGTCACCACATTTTTATGTCATACTGGATTTACAATAAGCCAGAGTTTGTTTTGCCAATGTTAAAATATCTCGACATTATGGCAAATTTTGCTCATTCATTTGACACCGCTCAGTGGTTTCCTTCCGATCAGCGCTTTCGAATGCTTGCTCGTATGCACCCGAATAATGCCGCCATTTGGTCCCAAGAGTGATCATGGAATTTATAGAATGTGCTTCATGACTGGTTTTTCCAGCATGCGCCCGGGCGGAAGTCAGACAGCGTCTTTTGAACGTTCGACCCAGTCAAATGTTCCACCACCATCCAACTGTTGTTATAAGTGTAACGTGCCTGGTCAATGGATAAAGAAATGCCCTAATCGGCGTAAGGATCCTCCTAACCGTTATGCGGAACCCCAGCTTTTTCGCGGGCGCAGCGAGACGGATGACCGTCTCTGTTCTAAATGGCAATGTGGATTCTGCACTTCACCGTGCCAGTACGGAAAGTTGCACCGCTGTGCAGCGTGTGACGCCGGTTCCCATGGTTTGCGCAAGAAGCGCTCTAGTGTCGGCGAAGCCGACACAAACCGACGCATTACATGCGCCATCGTCCTGACCAGCATTTTATGCAACAGTCCACCATTTGATGCAGCATCATATTTCCGCGTCAACACGGAAAACATATTTGACCGTGTTAAATCAGTTTTGCGGTTACTGTCTGCTCCCTTTTGCAATTCGTCATTGTTCACCGAAATCAACATTCTGAATTTTATTGCTCATTTATATCGTTTCGGTCATAAGTTTTCATCTGTTCGGACATATCTTGCCGGAATTTCAAACTTTGCGCTGGAAAGCGGTGTGTCTAATCCGCGTTATCTGTTAAAGTTCAACATGCATTGAAGGGATTTCAGCGGTTGGCTCTTATCGTGCCTAATAGCCGAACGCCAGTTTCACTTGATATAATGTGATTATTGAAAGCCAGAATTATTGCTTCATCCTTATCATTATATGATCTTTCTCTACTCTGGTGTGCAATGTGCTTCGCTTTCTTCGGGATTTTTACGTGTCTCTAAATTTGCGGTCTCATTGAGTAATAAGCATACTGTTCTATTCGCCACGTTACCTTCGATGGTCATCACGTGTCTTTTGTTATTCCAAGTTCTAAGACTGACAAATTTTCTCACGGTTACACACTGCATTTTTATCCTACTGAGCGTCTCATTTGCCCCGTTCGGGTGTACATCCGTTATTCGCGATACCGTGCTCATACGAATGCTCAAACACCATTTTTCGTGTTCCGTGATGAATCATCATGGTTTCGGAATTAATTTGAATGTTGTTTGCGTCGGTTATTACCGGAATTTCCTGATATTCATTCCCATGGTCTTCATGTTGGCGCCGCAACCACTGCGCTGGCGATGGGTTCATCTTGTCAGCAAATACAATCTGCCGGACGTTTGAGATCTTCGGCATTTTCAAGTTATATTCGGGATATCCTGCCAATTCAATCGTTTCGCATGTACTGATTTCTGTTTGGGGGCTTGTTTGGGGCGTTTTTTTGTTTTGGTTTATTGTACTTTCATTGTGTGTTCATTGTTCATTAAAATACCCGGCAAACCCACGATACGGTGTTCTGTTTACATCCACAGCGAGCGGCAGAATTAAAAGGAATTATCGGAGATAATTAATGTTAATTCTGGCGAGCGGCATGCTTTTGCCTCGCCCTGACATTAATGTGCTGTCGCGGGACAGATTTATTGGTGGCCATCTGGGTGGTCAGATAACATTTCTTAATGTCGCTCTGGTTTTCATGCTGCCTTTCGGCAGCTTCGCATGCCCATCTACCATTTGTGAAAATCTTTGATGCAGTCCACATCGACTGCGATTTTCCCCACCCACCCGTTCCCGTTTGTATCGAAGATCTTTGGGAGGGGGCGTTGGGAGTGGGGCGTTTTTTGTTTTGGTTTATTGTACTTTCATTGTGTGTTCATTGTTCATTAAAATACCCGGCAAACCCACGATGCGGTGTTCTGTTTACATCCACAGCGAGCGGCAGAATTAACCGATTTTATCGCGGGTTGTCCACCCGATGTGGCACTGCATTTTCTCCATAATACTTACGTCTATTTCGATCGAGCCATCGCCAAAGTGTCGGTGTATAAACTAGAAACCATCGGGAGCAGCTATGTGGTATGTATTACGCTTATTGTTATCTCAGTTGCTATTGACCGTGACCTTATTTGTAGTTTGTTTAGGCAGTCAGCGGACTTGTCGAAAGGATAGGTAAACGCCATGCAAACGAAATCTGCCGGTTGGCAAATTTGCTACAAACGGAATTTCACCGGATTATCGAGGATCCACGGTTGGGCTTGTTGATTGGAATACACAGTGGGCCGGTCGCCGTGGGTGTGGTTGGGATGAAGAAACCGCGTTATTGTTTGTACGTGCCACAAACCATATTTTCAAAATTTAAACTGATTGGCTATCTCAATTTGCCGAAAACTGTATTGATCGGTCACAGGTTTGGAGATACGGTAAATACCGCATCTCGAATGGAAAGCAACGGTCTTCCGGGGAAGATCCATGTTAGTCCACATACAGTACCCATTGCACAAACGTTCGGACACAAGTTTGAAACACGTGGGAGAATGACGATTAAGGTAAACATATTATTTGTCCCATCCTTGTTTCAAACTGTAAACTGCTTGCTCATTTCTGTTTGCTGGTAAATTTTATTGTTCGAATAATTTCATTTCATTGTGCATTTTTTCATTCGTTGCTTTCACTGTAATCCAGGTCTATGTCACTGAATGTTGACCAGTTCCGTTTATTAGGGTAAGGGAGAGATTCTCACTTACTGGTTGATCGATTGATACGATGTTATCGTTGGATCCTTTCGCACAAATACTCGTACTTGTAGAGTGGTTGTTGACTTCTTCGATACATCATGTTTGCATTGCACTAATGAAAATGACATGCCGTATAAAATAACGGTCACGCACATTAAGCATTTCCATGCTGTTGACTATTAGCACACTTACAACCAACTTGCTGTGCAATTTAGAATCTGCTGAAATTCAACATTAACTGTAAAAACTGAATATGCGATCGTGTAAATAAGTACTTCACCAATATTATTTGTTTTTACCAAAATTTAATGCTGTCCCGTGACTGTTGTTTATACTGCACATAATCTGGAAAATAGGAATTTAAATTTGTTTAGTACAGTGTCGGATTGATTGCACGATCAGAGTTAGTCGGAAAACTGTTTAGATAAAGTGCGCAACATATAAACGCAAGAAGTTGTCTACATTGCTTTCTCCGAAACTGTATATGTATTTAAAAAATCGACCGGAAGCAAATAAGGAACGATTTTACACGTTTCTTCATACCTTGAATATCTCGTAAAGATAGGACTGGAGAACACACATCCATTAGTGATTAAGACACACCCCCACGCGGCTGGCTTGTCAAATCTGTAATTCGCGATTCCATGTTGCGCATTCATATACGTATCTAGACATGCAAACTTCGGGCAGTGTGCGCATTGTGAGTGGATTTTTACAGCCTGCCAGACTAGAATTAATCAGTCATATTGCATTAACCTTACCCTCCTTTGTGAGCATTTCCTGATGCCGACAGTTGCAAACGTAATGTCTCCGGCGTAGAACTAGCAGTACCGCATGTTTAGATCTACGACGGTACAACAGTTACTACCCTACGAATATACACTGGATACGTACAAAAGTCTGCAGGATATCGAGTAGAATTCCGCAATATGTTGGGTAGGAGTTATTCCAATGATCTACTTCTACACTGCTTAATCCTGAACGGCATTTTTACGGAATCGGTTGGTTTGGCCAACGTGACGTTGATGGTCTACGGAACATGGCCAGCATTCCTGGTGCAGTCGCTGCCGTTTATGGGACCAGGCTTTGACTTGGCCGTTGACCAAGTACAAGACGCGTTTGCCTCAACGCTCAGTATGTCCCGTATTTATGTGTCGAGTAAAAATGTAAAGGACGGTGTGGACAGCGGTGCTTATTTTACGGATGTCGTCGACTACTATTATCGGCACGAAAATCATACCTCCCATTCACGTGAACAAAATGTACTTGTCCTTATTTATTCAGGTGCGAATGGCAAAACACAAGCACTGTGTAAATTAATTTGGATATTTCAGTTAAGCTGTTTGGCTTGTTTTACTCTGCATACCTTTATAGTACGCTAAAGTTTTTGTATGCCTTGAAGTCGCCTTCGAATTAGTGTTTTAACGGTTGCATTATCTGTTTGCCATGCATTTTGAAACTGACGCATCCATGAACGACAGGCTGCGATGACTCTCCAATGTTTGCCGAACTGGGAAGAGGTAAGATTTAAGTCCAACGAACTGTAGAATACGTACTGCAAACTAATCCATAACACAATATGTTTATAATACTTATCATTAAGAAGACCTAGGGTTACCGTATTTCGTTTGTTATGTAAGCTTTACAATCGTTGTGGTCCCAAATTGTCTTTTTGTAGAATGGAACATGATGGTTGTATCGTGGTAAGTTACCTACAGATTATGATTAAATTATATGGATATATGTTTTACCGTAGCCAGGTAATTTTTTGATGGTGCGTTATTAAGAAGGCTGGCATGTTTTGGTGCCATTTTACGCATTCTCTGAATCGATATCAAAACAAAGCACGGGTGGCAGCGTGTGAATGCACAGGAATCCAGCTAATAAGCGTACCATCATTTGCGTAAAGCCAGGTTTCTTGAAACGTGCTTAATGCGCTTAGCAAGTAATAACGACATTCTACAATATCACGGCATCCGGTATCCCAACGTTTTAATTAGCGCAGCTAACATTGATTCACCATGTAGTGGTACAACATTCTCCAATTTGCGCAATCGGGATCGGTTTCCCACGACCATCGCGGCCGGACCAGTACAGTACGATCTGCATGCATCGGCCATACTGGATCTGTGTAACCGGTACAACTGGACCACGATCGGTTATCTCTACGACACATCCCAGCTAAATCCGTTTAATTTACGCTCCTACCAACGCGTTAGTCGATTTCTACGCATTTACGCACCGCACATTCAGATCAATCCCTTCGCGGTACAAGATCCCTACCGTTATAAGGAGCTTAATTACGAGCTTCTGCTGAACCGTATTGCACAAACTTCACGAGGTGGGTGTAAGGTGTTCTCAATCGCTTTAACACAACGGTAATTACGGGGCCAGGGTCAAAAAGAGGGAGGAATTTTGAGAGGGAGGAATTTCTGCGTGGTCAAAAAGAGGGAGCAATTTCTGAAGCGAGGGAGGGAGGAATTTTGATATGGTCAAAAAGAGGGAGGAATTTTTTCGAAGTTCAAATGAAGTACTTAGGGACCTCGAACCCAGGTCTCTGAGGTCGCCACCGAGATTTTCTCATTATATAAACAGTTTCAAGGGCTGAGTCGAACTGAAGTACTCTGGGACCTCGAACTTGGGTCACCGAGGTCGCCACAGAGATTTTCTCATTAAGCGGGCAAACGAAGCGAGGCCGCGTTTCTTATTCAAGACATCTTGAGGGTTCGATGAAACGGAAGTTCCAGTGACCTTTAGGTCGCCATGTGACCTTTGGATCGCCACCGATTTTTATGATGATTCCTATACACTTTGACATGCTGAGTCGAACAAAAGTATTCGGGGACCTCGCACTGGGTCCCCGAAGTCGCCATCACGACATGTACCATATATGCACAGTGTGACGTGCTGAGCCGAATTTAGGTACTCGGGGACCATCTAACCCGGGTCCCTGAGGTCGCCACTATGATATGTGCCACATATGCACAGGTTGCTATGGTGAGTCGAACTGAAGTGCGGGGGGTTCTCGGATCAGCGTCCGCCAAGCCGCCACCACGATATTTATTTTATATGCATACTAGTTGATGTGATTTATCAAACCACTGCTGGAGGAAGTAGATACCAAGATTATTTCTAAATATTCATAAATGTTTTCAAATTCTTTCACTAATATTTCTTATTATATTTCCACATATTCCTAAATATATTTCTTATTATTCTAGAAATTTTTCGACCTATTCGTGACTAGATTTCAACATATTTTTTCATAGTAAAAAGTATATCTGTAAATATGTCTTAACACATTTCTGAATTTATTTTTGATTATTCTAAAACTAAGCTTCTGGTATTTCTGCACATATTTCTATATTTTCAAAATATTTCTTAATACGAAATATAATATTTTTAAATATTTTTTAATATTCCTAAATACTTCTACATATTTTTTTCTATATTTCTCATTAATTCTATGAATATTTTTTGTGATATATTTTAACATTTTTCTAAATTTATTTTTAAAATTCTGATATATTTCTAGATATTTCTGAAAATATTAATTGGTATTTTTTGATAGGTTCTGATATATATAATTATTTCTAGATACATTGCTGAATGTTTTGTAACAGACAAGCACGAGGAGATCACGAGTGAGCTTTATTGTACAGATAAAGGGGAACAAGGCTGTGTAATAGCAGGAAAGCAAGAACAAAGCACTGATGGCTAAAAATAGCAAGTGGATGCTAGAAGGGTTCTTGAGCGTCTGATGGCGTGAAAGGAGCAACTGGCGGCAACCACGTGCTGTGTGCCATCAGCTGTGTGATGATGCGCAGACTGGACTCAATCCAACGCGAGCGTATGAACGCTGAGTCATACTGCGAAAGAGGGACGAGAGAGCAAGTGTGGCTCAGTGTGTGCGCTGCGTATGTCCGCTTCCACGGATGAGTACAGTGCAGCAGCACACGTACGTACAGCGAGAGAGGCGCTAACGGCATGCAATGGGTGCAAGTACGTCCTGTGTGGACTGTACGCACCAGGCGCAGTCGTACGCCTCTGACAGTTTCATAAATATACTAATTACGTTATTAATTTTTAAATACTTCTATTTCTATTAACACATTTTTAAATATTTCTACTTCTTACTTGCTCTACCATTTTGTATTACGTAAAACGAATACGTTAAAATCCTAAATACAGTGTTGAGAGTATTTGAAAAATAAAATACCTTAAACATAAAACTCGTTAATAAAACCAGGTTTTTAAAAACCGCCATTTCACTTTGAAATTTAGGTATTTTAGGTATTTTTAGGTATAAAATTCGACATGCCACGTATTTTATTACTTTGAAATTTAGGTATTTTAAAGTAATAAAATACGTGGCATGTCGAATTTTATATAACTAGAACCTCTGCGTTTCAATCCCTGCTGATTATGTTCTAAACAAATTACTTTTGTGTAATGCTACTGTAGAGATAAATTCGAACACCACTTTCCGATTAAATTTCTTAATGGTTACCGCAAGCTTTAGATCATAAATTCATATTCCTTAATCTGCGGATGACAAGTTGTAACATAAATACACATGACACAATGTTTCATAATGAGACTCTTTAATGTACCGGTTTGTTTTAAAAATCATTGAAATCTCATACAGTGTGTAGTACTGTAACTCCTAGTATAAGGTCTCATACGCCCTTAGGGCAAGCGGGCGGCGGTTTTAATTTTAAAATGTATAAGGCAACGATGGCGTTAAGATTTAACACGTAAGCGCCGAAGCTGCAGAATCAGCCTAGCAGATTGGGGCTTTAGTTGCAGATCTAAATTTTTATTATGAACCATTTGTTAAAATCGCACATGTAAATGCGCATAGGTATGTGAACCGTTTTCATACCAAACAACTGATCTAGCAAGTTTTTTTCCTAAACACACAGATATCCAAAAAATTTTTCTTAAGCTTGGAAAGAATACCAAACTTTGGTTCCGTCACTTCCGCCTGAAATCTTACCGACCGGTTGTTGCGCACAAAAAAAACGCGTTCACGCTCATGTACGGACAACCTGTAATTTTGCACGGTTTATTAAAATTACTTCAAAACTCTATGGAGGAACCATTAACATCTCATTGTATAACTTCAGTAGACAGCATCATCAAAGTTTTGTTGTCGGAGTTTTGCATACATCGTACGTTCTTCCCAGTATCGCCTGTTTCCAATTGATTTTGACTATATTGTTTTACTAATGATGCAGAATTATCCAAGCATCATATGCAATTAACTATAATGTCTGTTTTAAAAATTAACTGCATAGTGCTTTTAAAATAACTGCCTTTAAATTAAAAAGGAAAATTTAGGAATCCGTTCGAAATTCCCAATTCAAATTGATTTGAACGGGTAAATACAACTTTTTCAAAAGAGAATTTAAGTGAAAATGATTTTGATTTCGGCCGTAATTGCAAAGTTAAACGGAATAATTTACTTTTCGTTTAAAAATCATGAATTACTTTGATATTTTGGATTTTTAATATAAAAAATAATTAAACAGCCAGAAAATTTTTAGAATTTCCGTTTATTTTTATTCGAGCGAGCTTTATCTCATTCTTTATTCATCACTTAACACTGTGAGTTAAGTTCTATTGCGAATCGCTTTTCATCTTTTGCTAACCTATCCTGTGTAGATGGATGTGTATGAAATATATAGGAAAATAAATTCATTGGAACTGATATATCGGTGTTTTCGCGCAAAATTTTTGAAAACCAAGTAACGCCTCAAATAATGTTCGTTATTAGTTGTTTTTTGGCTATTGTACCCGACCAGTGCTGAAGTGGTTTTCGGGTAGCTACTTAGATTTAACTTCAGATAATGAGCCTTCTTATGGACTTAAAGATGGTAGTACGTATTGGAAAACCAAGATTGTGCCTATTATTTACTTCAAATCGAGGCTCTTTGAATAATAAAACTTACACATCTAAAGTATTTTGGCATCAAATATATTGAACTATTCAGATGTCTTCACTTTTAGCTATTTCAATATTTGTATATGCACCGACCTTGATATTCTGGTGTACGAAAATTCAGTCATCTTTGTAGGCTTGTAGATGTTAAGTAACTCTGTTGTTTAGATTTCTTAGCATTTTAAACAATTCTAAAAAAATAAAAAGTAAAGCTTCTAGAGAATAAAATTCTTGCATGTTCAAGTATTAAGGTGTAAAGCTTTATTGGGCTTAACAATTGAGGTTTTCACTTTTAGATAACGAAATGCAAAATATTTTCGAGTGAAAGCTCAGTTTTCAGATATATTCAGATACTGTAACCAGAATCTGGACATCCGGTAACTGAAAATTTATTAGGTTTTTTTAAAAAATCAGAAATATTTAGAAATATTTAGAAAATTTAGAAATATTTAGAAGTATTTAGAAACATTTAGAAGCATTAAGAAACATTTAGAAATATTTAGAAATATATATATTTAAAATATATTTAAATATATTTAAAAGTTGTGGATATGTACAGAAATATCAGAAAACATAATTTTAGAATAATCAAAAATTCATTCCGAAATGTGTTAAAACATAATCGCAGATTCGAGGGACGCGGTTCCGAGGTCCCGGAGCACTTCGGCTCGACTCAGCATAGCAACCTGTGCACATGTGGTACATATCATAATGGCGACCTCAGGGACCCGGGTTCGATGGTCCCCGAGTACCTTAATTCGGCTCAGCACATCACACTGTGCATATATGGTACATGTCGTGAGGGCGACCTCGGGGACCCAGTGTGAGGTCCCCGAGCACTTTAGTTCGACTCAGCATATCAAAGTGTACAGGAATCATCATGAAAATCGGTGGCGACTCAAAGGTCACGTGGCAACCTAAAGGTCACTGGAACTTCCGTTTCATCGAACCCTCAAGATGTCTTGAATAAGAAACGCGGGCTTGCTTCGTTTGCCCGCTTAATGAGAAAATCTCGGTGGCGACCTCGGTGACCCAAGTTCGAGGTCCCCGAGTACTTCAGTTCGACTGCCCTTGAAACTGTTTATATAATGAAAAAATCTCGGTGGCGACCTCGGTGACCCAAGTTCGAGGTCCCCGAGTACTTCAGTTTGACTCAGCCCTTGAAACTGTTTATACAGTCTGTATAATGAGAAAATCTCGGTGGCGACCTTGGAGACCTGGGTTCGAGGTCCCAAAGTACTTCATTTGAACTTCGAAAAAATTTTTCCCTCTTTTTGACCATATCAAAATTCCTCCCTCCCTCGCTTCAGTTTTTCCTCCCTCTTTTTGACCACTCAGAAATTCCTCCCTCTCAAAATTCCTCCCTCTTTTTGACCCTGGCCTAATTACGGAGTTATCCAATCGCCTTGCAGTCATGTTCATTTCTGCACCACCTTGGATGACCAGAGAAGTTATGGTAAATCTTTCTCTAGTTTGTATCTTTACTTTTGCATCGGCATAAGTTCTACTGCTGTACCGAACGCCACTCTAGTGTACCGGAAAGCACACGCATACAGTTCATAAGACCTTAAAAAAATGTTTTGAAGAGTAACAGTAACAAAATTAACAGAAATCACTTATTGTTGTTTCAGATAAGAGCATATTTGCGGAACCAGACAACCGGAGAATACGTGAGAGAAAATTAGGCTTTGGACTGTGACGACTGTATACCGTATTTTGTAATTCCGTGACATTTTGAAGGTGTGGTTTACGGTGGACCTCAATGAGCACTCTCTTGGGCCGGTGACGTGGCAGCGAAACGAAACTGATGACGAGGTGCGCCTAAATAATCCGCACGAAATCATAATTACCCATAATACTACACAAAACCATAGTAATTTTGCAAATTTGATGGGACAGGTTGCAAGAGCTGCATTTGCTGGAATGTTTCAAGTAATAAATTGTTGGAATTATGGATCTGAGATCGACAATTTGCGAAAAAACTGGAAAGAACACACAAAAACCGACTACAATGCAACTTATCCAGGCAGAAACGGTGTACGGCCAAAGTTCCACTGTGAATTAAAACATCACCTGAATTTGTGCTTTCGTTTTTTGTAGCCAAATGAATTTACAATAATCGCATACGGTATTGTCCATGTGTTAGCCCAGGTAATTCGATGTAACGATTGTAGGCAATTTTGAAAACTGTGTTCGAAACCTGTTTTCTTAGGCGGTTAACGAAAGCGTCGCTGTCGGTGCGGACCCAACCAATGCTCGAGATCTAACCAAACGTTTACAAGATCGACAGTTCACTGTACCGGTTGTTGGAGCGTTCCGGATTGATCAGTTCGGAGAGCGGCAAAATACAGTCTGTGTCAATGCTTTTGACAGCGCTAATGGTCAGTTTGAGGTACTGTCGGAAAACTGTGCCAATGGATCTCCCTTCACTTGCTGCACTTGTCTCTAAAAACATTATTCAGCGTCAAAGTTATTTACTTGCCTAAACGGCAAAATATTGTCTAGAGGAAGCTCTTCTGTGATTTTACCAATTCCAAACTCAAGGCCGTTCGCAATATGACAATAGTTTGGCAAACTTCCACCGGTGACCCTCCACTCAGCGAACCATGGTGTGGTTACACGGGAGATGCGGTGCGCTGCCGAAATTCGGGTGTGAACAGCAACAAATTATTGCGGCTGCTTAGTGCTTACTGAAAATTGTTAACGAAAGTTTGAGGCAGGAAATGCAGCTACGATCGCAAGCGCCCTGGGAGCCACCCTGACGGTCTTGGTTCTCCTTCTCATCGCCATTTTCCACGTGTGCGTAATATATTGTTGATGCAATCATGCATTCAGTACAATTCAGTGATCGTTAAAATGGAATGAATATTTTTGACTGCTGCAGAAACCGGAAAAGTCAAAAAGCTCGTGATGTTTGGTGGAAAATGTCACTTGACCAAATAACGATCCAGGTCAGACTAGGTGCTCAGTTAACTGTAATCAAGTGTTTGCGTGGTTCCATCATCATACTGTAGACGCCTTCCAAAACGACAATCAACGGGGAAGATAGAACGGCCTCACAAGGAAAGGGCATGACCATTGCACAGGAACGCTTCATCTGGATTCGCAATTTTAAACGGACAACGAATGCCCCTTTTCCAGATAAACATGCAGTTCAAACCATGAGAAAAGTATAGCTTGTTTGCAATAAGAAAATCTGTTTTACCGTAAAACTTTTACGGTTTTCTGGTTTCAGCTCCGCACATTCTCCCATCCAAATATTGTGAATTTATTTGGCATCATCGAAACCGATCGCAACTTACTGTTTATTAGCGAGTACACGGATAAAGGCAGCCTGGAAGACGCCCTGAAAACCAATAGTCTTCACGACTGGGAGCTGAGAAGTAGCTTGTCGTTCGATTTAGTTGAGGCAAGAACCAACCAGCTAAAGATTAAAACGCGTGCGTCTAATTATGATAACGGCTTACTGTGCTTCAGGGATTATTCGCTATTCACCACTCTGGCTTGCGGCGTCACGGGAGCTTATCAGCCAGAAAATGCTTAATTGATAAAAGGTTCATTCTGAAGATTGGTGCATTAGGCTACATGGATATATTACGGAATATCTCGACTGAGCAGAAGATCCAACTCAAGAATTTGTTATCTATTCCGCCAGAATTACGCAATAAGTCTCAACACGAACAAAGTGCAGCGGCAGCATCCGCCAGTGACATTTACGTTTTTGCTGATATTGTGCATATCCTTCTTCCTGAACACGTATTTAAGGGCGTTCAAGCGGAAGACGTTTCTGATTACGAATTCAAAAAAGATCAGTAGAAATTCTGCGTTAAAATAATTACATATTGGGGAATGTGTATAACTATGCATATTTTTGCAGGTTTTTCTACCAGAAAAGCGTCCATTTTCAACGAGTTTCAAAACCTTTTAATTAAATGCCACGATATCGATCCCTCACAACGACCTACAATCGACATCATACGGAGGCTATGTCAAAGCAGTTTTGGCATTAATAATCGGAATTTTGCCGAGAAGATTCTTTTGCGGTTGGAACGGTATGCGTCACAACTGGAAGACTCTGTAGCCGAACGAACACAAGAGTTTATTCGAGAAACCGAGGCCAATGAGGCATTATTACAAGAACTGCTACCAGTGTATGTGATCGGCTGGGAATTTGTATAATATTAAGATGCTAGAACCTTATCTACCAGAAAAATTTAATCCATTCTAGGCAGATCGTACACCGGTTAAGAAGGGAAGTGACAATCGAGCCGGAGGCTTTTGAAAGCATTTCCTTGTTGTTTTCATACACGACTGGATTCACCGAGTTTGTCGCTAAGAATTCCGATGCACCGCTGAACGTGGTACACTTTTTGGACCAAATGTTTCATTCGTTTGATGGTGTGGTCAGCTTGTACAACGTGTACAAAGTGGAAACCATTAACGACAGCTGCATGGTAAAAGTGCATTGGTCTTGCACATGAGGAACTTGTTATCGCAGACGAAAACCAGTACAGATATACCGTGTTATTGGAGTATCAGACGCTAACCTTTTCGGTAACTGCGATTAGGTGGCAAGTGGATTACCAGAGTGTAACGGTGACCGGCATGCGAAAGAGGTATGCTATTGTGCTTTGGGCTTCCGTCAAATATTTCTGGATATCGGAAAATCTCACAAAATGGCCATCAAAATTGGTATCCACTCAGGTACTCGTAAAATAAAAAAAGTGAACAAAGTAAAATTACCTTGGTTAAATGATTAGAAAATCAGTTGTAGATTTAATTAATGATGACAATTACAACGGGGTCATGCGTTATCGGCTTTATTAGGTGCTTGTGTTGCCGGAATTGTTGGGAAGAAACGGCCACGGTACTGTCTGTACGTATTTAGTTCGATTTCCTATAGTACACATTATGTAACAGTACTAGAGTGTAACAAATTACAAGTCTTGTTCACGTGATTGAATATTCCGCTACTGTACATGACTACATGTAGATTTGGTGACACGATCAACACGGCTTCCCGTGTTGCTTCGCATAATACGGACTGGATAATTCAAACAACGGCTGCGACCATGCTTTTAATCTTCAGTACCAATATCAGGACTGAATACCGCGGTAAAATATTTTTGAAGGTACAAAATGTACATAAACTAGCGTTTATCCCAGCAAAATGCTAAATTCCCAATAAAATTATAAAAGAGTCAACTTTCATTGCAGGGAAAGGGTGAATATGATGTGCACTGCCTCTTATGAAATTCCCAGACAACATTTCAGATGGAGGCTCAAAGAAGATTATTTAGATAAAATAAATATTTTGTGACTTTTCGAAGCAATCAAGAATACAGAAGCAATTTGGCGTCTTGATTAATGCACTTTAATTAGATATACATACTACAGATAGGACTGAATAAATATTGGTTACAAAATATATCGCTTTTCAAAGCTTGCTGGAAGCTATGTAATATCCAGGAAAAAAAGTGTACAACTGCAGAATTCATTGCAGCCATAACGCTTTACATGCATCGTATACCCAATATGCACAAAAACAGAGAGTCAGAATACATAATATTTGTAGCTGCTTTAAGCATGCACAGTGCATTGTACCATTACAGATACACTCTGTGGGAAGTTGGAAAGCTGCGCAAGGTAGCGAATAACGATTAACGGGAAGTCTATAAAAAAGGATTCTGCCCAGCATATATTGCGTAATATGGAATATTGGTTTTCGCTTTCCGATCTAATCCAAACGTATAACCTCGTCTTGAGTGGCAGTTGCTACACCTGTCACGCATATTTTCCTGGCTAATATGGTATTTGAAGTTAGGCAGTCAACAATATTTCACGCCAATCCTATGCACCTGTAAACTGTATTGAAGCTTCTTTGGAACCACACAGAGGTTCTAGATTCAGTGTGAGACCGTTTCAGTCAAAACATAAATTAATGGCGATCGCAAACGATTTGCTTATCCGGTGCTTAATTTTGAGCAGCTTGTCCGTTGTGGCTCGTGGTCGGGTTAACGTTACTCTAATGATTTACGGGGTGTGGCCGGCATACCTAGTGCAGTCCTTACCGTTTATAGGGCCGGGCTTCGATTTGGCCGTTGGTCAAGTCCGGGAGATGTACCATTCTACGCTCAACATATCCCACATTTATGTATCTAGCAGAAATGTAAATGACTGTGTGGACAGCGGAGCCTACTTCACCGACGTGGTTGACTATTATTATCGACATGCTCGACAGCATGAAAAACAGCTCGAAAATAGTTCCTCTAGATTCTCCACACACGACACTTTGATCCTTATTTATGCCGGTACTGTACATCGCTTGCCTCAGCACATTGCTGCAGTTGCAGATTGTCTTGCTTTAATGAAAACCAAATCCCGCAATCATTTTTATTTACAGGTTGCGATGACTCTCCCATGTTCGGCGAGCTAGGAAGAGGTATAGAGAATTGATAACAAATCTTGCATGCAGTAAAATATCGTAACCCGTTACAATGTGCGACTTTTGCAGAATGGAATCTCATGGTCTTATCCTGGTTAGCCTCAGGGGAGAATTTTCGTAATTTTAACGTAGAGTAAGACAGCTATTATCTTCTGTGCTGTCATTCTCCCTGAAGTTCATTTTTTCCTACCACAGTACTTTCTAGAATAATAATAATACGCATTTTTGGCAGTCATATGCAATTATGCATATATCTGTACTGTTGCTGATAAAAGGACATATGATACAATTGAAGTTACTGAAGTTAATGTCGTTTACCGCAGTGGCACAACTTTTTCCACGCTACGCGACCGGGAGCGTTTTCCTACGACCATTGCGGCCGGCCCAGTGCAGTATGATCTGCATGCATGGGTAATAATGGATTTGTGTATCCGCTACAACTGGACCACTATCGCGTATCTCTACGACACATCCCTGTTGAATCCCTTCCATATACGCGCCTATCAACGCACTATTCGATTTTTGCGCGTCTGCGCACCCAATATCAGGATCAATCCCTTTTCTGTGCTGGATTCCGCAAATTATAAAGAATTCAACTATGATCTCCTCTTTGACCGTATTGCGGCTAGTTCACGAGGTTGGTTACGCATATCTGTATACTGCTGTTAACGTGTAAGAACGATAAAAACGCACAGCAGTTATTGCTAGATGAATTACCTCTTGGTATAATTTCTACTCTGTATGTGTTCTTTTGCAGTCATTTTCGTTTCCGCGACTCCTTGGATGACAAGAGAAATCATGGTAAGCGATAGAAAATCAGCACCGTTATCAACTTACCACTATATACCGGCTTTTTCCAGATGCGAGCCTATTTACGGAAACAGACTACTGGAGAATATGTACGTTTATTTCCGAAATCGCTACATGTTTTAGATAGTGCCGGAATAGTCTTTTTGGCTTTGGAGCTTTGAGAACTTGTGTTAATGTTTATGGTCTAGTGAACGGATAATATGTACTACTTAGTATTTACTATGTAAAAAAATTATTCTGCTGTGGTTGCATTATGTAGTACGTAGGGTGGTAGTGCCGTAATGGTAAGTAGTAGTAGTAGTAGTACATAATAATCCGCGATGATTCTGCATTACAATAATTATTTGCATTAATTATTCAGGTTTGGTTCACTGTGGATCTTAATGAACATTCTTCGGGATTGACGACTTGGCAAAGGAACGAAAGCGATGACGAGGTAAGAATTACAAGCTATCCTTGTGTATTTCATTACTGCGCCAAAAATTTTGAAATCATTGTAACATTGATTAAAGGTTGCTAAAGCAGCATTCGCTGGAATGTTTCAAGTTATCAATTGCTGGGATTACGATATCGAAATTAGCGACATGAGGAAAGAATGGAAAGAACGCACCAGAATCGACTATAATTCGACTTATCCCGGAAAAAATGGCGTAAGCGAACGAAAAAATCAAAGACCAGACCGATTATTGCAAAATTCGCAAGTTACAGACTTTCAATTAACGAGACGCTTTTTTGTGTTTAGCCTAACGAGTTTATGATTACTGCGTACAGTACGGTCCACGTTCTGGCTCAAGTACGTCGGATTGCAACAAGTCATAATTATGTATTGATTCTGACCATCCAAACTGATCTCTGTCCTTTTTAACTACATTTTTTAGGCGATCAATGACAGTATCTTTAACAGTGCTGCTGAAGCTGATGCGCGAACACTAACCAAACGGCTACAAGGTCGGCAGTTTTCGGTGCGGTGCGTTCCGTATTGATGAGAGCGGAGAACGGCAAAATAAAGTCTGTGTAAACGCTTTTGATACCGGTACTGGCCAATTTGAGGTAAAGCGTAACTGTCTTTGCTTGTGACTTGTAAGTTGTAACTTGTAACACAGAACGTAGACGCACGCTGAAGAACAAATTTGTCAATATACAAATCGACCAAAATATTGAACAACACCACGAAAGGAGGATGCCGATACTAGTATTGATTATAAGTACTGTACAGAGACGATTAGTCTGTGATGTCACGAACGGGAAACTCAAATCATTCCGTGACACAACGATATTCTGGCACACTCCCACCGGCGAGCCTCCACTCAGTGAGCCAGGGTGCGGCTACACCGGGGATGCAGAACGTTGTCGTAATTCAGGTTCGTAGGCATACGTTGTACAGTTGCCGGCAGTAGTTCCGCTCAGAATTAATGATATATGTATTATCGATTTTCGCTGTGCTGTTCACATCATACCCAACAGAGTACTGTACAGTATACTCTGGACGTAGAAAGTTTCTGACACAAATTCGTTTTTCTGTTAACAGGCAACGCAACTACGATTGCCGGGGTGGTGGTTGGCATTGCGGTTGTTGTTTTACTTTCGCTGATGGCAATTGTATACATGTGCGTTGCGTGAAATGAATTACTTTATATTTTGTAATAAAATTTGAATAACTAATTAATTTACGTACGTTATTTCTTCATTTAGCAACCGGAAAGCCCAAACGTTCAACGACTTGTGGTGGAAAATGTCACTTGACCAAATATCTCTCCAGGTGCGGAGCAGGCAGAACCACATCTACGTTCGTATGCCAATTTTTCATATTTGGACTTCGTAAAGGATTCTTCGAAAGCCGTTGTTAACCAAAAAAATCCCATGGATTCGACGTACGGACTACGGACTTAAGGGCGTTATAGTAGCTCAGGAACGCAGTAGTATTTGGGTTCAGACCTTTTCACGGATGCCGAATGGATCTTTTCCTGATAAAGACGCGATCCTGATTTTGAGAAAGGTGACTGATCTCGCTATGCCTGTTTTGGTGCCCTTTCTAAAAATTTTCTATTGAGTTACAGCTACGGAGATTTCTGCATCCAAACATTGTACAGTTATTCGGCATTATTCAAACCGATTTGCGCCTGCTGTTTGTCAGCGAATACGCCGATAAGGGCGATCTGGACAGCGCCTTAAAAATCAGCAGTATGGAAGACTGGGAACTCAGAAGCAGTTTGTTGTTTGATCTGATAGAGGTGAGATCACCCGATAAGTGCTGATAAAAAACCAATTAACCTTTGCATCACTTTAAGGGGTTAACTGCCATTCATCACTCGCCGTTGATACGCCATGGAAACTTGTCGCTTACTAAATGTTTGATCAACAAGCGCTTTATGTTGAAATTAGCTGGACTAGGATTTAAGGATATTCTGAAGAACAGGGAGCACTGCTTAGAAAACAAACCCTATAGTACAAATTTGCAATCCATTCCACCTGAATTACGCAGTCGGATCAGTTGTGAGAGGGGAATCGGTTCAACATCTTCTAGCGATGTTTATGTCTTTGCTGATATCGCACACGCTCTTCTTTCAGAGCATGTTTTTAAGAGCGCCGAAACAGAACAGATTCCCGATCACAAGCTCAAAAAAGGTTTGGTACTAAGATTTTAACAAAGTCTATAAAATTTGCGTACTGGGTATGCATTTGTGACAGGAGCTGCTGCACGAAATGCAGTAGTATTCAATGATTTCCAAACACTTTTGCATAAATGCCACGACGATGACCCCTCGCAACGCCCTACAATCGATAGAATTCGAAAGATATGCCAGAGTAGCTTTGGCATAAATAACCAGAATTTTGCTCAAAAAATTCTTCTGAGATTGGAAAGGTATGCTTCACAGCTGGAAGATACCGTTGCAGAACGAACTCAAGAGTTCATTAAAGAGACCGAAGCCAACGAAGCCCTACTGCGCGAACTGCTCCCCAAGTTTGTAATTCGTTCTCTTTAGATGCGAGTTTAACGTTGTACTGTATTACACGTAATGGTTTTTAGACAAATCGTACAACGGTTAAAAAAGGACACAGCAATCGCGCCGGAAAGCTTTGACTGTGTTTCCTTGCTGTTTTCATATACCACTGGATTCAATGAATTTGTCGCCAAGAATTCTGATGTTCCGTTGAATGTGGTGCGGTTTCTGGATCACATGTTTGTATCATTCGATGACATTGTCAGCTTGTACGATGTGTACAAAGTGGAAACCATTAACGACAGCTGTATGGTAATGCCCTCTTACTTGTGACCTTTGCATGTACCCGTATATTTGGTTATTTTTTTTCCGCGGTCATAAGCTACTGTACCGCCGCTCGGTTTGTAAAGCCGTTACTGTCAATTTTTTTTTTAGGTTGCGAGTGGATTACCAGAGCGCAACGAAGATCGCCACGCAAAAGAGATCTGTCATTGCGCTTTGGGCTTTCGTAAAAAGTTTTGAGATATTGGAAAGTCGCACGATTTGGCAATCAAAATAGGTATCAACACAGGTACGCTCTTCGAAAAATAATTACAGTATATTTGCCCTTTCGAACTCGAATATGGTCAAAAGACATCCGCTTGCAGTGTGCAATGGGATTTGCATCATGCCTCAAATGACACGTAGTAAGTTTCAGGTTCATGTGTCGCCGGAATTGTTGGAAAGAAACGACCGCGATACTGCTTGTACGAACAAACTGTCTGACATTCAAATACTACCTGATAATTAACGAATTTATGAGATGACTATTGCAGATTTGGTGACACCATAAATACCGCCTCTCGTGTTGCTTCAAACAACACAGACTGGACAATTCAAATAACCGCTACAACGTGGCTGTTGATAAGGGAAACCAATATTTTGGCAGAGCATCGTGGGAAAATATTTTTGAAGGTAAGTTAGTTGAATATCTTTCAAATATCTTAGCACATTTTTCAGATACCTAACATCAGTAATTTCTTTTTCAGGGAAAGGGTGAATGGGAAGTGTACTGCCTGTTATAACGTTCTTAAATACAAGGCGCCATCTCTGATTGCCGAATGTCGACACACGATAGGATACTTATTAATTACCTGCAAGCAGTGTGATACAGACTGCATTTAAAATTTCAAATTACTGGACAAAGAAGACATTGGCATACGGCTGCATCAGCTCAAATATATTCTGGAATTCCTGAAATTATAATGTCTGTTCTTTTTATGGTGTCATCGGGAATTCCTTCACGCCTGTAGGCGTGCTCTTCTCAGGCTTTCTTTGATTGCATAACCTATTGTTTATGTTTTGCTATTTTTTTTGTAAAGCCTTTGATGTTTAGCATTAATTGCCGCCAATAGAAGCGCGATTACATCGCGAGTTTTGGAGCTGCTGTTTTGTTGAGAGTTTCGAGTAGAGGAAGTCACCAATAAAGATCATCAGTACACACTGCAAGAGTTCTTTCCCCTCGTAATATTCTCATGTTCTGATTCCGGCAAATGTCATTCGAATCCTCATATGTGGGGTGGGTCCTTTGCTGACAGCCGGCGATGCAGAAACTGAACTTTGGCGCGCATTCTGTAACACCGTAATCTGGTGACATATATACAAGTACAGTGCAATGAGTGCATGCAGGTTGCCATAGTACATGTATGTACAGTATATCACATACCCCCGTCGCGATGTTGCAATCTGATAAAAAATTAACGAAACAAAGAGGGAACGAGTTTATCGGTGAAACCTTGAGGGCGTAGCAAAGCAGCTCAAATACAAGATGGTCACTTGAATTATTATCGAAGCCACATTCTCTTACAATTAGTACTAGTAGAAGCGGGAAAACGAGTTCCGATTAGTTGTTTTATCACAATCAGAAAACTAATACTCGTCCATAATGACGTTACTGGACATGCCAGCGTTCTTTATTAAAGGGTTTATGTCGGTATGCGTTCTCGGTGTATTTATTGTCAGAAAAAGCGTTTTCTGCAACATCTCGCCCAATCACGAAAACCTGAATAAACTCGTCAGGTCTTTCGGAATGCCCGCTGTTTTCTATAATGAGAAACTGGACACGATCTTGATTATTTTCTGTTGCGCCTTGAACTTGCCAACTTTTGTTTTTCTTGGCACGTTAAGAGATCCTGATTGGAAAACCGCAGAAGCAATGTGCGCCATCTTTGCCGGCGTTCCTGGTTGCGCTGTAATATCTGCAGTACTGGAGGCTGTCGTCATCCCGTTCGGTATCATTGCCTCATTTTTTAGTGAATTCGTCATTATCATTTTTTGTTTGTATGTTTATTGTGAAGAACAGTATCTGCGAAATCTCCGAGCAAAATATTTGCCAAGCAGCACCGCACTGGATTATACGGGGAGTTTAAGTGTCGGGGCTACTATCAACATCCACCAAGTCTTGCTGTCACTCCGTCACTTTCATGTGGCCATAGAAAACACGTTTGCTTTGGTGAATTTTTTCCACATCGTATCGCGCGGATGGATGTTGGTAACGTCTGTGCAAACTCTTCTGCATCTACCGGATTCCAGTGCCACAGTTACATTTTGGTCAACGGCCGTGCTACTGTGGTCTGTCGTGCTGCACATCATTGTATTTACTGCGCCCATCATCGCTGTGTCACGCTTCCAGGGCGAAGTAAGTTAACGAATTGACTACAACTCGATGCGGTTTTTACGGCTGCTTGGTTTTCAGTTTGCTTCAAGCGGGAATAAGGCGGAACCTCGGCCCAGCACCGGACCTGCGATTCCTGGGGAGAATGCGGATAATGGTACGGGTGTTACGGACGTACTTAGTGCGGGGGTGTATTGATTGGACGGGGTTCGGTTGTCTCTCTTTTTGAATATGCGTAGTGTTCCGTTGCGTTTCGATTTTGTTTTCCAGCTAGTTGTTTACACATGTACCTTCTGTAAACTGGTACTATGTAGCTGTAGTACATACAAAATACAGAAGTAAGGTGAAAGATCGGATTCTTTTTGGTTCTCCAGTGTACACGTGGAAATGTACCGTGCAATGACGTTAATTATGACTGTAATGAACTGCGTAATAAATTAAGCGATTGTTTTGTGTATTTTCCGGTTACAGTATGGTAATGAGTGAAATGAGTTTAAAAAAGACTGCCCATGCACGTAAATCGGCCAAAGCGCGGAACATAAGCACATGGGTACTGCAGGAGTGGAATTTTTATCAATTTAAGAATCTTTGTGATGTTTTGTATCGATTTGATGCTATTATACTGTGAATTTTGAAGTTTACGGTCATGATAACTAATTTTAAATTTGTGGTTTAAACTTTCAATCACACCAACGATGGTAATGGCTACGCAATCCCTATTTGCAGAAGATTCTTCGCCTTCAGACTCCTTGTTCCAGAGCGCTTTTATATGTCCACTGGTTCCATAAATTGCTCGCACACCACAATTTATTAAAACATTCAACAGATTAAATATAACTACTGTATTTTACCTCTTCGTATAGCAATATTCTCACACGCGTTTCTGATGTCGCTTCGAAACAGGCTTAGGCGCAACACTCTTTCCTTTCTTTTTATTTTTAACATCGATATTCTCATAAAAATGTACCCCAACCTTCTTTTGCCGCTCCATGCGTTCTTTCTTCCGTTTCTGTTTCCCGGTTAAATCTTTCCCCATCGCCTTGTCTTCCTCTTCAAATTTCCTCTGTTTAGCAGTCGCTAAATCATCCACGTCCCGGTCTATAGGAAGTTCCGCGTCGTCCCGGACAATCTCTTCCGTAACGCTATCCACCGGTGTTTCAGACTCACACACCGCTTCCTCTTGCGTCTCTTCCACCACTTCTTCCAACAACGTCTCCGCCGTATCATCGACATCATTCTCCTCAATAACTTCATCCTTCCGCGAGTCTTCTTCATCGAACACATCATTCTCCGGATGATCGCGCAGACTCTGCTTCACTTGTATGGCATTACCTGCCTGGGCGTCGGGAAGCGCCGCTTCCGGTGGTTTAACGAAGTACGGTAGTTTGCCGCGCTGAAAATCGTTGAGGATCATGCGGGCCACAGTCTGCACATCCGGTTCGGCCTTCTTGAACAGTCTACCGGTGCGTTTTGCGATCTGTTCCAACAGATCTTCCGATGTGGAAAAGTTGTCCAGCGAATAGGTCTTCTTAATGTACTCGGGTTTAACGCGTTCCAAAACAGCGGGGACAAAATCCATGGGGGATTTCAGATTCTCCACGCGCACGATACCTTTCAAAACTGTATCGGTCTCCGAGTTTCCGGTTGGATAAACAACACCGGGGCAATCGATCAAGCCGTTTCGATCGGACTTGATTCACTTGAATGTCTGTTTTTATCATATCCTTATGTTCACGGGCACTTTAGACATTGATGCATAGCCCGCAAGATATCCAGTCGAGGGGCAGCATGGAGCGTCTTGAATCTTCTAAGCTCGGCGGGGAATGATCTCATCATTGCTGAATTCTACGTTAACTGGTGCGGGAACTGCACAAAGATCGCCCCTGCCTATGAAGAGATGGCTCAGAAGTACGGCAACAACGCCCAGTTCGTCAAGGTGGACTTGGACAAGACAGGCGATATCCATCCCGAGTATGGCGTGACTTCCACTGTGCGTACGAGTGTACAGTTACCGTTTAAGGTCGATGTTTTATATAATATAGCATATATAATCGTAAACAGAAAGTACAGTATGTTCTGTTTGAAGTTTGAACTAAATTCTTGTGTTCAACAATCAGGAGTTGCGAAGAAACGCAGACCAACACACTTTATAGGTTCAAATGCACGGAATGGCCGCAGTTGGTTCAAAGTTCAAACATATCATATTGAATTTAAGTTTTTTTTGAACAGATTTAGCCAAAGCTTAGTTTTTATCAAGCCTTGCGGGTTGCTCCAGACGCAGTCGGTAATCCGTGTTAGTGACCTTTGTTGTGCTATATGCAGCCCACTTTCGTCATTATCAAGAATGGAGTGGCTATCGATCGGTTCCAAGGATCTAACGCAAGAATGCTGGAAGCCGCCATCCAGCGACATGTCTGAACGCTGAAGTGACCTTTCCCATAGGTCGACGACTTAAAATCCTTATTGTTGCAATGGGGAGTTTGTCACGGTTTTATGTGGAGTGAGAATGACGGACTCCTTGTGTTTCAATCTCAGTTCAAATTTGACTGTAACCTGGATTTATTTGTTTGTGGAAAGGCGGATTTCCCCATCGTGTAAAGAATTACTAAATTGTTATAAGTTGGACTATTTGGATGAATGACAGCTGCATTGAGATGGAAACCATTCACAAAAATTTTGTTGTTGACACACCACAAAACGAACACTTCATGCCGTCAGTTCTACACTAAAATCCGACCACATCGAGAAACAGGCTAAACAGAAAACATAACGTCTAAATGATTGAGAGGATTCTAAAAAATGATACTGAAAATATCTGGGAGAAGTAAACATAGAGATACACATGAAAGATCAAAAGCATTCAAAAAAGAAAGCAAGCATTCATTCTAAAAGCATTCAAAATTCAAAACTGCAACGCACACAACATACTCGTGCATGCATCAAAATCATCCTGTCATCGCAACACCGCGGATAAGAAGGGTCATCTCCCGTATAATATGCTGATAAGAGTGCGCGTTAAGAGCAGGGTTTCCTGCTGGTTGCTGCTCGACGCGGCAGCGCTGCTGTACTCCGACCACCTCGTCCACGTACCAGGCGCGCCCCCCGACCACCTCGGGTGCCTCCACGCCGGCTTTCCCCGGACGAATTGGATTTCCCTCCAGCGTTGATCCCGTGAATGACCATATGCTCCATATTCGACGACACCCTCTCTCCCAGCGAGGCCCCTCCCTCTGACGCAACATCCGGTTCCAAAACCGCCTGGAATACATAAACAGAATACATAAAAACAGAATACATAAAAACAGAATACATAAAAACAGAATACATAAAAATCAAACAGAATACATAAAAATCAAAATTAGTAAGCTGCTGTGAGCCGCATTGCAATGATTGCACAATTTATACGGTACGATTCCGTCAATTTACGATTTTGTCGTTACAGTATTTCCTGCGCGAGTAATCTATGGCAATTTTCGCAAACGCTTTAACGCGCAAAATGCCCTGCAGTTTCGGTACTTCTTTATGTAATAATACGGCAACCACAAACCTAAAATAATTTTTTTGGAGTGGCAGCTGATTCTAAATCTTACTGTATTTTATCACTAAGGAGATTTGAAGGGTGCTGGATGTCGTTTTCAAAGTCGATTCACACTAGTTTCACGGAGTATTCTAATACAAAAAAGCCTAATTTAACTACTATAAATTACCGCGCATACCCTATACCGAAATACGAGATGACTGATGTGCGATGACATCGCAATTGCCGTGAATTATAAACAGTACATCCATCTGCGCCTACTCATAGCCGTCATTGCGGTAAAAATGACAAATGTTGCGATTAATTTTACTGCTAAACTAAATAACTGCTAAATGTACTTGCATATCTGTATACTTGTATTTGTAGTGTACAGTGCAGGCAAACATCGCTTAATCACAAAACATTTTCTATCAACTGCAGTGAACTGATACAGTTTTTAATATTACAAAACGCTGCTAGTAGTTCAGCCTTTCGAACTTTAAAAATAACCTATTACGCAATTTCGCGCCAAAACCCCACTTGCCTGATTTGCCGGTTTAGGATACTCATTTCCGTTCGTGTCTACGCTTCCAGTATCATCATCGTTCTCGCTTTCGCGCCGGCCGATTTGTTCGTCTTGCCTGCAAGCAGTGTTGCTTTACTATCAGTTTTGAAACTTTACTTACTGTTTACTGTCGCAAACTTTTGCTTTACTTTACTGTTACTGTTTTTCTGCCCAAACCTTTACTGTTCATTTACTGTTTACTGTTCGCCTCAAAATTTACTTTACTAAGTAAACCAGTATTACTCAGTAATACTTTTTGCCAGCCAAAAATTTCAATCAAGAAAATTGTTCTACCACGGAAAGTTACACGGTGCACGGCATGAGTGCACACTGCGCAGTGCAACAACTGCAGGTCGGCCTTGCTCATTTGGATTTTGGCGATAAATTTCGTCACAAGCAGACAAATTCAAGCGAAGGTAACAAGCAATTTTCGGTTGAAATCTCTGAAAATTCCAGTAAAAATCGTAGTAACAAAACTAAAAATTTTCCTTTACTGTTTACTTACTGTTTACTGTCAGCCCAAAATCTTTACTTACTTTTACTGTTTCTATTCTCAAAAAACGTTACTGTTTATTTACTGTTTAATATTAGGCTACTGTTTACTGCCAGTTTACTTACTGTTTACTAAGTAAAGCAACACTGCCTGCAAGTACATATATCTGTAGAACATACAAAACCATACAAATATTGGCGCAACAAGTCTAGACAACCTCCATTAAGTACGTATGCGGCTTCACACTAACGCAACTTTTAAGGCAGATCGGATGTGCTGGACTGCAAAGCTTGAAACCCGTCGAAATACTCAACCAAATACTATAATTATGCAAAATAATAACTACAGGTGAGCATTCGTTATTCACTTCTTTCTTAGCATTTTTGTAATACAATTCACAATTTCACGGAGCATGTTATCGTGAACGCTGGATTTTGGGCTAGTATAACATGTTCTAAATTTTTTTCCCGTTGTACACATTAATGCATGTTAAGTCATTCAACATTTGCAAGCGAGATCGAACGCCAGGGTTTACAGGCCAATTTTACCTTCTCTCCTTCACGACATCCACATCGTCAGTATCACAAGATGTCGAAGAGGACAAACTGAAATCGCTGGCGCTCGGCTTTAAAATACTCCTGTAAAAGTTTCCATATAACACGATCATAACTGCCAGGTCACGCAATGCTTCACATCGGCAAAATTAATTTTAAAAAAGATCCAGTGCAACAGATCTAGGACAACAGTTGCTTACTTGCGTGGAAACGTTCCAGCGGATTTGGAACATAAGGGTTTTGTCGGCCTTCAAGGAAAAACCAAAATTCAACCGAAACAGCCATCACAACACGCAGAAACGGAGTCAATACCAAGTGAGGTGCGGCTCTTGCTTCATTGTTGCACGTTGAGCAGGACATGACTTACGCTTCAGCGGGGATGGCTTTTTCGGAGATGACTTCGACTGTCTTCGTCTAGAACAGCGTTGCAATTAGACGTACAATATAATCGTATATGCCCACATGCTACCATGACGGTGGATCGTACATAACATATTACCGAAAATTACGCATTCAAATACCGGTACTTCAATGCTGTAAGCAGCAGTTTTATTCTAAAAAAAAATAAATTAGGGTTAAAAATAATCCGCACCTATGCGCCTTAGTTCGGCGTTTCTTCCAAACATTCGCATTTCCTTTATTTCTTCCGCGATATTCTTCATCCGCATCGGATTCTTGGCTACGAAATCACACCAGTTCAGCTAGACTCGCAATGTTACCATGTTTTAACAACAGCTGTCGCTTACACTGCTTCTTCATCGCTCATTTCCAAATCGGTATCGCAGCTACTGTGGTCATTCATTTTGCCTGTTCTATGGAAGATACCAACATTACCAGATAGCAGAAATGTATTAAAAATGCGTGACTTTATATTGATTTCGATATGGGTAGCTCTCAAAATTTACCTTCCGAGATATGCCAGCAGCTCTGCATATTGTGTGTTGCCGATGAAAACAAGACCTTCTTTCGGAATAACTTCTTTTTGGGCGTCCGTAAGATTGTACCTTAAACTGGAAAGAAACAATGCTGATAGCCAAACAAATGCAAGAGAATATTGCATTTTTCCTCAATATGCTATTCCACGTACAAAACGTTCTGATTGTTCATGCCCACGTGACAGAACATTTCTTCGGCGGTCAGTCGTTTCGGGTCGTAGATGTGCTGCTCAAAGAATCGGTTGACAAATCGCTGTTCCACCACTTGTACATCGTCATCGTCCGGTTGCTCCTCTTCCCTGTACAAATGAAATAATTCTTCGCGTTTCCGAAGAATGGGATACTCAAATGGGATACTTCAAGTACTCAAACAACAAAGCGCTGATAATAATACTAATTTAATCAAATACTAACTGAAGTATGCAACTGATAAACTGTACGTCGCCAGCAGATCAACTCCATACACCAGTCTAAGTACTCGTATATGAAAGTGCATTAATCGCAAATATAATGCTTACGCCACTGTCCACTGAAACTCCACATCGTAGACAGGAATGTCCGCTCCCATTCGCAGACAGTTGTCATACTGCGGCATCAGCTGCGCCAGTCGGGTTTTGATCAGCACAGCAGCACGCAAACATCACATCCAAGCAGAAAAATGAATTTACACAATTGAAAAGAATTTTGTATGTACCTTCGCTTCATACACCATCCATACCGAGGTACGGGGTGGCTTTTCATAAACCCAGACTACATCTCCTGTAAAGCAAGCAACCGCGGAATCACCAAGACAGGCACGTTTTTATCAGCTTGATGCAACGATCCTTGGATGGAAACTGTTGTTACTCATGCAGATAAACCAAAAAGACAGGCAACATACTTTGTATTTACAGTTTGTAGGGCTTAGGTTGCTGTTAAGTTTCATGCATCTGCCCGATTCTGCCGCACTAACAAACAGCACAGTTGCGAACGCGCGCTGTTTAAAAAGTGCCGGGATAAGCACTTGTTTCTATGCGCCTACGATGACTTCTGGGCGAAGCTTGGGCGCACGGCTCCCAACCGGCCCGGGGCGGCAGGCCGCTGCAGATCTTCAGTTCGCGTTCGCGACTGTGCCGTAGCACCCAGTATTGGACAAACAGTGTGGAATTTGTGGATTATAGTGCACCGTGTAACACTCACTGAATCTGACACTTTAAATTTTGTACCAAACTGTCCGCAATCGACGTATGTGTGAACGAAATGCAAGTGCTGGATTTTGTGTGGCTTTTTCCAACTTCCTGGTTCGTGACTCCAAGAATCAAAGAAGACGAGTGTGGAAGTAGTGACTTCGAGGGAATCGCTTTTCCTGCAAAAGATTTTCTGTTTAATTGCACCGAGCGCGAATCGCTGCATTACATAATTCACTTTTCTTGTTGAAAGGCTGGTGTGAGGAGATCTGAAGAAGCAAAAATGTGTAGAATTCTTACGAAGCGTCGTCTGGACTACTACGCCAATCCTCTTTACGACAAAGTTCCCTTGTTCAAAGAAGGTGCGTAAGTGAGAGCTTGAAGTTTCTTGGTAGTATTGCATGCATAGTGGACATCCTACATGCAGTCATTTATAATTTGCATTCGCTTTGTGGACTGACTGCATTAGGGAGTGCAGTTCATGCTTATCCTGTGGAAACGAGTGTTGGCTGAACTTGGCTCGCGATGCTCGTTTGATTCGCTTTCGTAATAGTTTACGTTCGTGGGTTTATGATGCCGTTTACGGAGCATCAGTTTATCTGCATGAGAAACAACGGTATAACTCAGTGACCGTCGCAACTAGCGCAGAGTAAAATGTATCGTGATAGTATGGTAATCCCACAGTTCTTGCTCAATTTTGCAGGAGATGTAGTCTGGGTTTATGAAAAGCCACCATGTACCTCTTTGTGGCTGGTGTATGAAGCAAAGGTAAATACACAAAATTCTGCGACACGAGGATTAATTTCGCTGCTTTGATATGATGGGTGTTGAGTCGTTGACTACTGTGCAGATCAAGGCCCGACTGGCGCAGCTAATGCCGCAGTATGACAACTGTCTGCGAATGGGAGCGGAGATTCCTGTCTACGATGTGGATTTTCAGTGGACAGTGGTGTAAGCTCATTCTATATAGACTGTATTTTCCAGTTAATCCATTGGCAACATAAGATTTATCAGTAGAATTTAACTGTTAGTACTTGCTTAATAATTAATTTCTTATGCCGAATAAATAATATATAATTCATTTGTATATTTATAAAATTTTTATTGATTTTCTTATTGTGAATTTAATTTATCAGCATCTAGCAGTTGAGCATCCCATAGAAGAAATCTTACTGACATACAAAAGATTACCTATTTGTACAGGGAAGAGGAGCAACCGGACGATGACGATGTACAAGTGGTGGAACAGCGATTTGTCAACCGATTCTTTGAGCAGCACATCTACGACCCGAAACGACTGACCGCCGAGGAAATGTTCTGTCACGTGGGCATGAACAATCAGAACGTTCTGTAAGTGTAACATCAGATTTAGAAAAATGAAGATTGCAATGATTCAGAGAAATGCAATGGTTTGGAAGAATGCATGATGTCTGTATTTAGAATGGACAGAACCGTTTTATTTGTTATCGTTACAGTAGTGATTTTCAATTCTGTGTAACCTTAGATACAGTCATACGGGCGGCGGATTGGACCTGCATGAGTTTGTGATCTCGGAGTCGGCGTACGAAAATGAACCTGTTGGAGAGATTAAGGACAACACTGGACGCCGCGTGAAGGGAACGGGATATGAGAATCTGGTAGAAATGGCCACCATCTGCGCCATGTGCAATGACTCCAGTGTCGATTACAACGAGGTGAGAATGACAAATAAAAATTAAAATGAAAAATTCTTAGCAATATTTCGAAAAAATAATGACAATGATTCGTAAGAAAATAATATAGTGAAATTATTCAACGATATTTCACGAAGATAATAATGTTCAAAATTGCAGACCAAACACATCTACGGAAAAGTTGGTGAAGCCACTGAGACGGCTCTGATTGTCTTGGCGGAGAAGATCAACCCCTTCAACACCGAGAAGAACGGCCTTAGCAAGCGCGATCTGGGTATTGCCGCCAACCGTAGCATTCAGGGAATGTGGAAGAAGGATTATACGCTGGAGTTCTCGCGCGACCGCAAGTCCATGAGCTCGTACTGCTCGCCCACCAAGGGAAGCAAATTCCCCGGTGGAGGTGGCGCCAAGATGTTCTGCAAGGTAGAGACGACTTGCTTGTTTCATTTTACTGGTTGCCCTATTTTATTTTGATATTTGATCTAATTTATTGCTATTTTGTTTACAGGGTGCTCCGGAAGGTGTCCTGGGTCGGTGCTTGCACGTCCGTGTCGGCAACACCAAGATCCCCCTGACTCCGCAGCTGAAGACCAAGATCTTCGAGAAGACCCGCGAATACGGTACGGGACGCGATACGCTGCGTTGTCTGGCCCGGGCCACCGTGGACGAGCCGATGAATCCCAGCCAGATGAACCTGGAGGACTCCACTCTCTTCTACAAATACGAGACCAACATGACGCTGGTCGGTGTCGTGGGCATGTTGGATCCGCCCCGCAAGGAAGTCTTCGATGCCATCCAGAAGTGCCGCGGTGCCGGTATCCGTGTGATTGTCATTACGGGTGATAACAAGGGAACGGCTGAGGCTATCTGCCGACGCATCGGTGTCTTCGGCGAGAACGAATCCACAGAAGGTAATAACTTAACAATTTCGTAAAAGAATTTGTATGGTAAAATTCGAATAAAATTAGAAACTAACGGAAATGAAGTGGTTGAATATAAAGGCGTTGAATCTGGGACAAACTGAATGGTGAAAGTGTATAGCTTTTTTTAAGTTGTTGCATAATGTGTGCATCTGTAGGAATGTCCTACACCGGTCGTGAATTCGATGATTTGAGCATCCACGAACAGCAGAATGCCGTCCTGCGTGCCCGATTGTTCTCCCGTGTGAAACCGGCCCATAAGAGTAAGATCGTGGAATTTCTGCAGGCGGCTGGTGAAATCACGGCTTTGGTATGTTTATTGACTTCGTTGCTGTCGTTTAATGACGATCACTTTTTAATGACATTGATTACGCAGATGGGTGATGGTGTAAACGATGCGCCCGCGTTGAAGAAGGCCGAAATCGGTATTGCCATGGGTTCGGGAACGGCGGTGGCCAAGAGCGCTTCTGAGATGGTGTTGGCCGACGACAACTTCTCGTCCATTGTATCCACTGTGGAAGAGGGCCGTGCTATCTACAACAACAGGAAGCAGTTCATTCGATATCTGATCTCCTCCAACATCGGTGAAGTCGTCAGGTAAATTTGCATTTTGCCTATTTTTTGCAGAATAAAATGTTGTTTTTAACGGTTTACCACAGTAGATGCGTAATTGTACTAATTTATGGCATATTAATTTTTATTATTAATTATTCTTGCTAATTTCTGCAAATGTTATTGTGACAGTATCGTCGCATAATTTTTAAAGTGATTTTTTCGGGTCTGGAAATTGTTTTTCGTGTTTGTAGTATTTTCTTGACGGCCGCTTTGGGTATGCCGGAAGCCTTGATTCCCGTGCAGCTTCTGTGGGTCAATCTGGTGACGGACGGTCTCCCTGCCACCGCCCTGGGCTTCAACGCACCGGATCTGGACATCATGGACAAGCCGCCGCGCAGCTCCAAGGAAAGCCTGATTTCCGGCTGGTTATCCTTCCGCTACATGGCCATCGGTGGATATGTCGGCGCGGGAACAGTGGGTGCGGCTGCCTGGTGGTTCATGATTTCGCCCACCGGACCACAAATGTCTTATTATCAGTTGGTGCGTTACGGTTTGAATAGGTTTCTTTTTTTTCCCGACAATTTACCGGAATTATTTGGACTTTTTCGCGTCATATTGGGTGTAAAGCTACTATAGTTTGGTAAGCTTAATTAGTATCGGAATTAATGTGTGAACAGACGCATCATTTGGCCTGTGCCAACGAACCCGAGAACTTTCGTGGAATGGACTGCGATGTGTTTGAGCATCCTCACCCGATGACGATGGCCTCCAAGGAAGTGTTCGATTCCATTCAGAAGTGTCGTGGTGCCGGTATCCGCGTGATTGTCATTACGGGTGATAACAAGGGAACGGCTGAGACTATCTGCCGACGCATCGGTGTCTTAGGCGAGAACATGTCGGGCATGTCGGATCCGCACCGCAAGGAAGTTTTCGCTGCCATCCAGAATTGCCGCGGCGCCGGCATCCCACAAATGACCTTAGGGGTGACTACGGGAGCCGTTCCGGGTTGTGCTGCAGAACAAGGGACTTCTTCATCTGATGAGAAAAGTCCATCTAGGAAAAGAAAGCGCGGAGGTCGGAAAGACGGCGGTAATAAAGACGATATTCCGAATTATTTCATCACGGAAGGGCAGCGCCAAGCAGGACACCCTGAACGCCTCGTCGCATTTCGTTTTAACAGTACGTTACTACAGGATCTTGTACAAGTAGAAGTTTTTCTGCAGTGCGCGTTATTGCGTGGGACAATTCGTCATAGTCAGTTAGCCGGGAGAACATTTTTTCGTGTAAAAGTTAGCGGCAGGGCATCTGGTTTTACGGACAGTAACTGGTAAAAGGACCAGTCGGGTCTGTGGTAAAAAGTGCATTTTTTTTCGAAAAGTAACGAAATGCGGTAAATGTACAGCGCATCCGGCGCAAGCTCCAAGTCGACAATTTTTTTGAAATTTGAAAAAGGAAGGTATGCTCTAGAGGAAGCAGTTGAAGAAGTTCAAAGAGCTCGTACGGAAAAGAAATGGCGCAAGATTCTGAATGTTGCGAGCAGGGACACGATAAATTTTTACACAGTTTCATTTCGTCCCATCGCTAACGAGCATGTCTGAATTTTATTTAACAAGCTTAGTTGACTTTGGTAGTAAGTAAAATTCTCTGTCGAATGACTGTCAACACGATACGGTGTGACGAAGCGTTCGCGAGAAATAACCTTAAAACGAAGACGGCCATTTTCTTCAGCCACCCGGTACTATTTATGCGCGTGTAAGCGCCTTTGTCTTATATTTTGTAATGTTTTTGTAGTTACAATTATATTTTGCATTGTGTCTTTGTAGACCAGGTATGTGAGCCTTCGTTGGTTCCTCGTCCACAACATGTGGGCGATCCGTTGCAGCCGACAGTCGAGCGATTTTTAACGGCGCTGCAAGCAGAAGGACACCGCAATACTTTTATGGGTCTTGCCTTCAAAGTGCATACGGCGCGGGCTCAGTCGGAGGCGATCTACCTCAGCCCCCGACCGGAAGTTACCGTGGACGAGCTGGAGACAGCTGTAGACGCTATTCGGTAAGCCATAATCAGTTTTACTGGCATTTCATCTGAATTTGGTTTAGCGACTGTATCTGAACCCTGCACTTGACGGAAATTTGTGCAGTGCAGCCACGCTCACTTGTACGAGCACAATCTTTATTCACATACACGGCTTGCAGCTAGCGCATGTTAGAACGCGAACTGGCTATACAGTACTGTGTCGCTTATAGCGTACAAATTTCTGTCAAGTACAGGGTTAGAGTACAGTATATTTACTTCTGTTGGCCTCTTGGTCAAGTGTGCTCGTTGTTTAATTTACAACTGATGACATTCCGAGTTTGCCGAATTTTTCCGAATTTACTTTACTTTATCACCACTCTGGTTTTTTAGAGGGCTCGTTCCGCGAGGGTGCACCGTTAGCTGGGCTACTCCTACTGAGGAGGAAGGCGCAGCCGCTCTCGAGGCCGGCTTTTCTCTTGATTAATAAAGATTCGTTTCGGAGCCTTCCGACAGCGATTGTCCATTCAGATTCAAAGAGGGAATGCGCCATTCGTTATGGGCACCCTGCCGGACTCCGACGCCATATGCGAAATGTGCTTATTCTAACTCATGAGTGTTATTTCCGGATTATCGAGTTTTGTTCCTTTTAATTACTCTATATTCACTATTGCTTTTCATCACGATTTGCTTATTTTGTCTCTGACAATTCGTCTGCATTTACGTATTTGCTGTCACTAGTGCGAAATCTTCGATTTTGGCTACTTTAATTTAATGTACGCCAAGTTAGCGGTGTGTCATTTTAATTTTTTTCCGATTCGCGGAGCGCATGTTTTACCAGTTTTTTTGGAAGTTAATACTGTTTTGACGGATTTTGCCGGTTCATAAAAGACAACAACGGCATCGATGTTATGGTACTTGTCTGCAACGGACAACATTAAGTAACTTTGTTGTCGACACAATACATATTTTGTTTGCGTACTCGTACCGCGAATGCAGGTGTATGCACGAGTAACCTCATATTGTAATTATACAGTGTACTTCATACAGTTTTTACGATAAAAATTATAGAACCGTACAGAGTACAACATCACAGCAAGCAGCTTTACGTATACCAGTTCTGGATCCACTCGGGAATTTTGACCTGTTATGCAGTAAAACGGAGGGTGAAGTACCCATGTATGTAGTAGTTTTGCAGCAGATTTTAAATCACAGCATTCCTGATTGCGGAACAATTCGCAGAGCACAATCTCTCTTGCGGAAATTTTACCATGAGGCATTTCGTCGTATGACTATTGGTTGAACTTCCGTCCGTTGACACTTGTCCTTGAGGGTTCCACTGCATACGGATGTTCGCCCAGGGCGGTGGCCAGGCGCATTCTTTTGTGTACTACATACTACTATAAAATGAATTTCAAATTGCGCAGGATCTTGTCGATAAAAGACGCAGGCTTAATTGCATAACTATACCTTTTTTAATTGCCAAAAAGTTTCAAAACTGTATTTTGCGAAAACGTTCTGTGAAGTGGCGACAAAATTTAAAAAAAAAGAGATTTTTCCCTAACGAAAACGATTAAAAAATTCCCCAAAAAGAAATGTTTCACGACGAAAATTCCACAGGGAAAGCGTGTTTGCTTCGAAAGTTCGACTTTGAGCTGTCCCACAGCGAAAAGTTGCATTTCGAATTGTCCAATTTGTTTATATTCCAGAATCCGGACATCGCTCACGGCGCAATGGATGCACACTGCCCTACCGATCTGCACATTCGGGCACCCAGACGCCACTGAATAGTTTAAAAACTTATTTTTGTTTTAGATAAAATATCCCGCTGCAAAGCAGTATAACTGAAGCATAAGGCTCAGATAAGTACTGTTTCTGTACAGCTTTTATGCCAAAATGCAACGTTTGCCTATGTGTTGTTAGCAAGCTTTCCATGAAATTTTGCACTACATTTTTAGTATGGATGCACTGGTACCGTATTTATTTTTCGCTAAATGTGCCACTGTACCTGGGTTCCACTGTACATGCTGGATCATGTACCACTGCACGTGCGGATTTAAATTCACCAAGCTTTGCACTATTCCGTAGCCAATGCTTTAAGATATCCTATAAAATCCTTGAATATCTAGAACAAGCAGTATATGAATACTAATGATGATTCCGACCATGAAGGATACACAGATTTTCCCGCAGTTGCAGAACCCGCACCTGTTAAACCAGGATTTCCGGTCCACACCTCATTTGTGGAACAAATACAGTAGCAAAATGTTACGTAGGCATAATACAAAGCCAAATTGAATAACCCGCTGCTTATAAACCATAGCTTTCCTTTAAGCAGTCCGTGAGTTATAAAGGTCACCATATATCGCAGTGCCGCGACTGCCGCTGAACCAGTTTTGTAACAAGCATAAAATATGAGCGGCACTGCCGCCTTTCCGTAAAAAAGTACTGTTTCAAAATATTTTATTGACATAAGTTTTATGTTTCTCCAGTTGCAGTATTCAGCAACAGCCATCAACTTTCGCCCGTATTTAAAAGATTGTATGACGGAGAAGCGTTGGGTTTGCTGCATTAGTCTATACATGCAAAACTTAGTTGAATTCGTGGTCCGTTTTTTTATCCAGTCACTAAAAATGACCACCTGTAAAAAGCTAAATCGTGTACGCCAAACTGCTTTCCAGTTTATCTGCTGGATTCTGGTCATCGTCCTCCAAACGCCCACCGCGGTGCTGGCTTGGAGTGATTATCACTTGCAGCCAACCGCAACGTCGGACAACGACATCATCGCATGCCGTCGTGGTTTCTTGTGTTTCTTCATCAATACCGAAACGCAGCTCTATGCAACTATTTCCCTGTTCTGTATGGCGACATTTGCACTGAACAGCCGACGGTTTATCACTGCACTAAACCACATGAAAGGCCTCACTAGTTTTATGGAGAAAGGTCAGCATTTGGAAAAGCAGTTACGAAACGGCTGGATTGCCATCCATGTGGTCGTGTTCTCGTTTTTGGCGCATACAGTTGCTGTGTCTATGAAACCGGTGCGCATAAGCCAAGAAAACTTTAATGCGACTAATTTTGCTTTTTTTAATGTGACGGTACATCAGCGGCAGCTATACCAGACGATAATCGGTTTAGGGAGCACATTAAAATCTGAAGCAACGAAATTTTTTGACAATGCTAATGCCGTTATTGGCTGGCCGACGTTTTCGCTCTTTATTGCGTTTTTGGTTTCGGCTGTTGTGTGTGTTCCCCAGATTCTGGAGCTAGATCAACATCTCACCATTAGTACGAATAGTTGTACTTTAGTCTTTAGTATTCAACAGTTTCACGTCTTGGCAACCATAAATCAAAGTATGGGTACCCAGCAGAAACATTAAGAAGACAGTGTCGCCTGAGTGCATTCCCACTCTTACAAATCACAATAATTCTTATTTTTATCATCGGTGACTGTACGCCAGGCGTAACCTTCAAGTGTACAATAATTACCGGGACTAGTATATGAATCCCCCTCACTATCGGGATATCGCAAAATTTAATCTCAACGAAGCTCCAGCATTCTTGTAGGATGTGCAACGTCAGAGTATGCTTAGTTACAATCTGCATCGCTGCCCTTTTCCACGGCAATCTTGCGCAGTGGTATAGTCAGCCTGGCCAGTACGCCTTCACCGCTCGCCAGATGCAACAACAACCCTTTGGCGAAGATTACTCCTACGGGCGTGGCATGCCAGCCCCCGACAGTGCCTACAATGTGATGGCCCCGGAACGAAGCCGCCGCGGCTCGATGAGTGCATGGATGTGGAAAGGAGGATAAACTGGGTGCTGTTAAGAGTCGTCGTGTTACCTAGTGTTGTTCCTCATTATATTACGAAATAAAATATTATGGGAATCATGGGACCACGGCTACCGATGCCTGCTTGTTATTATAAGCACTGTTACATCAACTGCAACAATTCTGGTATGAAACAACCCCCAACTTCACCGGCAAAGGCCGTCCTTCAGCAGCCCACGCGAAAACAGGAATCAGAACCGTAAAACGTTTACCGAGTACAACCAAACTGGACGGGTATTCATTCAGAAAAACGATCACCCTCATTTCTACTTCGCTAATAACAACAACACGATAACAGAAAACCACGCACTACATCACCATAAAATCGGCCGTCCTCGCATCGGGACTCCTCCAGGTCAGCCGCCAGTCGCGTGCACCCAGATAGTTCCGTGCGAAATCGAAGCCTTCGTTCCTCGCCAGCTTCTCAAAGCGTTCATACAGATCGCCGGCTTCCATGCGGGTCTGCCGCATCACCTCCAGTACGGTGTCCCTCACTGCTAACCGGCGCACAAAAAGATTCTTAACGAAATGCAGACAGCGTGTTGAAATGTTTGTAGGAAAACCAGCTTACCCGAGAAATGCGTCAGCAGTTTGTGACCAATTAGTTCCACTTCGAAAGCAGCGCGAATGACGTCAGCCGGAGTGGCAGCCGGCGACAGGAACACCGCAACATGGCCTACAAAAAATAATATTTTGAAAATAATTCATCTGTTTAGTACTGCATTTGCTACATAAGAATTCTTTACAAATTCGTGAAATAAACAACTATCCATTAAAAAATAAGAATCCGTTAGGTAAACAAATCATTTAAATAAACGATTCCGTTATTATAAATCCGTTATCTTAAACTAGTTTAACAACAACCAATCCGTTAAAATTAATGATCCATGTTTGCCACATGAGAATTTTTTTAAAAAATTAAACCAATCCATTAAATAAATCGCAAAATGCGCTCCATTACTGCAAAATTGTTTCCTTAATCTCGCAGATATTTTAGTTGGATGAATTTACCTTTGGACGGGTTAACCATCAAACAAAACACTTCGTCTCCATAGATTTCTCGCATTTCGATAAAATCCCCACCACTCACTGCCCGCCTGGGCAGCCGGCAGCCTATACTGTATCTCCATTTCCGGTACAAGGGAACAATCACCGGCTCCTGCCGGTTAACCTCCCGAATCGACGGGACAAAAGTACCGCCGGAATTCAGGAATGCCGACACCGCCAAATGAAACCGGGACTGATTAAACTGCTCCAAATTCAACGACTTTACGCCACAATAATTGGCCAGCACGTGAATAAACGCCAACAAGAAGAAAACCGTCCAACTCAACCTAGAAAAGATTTTCCATTTCTTAACAACTCAAAATCCATCAAGTTAGCTGTTCAGTAGCCAAAAATATTTCGATAGCATTTCGTAATCGCGTCCGTTAGTTATGCGCTTACAAATGCGAATGGGCGATCCAGGGCATGATAACTAACGCGACAATCATCGCCGTGAGATGCACCATGGTTTCCTGGCTGGCATCCTTGGCTGTAACATCCCCGAGATTATTTCTTCGCGCTTGGTGCAAAATAATGGCCGGACGAGTCCCGGTCCCGGCAATACCGACAATAGACTGCAAAAAAAGATAAGAGAAATATTGTTGATCTAAAATCAATACAATAACTATAATAAACAATTAAACATTAATTACAATAATAAATAAACTCCTAGAAATGATTAATATTAAATAAAATATTTAGAAGCGAAGCATGAATTCAGTACTCACGCGCAACAAAGCCGAGATGCAGATTATAAAGGCAAAATATCTCGTCTGTGAAGAAACAATATCCAAGAATGTCGCCACATCATTGAAGAAATCAGCTCGCAGTCTATGGTGAAAAATATCACTGACTTTCTAAAAGAGTTCGCTTCGGTAATGAACAATCATAGAAGTTTTTACACATACCTCCATCGCTTCATATCGCTATCTAAATCCGTTCTGAAAGTAGCAAGAGTTTGATTAATTAGTTTAAATCATTTTAAAAAAATTAGAAAAATAACTCGCACCCTTGAGCCCATGCAAAAACGATACGACCAATCATGCCCACCCCATCTACAAAATAAATAGTAAAAATATGTAGATATTAAATAAACATTATTAATGAAATTTGTTTAGTAACCATAATAAATTTCCTGAATTAAAAGACAATTGCGTACCTTTTAGCACCCACGTCATCGTGGCCGCCAGTGCCGTCGAGGCTTCTTCTCCCACTCCCAATCCCGTTAATACCGACTGCGTGGCTATCGTCCCATTGACGTAGCTGCAGAATGCCTTCAATCAGAAAATGTTGTAAAACAATCTTCTTAAAAAAGTGATTAATATTAAAATTAATATTACCTGAATTGTATCGAAAACTTGATACGTCAGATAATCTTTACTGACACTGTCGGGATAACCTTCAGGAAAGAAGACCTCCTGCAAACAGTCCAGTATAGCGATTGATGCGCATGAGGAGATGCGCAGAGAAGTTTCACTAACATAAAGAAAATTTCCGAATCCATATGTGCTCCCATCACGACTGCTCTTCACTTTGATCAGCCGATCATTATCCAGCGTATACAGCGTTTTCTTCTTCAACGGCGAACCGCAGACCTCTTCAGCCACAATGCCGGACATGTTGTCTGTGTAATCCGTTGCTGTATTATCCGGTCCGGAAAACTAAGAGCACCTCAATAGAAGTGCTCGTAAAAAACTGCAAATCCCAACGTGAGCCTAATTAAGAATTTGTTCAACATTGGCCTGTATGTATTGTACAACAGTACAACTACCGTAGTTTATTGACGATTAACCACTTATCAACGATTTCAATATTTCGCGCTTACAAATATATCACGTCCAAAGACGTGCAATACTATTATCCAAATACTGCTAAGAGAAAATGGAGAATTTGCACAAAATTACTGTACCACTTGCTTGCGCTTCGCTCTTTAACCAGTTAATAAAAGTAATTTACATAAATAAAAGTGAAATACATAAAATTAATCCACACAGACTACTGATTTTGAGCACACTACTGTACCCTTTCTACTCAATTATTTATTTATTTATTCTGTTATGAAATCAAAAGCAGATTCGTGATGGCGTTTAACACTGGAATAAAATAAACTAATCTTTCTAAATCTACCTACCATGTATAAAATTTCCATTGAACAGTCAATAGTGTTTTCAATCTACAGATGTAACCATTTTCCCAGCACCCACAGGAGACGCAATAAATATCCTTCTCATTTATTGCATCACCAGAACATTCATTTCAAAAATAATAACAAAATACCCGTAGTAACAGCATCATCCTGATAGGCGACACGCATGAAGCCTCGAAAAAAAGCTGTAAGTAATAATTAAAATAAAACAAAATCAAATTAGTTTACCTCACTGGGGTTAGGAAAACTTCCAAAAATATCCAACAATATCAGTGCATGCAAACAGGCAACAACAGGCACACGGCGAATCAATCACACATCACAAGAATGCAGTGATCCTGTGCTTTTCGCGTGCAGCACCAGAGAACAGCAATCAAAGATCACTATTATTCATGTTCTGGTGTGTACGGCCGGAAGATGCGATGTCTTCGGTTGGGCAGAAGGGAACGGTGGCAGACTGAATAAACGCAGCACCGCTGCAGCTAAAAAACCTGTAGAAAAACATAATGATCAAGTCATCAAGTACTGCGTTTTGCTACTGAGAAAAATCCGCTAGAAAGGGGAGAAATGCGTAGATTAGGAATCGAAGCAACCGTACCAGCTCCAAGGAATCGCGATGCAATCCGATAAGTGCGAGTGGTTCCCTTCTCCGTGTGCGCGAGATATAACACGTAGAGACCCACAGCGGATAGGGCACTGGCTCCTGTTAGACGGCAGGACAGACAATCGACAGAGGATTGCAACTTTTCTTGCTCGGAGGGGGAGAGTTTCTCGCTCTTGCTATTGGCACTTTGCATCATCGTAATCAAAAGGCACCAGCATTTACCAAGCTCAAAGATTAAAACCAACACTCAAAAACATTCGGGATACCTAAGCAGGCTAAGCGTAAAAATAAAAACTCAAAAGTCAAAATGATTGAATGTTCTAAAACACCGAAGTCCGAAACAGACTGTAAAAAAATCAAAGAGAACAAATCAAAAAATAAAAATTCTGGAAAAGCTAACAAAAGTACTTAAAAAGTTAAACAAGTTAATAAAGTGTTTGCGATACAAAACAGAGTTTGTTTTGCAAAATTGCAAAGTTTTCATGTGGCAAGGAAAACTGGTTTCCGGTTCCACTGCAGCATCACCAATGGAATGCCCAACCGGATACCCGTAATGGGATTCCAGTCTGTGCTGTAATCCCGCCCAAGTACGTACATTTTTTTATGCCAACAAGTAAACGCTGTATACGCCAATTCTTAGTTCTCTCTTTTGATTTTACAGCTATTTCTTTATTTCTTTTTGTTTATCCGTAATCTTTTCGGTTTCTGTTTGCAACATTTGAGTGAGGAAATTATTAGTGAGCTGTGTATAATGCAAATCTTACCGCGCAGCCGGATTGCAGGGCAGACTAGCGGTCCGGCATAGACGGAATGTTCGTATCAAGTAGGGATTCCGCGGAATCATCATTCCTTTACGACTGTTTACATTACAATGACAATTCTCGTAAATCTGGAATACTGCTGTGCCATACAGCCAGATTCCTTTAATGTCAAATTAATATTTAATGGACATGTTAGTTGTGTGACTTGTTTCCAAATTTTTATGCTGTATCATGCAATGCAGCAAAAGGTGAAACTCCGTTAGACACGGTGCGGCAACTGTCCGTAGCATAACACGACTGTTGGCCGATTGCGTTCTTCGTGTCATAGCGTTAACGTTAATCCTACTACAAGCGAGACTGCAGAAATCTTATACCGCCGCAAGTCAAATTCACGAAAACGCGTTTTTCTGTGAAGCAGCACTTTTTCTGCCGATATATGCCAGAAATACTAGAAAGTGCGATTCGGCATTATTGTAGTATAGTACTACATATTAAACCGAACATTCCGCAATCCGCATTCGTACCGTGTATCCACCGCGAAGACTGAGCAGTATTTATTTGGACGTAAAGAATGCATTCGCGCTGATCACGTCAAGTCACAACAAACAAGTTGCATGAGTATTGCATTTAACTTACAAAACTTTTCTCCAGTTTCACCAGGTTAACACATTTTTTTAATTCGATCTCTGATTAAGTTGTGGCTCCAGCTTTGCATACTTTTGATGGGATTTGTGTTCCGATGGCTTTGAAAGTGATATTTTCCGCTGTCGCTGCGCAGGATCCGTCGCGCACTTCACCATTAGCCATATCGTGTACTGCGAACAATAACCCATTGACCGAGCTGAGTCTCTACCGGTCACGTGCGCCTGTTACCGGGGAAGGAAGTGCACTCCGCGATAAACCGTTTCGGAAAGCGGTTTTTGTTCTGGGATTATTTGGTGGAATTTTCAATTTTCTATGTGCAATCGCCGGAATTGTCATCTTGAGCATATATTTACGTAAGCCCGGAATTGTAGAAAGTGTTAACCTCATATTATAACTCATTTTTGGTGTGAACAGCCAGATCACAGAACCGTTCATACATGTCATGTACTTCAGTTATTTTTAAGTTCTTACGAAATATGAATGATGCAATAACAAATTATAGGGAGTATATGTATTGTAAAATGTAAAGCAAGATAAGTAATTCACAACTGTTACGGTCATAAATTTCTGATAAGGACGAATATTTTGGAAATTGAAAGAATGATAACATACGTGCACGAGATCGCTTCCGTGTAATTTTCCTACCATTTCAAAACATTTCGCTTCCGTGTAATTTTCCTACCATTTTCCATTTAATTAAAGGATTTGCAGTTACAAAATTTACAATAACATTGTGGTTGCAGTGTATATATAAATTGCAAACGCCACGTGTTTGTGCACACGTGAACAGATAGTACTCGTAGATAATAATATCAATCTTTACGTGCGGCACTTAAGCAGACTTTATTGATATTGTTGTGTTTGCACGCTGTGATCTTGTAGTACTTGTACAAGACTGCTGTAAAGACATGGTACACACTTAAATGTGCCTACGTACGATACGCGGTTTATAACCATTTGACGGCCAGTTCTAATTACTTTAAAGATCAAAGAGATGCAAATGTTGATACACCCGAAATAATTATGAATAATTTTATGTGTTTGCAGCATACACCATCACGTTAGCCGTTCTCACAGCCTGGCTCATCCTGGCCTCCATACTGTCCATCTCCACCGGCCTCTCGCTGGCCAAAGCCCTCGGTTTCCCACCGGCCACACCCAACCGCGACTTCCGCCTCGATTATCTGCTGCGTTTCGCTGCCCTCGTCAGCACCCTGTCCATTCTCGTGGGCACGGCCGCCTTCCTCCACGGGCTCATCTTATTACTGCAGATGACCCACCAGTCACTGGCCCGCGATGATACTGAAGAGCTCATCGAACAGATGGACTCCATGGGTCTATACGATGTGGCCGAAGCGGTCCAGAATCAGACAAAAAAGAACCGGCAAGTAGCCGGGTCATCCAGTACCGCCGTGGGGCTTGTCGCTTTCCTCATCAACATGGTCGCTTTGTCGGTGGTGTGGAAATCGAGGAGAACGGCGCGGGATGAACGCCGGAATCGTGCGGAGGATATCGGGGTCAGTGTTATTGGGATGCCGGACAATGTTCCGCCACCGCCTACGTATGCCGCGGCAATAGCCAATAGTGGAGCGGAAACGCCGATATATCCGATGCCGGAGCCTCCACCACGCTACACCGCCTCGTGATTTTTTTATAAACACGCAATACTGTATTGCTGTATTTAAAATGAGACACACAAATCTGCAACCATGAAGCTACAGTATACTGTATACTAACCTGGCTAACTTAAGCATTTATTTGCGGGAGCAATTGTAAAAATGACTTTCTTATGGGATACAAAGTACATTGTGATTTTTTATATGAGATTAATATTTTTATTTGCTTATCGAAGTGGAATAGCTGTATGGTGTACAGTTACGCAATGAAGCTTGTTTCTGAAGAATGCATGTCACAGGCATGAAAGCTATAAAATTACTTCGGCAACATTTATAAGCCGCACCATAAAATTACCAAAGCCACAAATCAACCTCTTTGTTTTTAACCATAAGACTGAAGGTGGACGAATTATCGGTACTCGTACATTATACCCCGGTTCTATGGCAAGCAATTTTTTGACGTGCTTTAGACATCGTCGGAGCACAACACGCCGTCTTTAGAACGGCATGTTTCAGTATACTTATGGAGCTCCTTTTTATGTACATTTTCACGTCTAAAATACTTGATCTACGGAACTATATTATGGCTTTTTGAAACTCAAAAAACACCCATCCAAAGGACATCTTTTGGATGAAGAATACATGGGCGCTTTTTTCGCGAGTAGAACCGGGTACGAGAACAAGCTAGTCGCAGTACAATGCATCGCTATGCCTATGTACTTGTACTGTATATTTATATCCAACAATTAATTATAAGTGGACTACATGAAGCCAATAAAATTTACGATCAACACGCGGAATATACCGGAAATCTAGGAAAATCACCAATGTGTTACCTGAAGGCGTAACTACACGGTCAGTATTAGATCTTTTTGTACTATAGTCTGCAGCATCATGAAATGTCGTCAATTCTTCTGCTGCGCCACTGAGTACGGTACAAATAGTGGTGCATCAAGTCTGGAAAACTTTCTCAGCTTCCCGGTTCTATTCGAGAAAAAAGCGCCCATGTCTTCTTATCCAAAAGATGTCCTTTGGATGGTTGTTTTTTGAGTTTCAAAAAGCCATAATATAGTTACGCAGATCATGTATTTTAGACGTGAAAATGTACATAAAAAGGGGCTCCATAAGTGCTGTATCCTAACCCTGCACTTGAAGGAAATTTGTACAGTGCAGCCACACGTACTTGTACGACCGCATTCACCATTCACATACGCGGCTTGCAGCTCGTGCATGTTAGAACGTGAATTGGCTGAACTTTTATCCGGCTATACAGCACCGTGCCGCTCATAGCGTACAAATTTCCTTCAAGTGCAGGGTTAGGATACAGTATACTGAAACATGCCGTTCTAAAGACGGCGTGTTGTGCTCCGACGATGTCTAAAGCACGTCAAAAAATTGCTCGCCGTAGAACCGGGCTTCCTGTTAAAGCTTCTTTAATCTGATACGGATACGAGAAAAGTAACAAATCAACTGCGTCTTCCGGTTTGTTACCTCCATGATTATGATCGATATACTACGTACCGGTATTACAAATATGTATCAGTTACAAATAAATTAAAGAATCTATCACGTTATTGGCACACAAACGCAATTAATTGGGCATAGGTTAGGTCGTATGCATGCCGGGTCACTGGTACAATTGCATTTAAAAGATAATCCAAGCGCAACATCCCACCATCTCTGGTCTATGATCTGTCCGGCGCTAATATAATGTAAATCTATAGATGAATATTGAACTTTTACGGGATGCTCGTTATTGTTTACCCATGACAAAGCTTTATGCCATGGAGCCAAAACTGGGTCGCAAATGCGTTCACCGTGTAAACGACCTTCGATTCCACCCAATTGGCTTCTCCACACGGTAAGTGTCATCTTCCATAAAACTGGATCAATTTTTTCCCAGACATTGTCGATCGTCCCATAATGCATATCCCGTGTATTTAAGCCACAAACAACAAGGAATACAGGGAAGCGCGGGACACATGCATCCGTCGGCAGGAACTAGCAAGGACAATATTTACACAGTGTGACAAGTTCATTCCCAACAGCAACCGGCGAGTCTTGGGTCCGAAGCAGCGTAATCGCGCGGTGTGTATTTTTAGTGCTGCTTGCCGCAACTATCTTACACATACATATGTATATATGCATCCTTAATGCCACCGCTTCCGGCTTATCATCATCTGTCGCTGATCCAGCTGGATGTGGACGTGTAATACATGTGCGACTCATCATCATCCCAAGTCAGCTGGTTAACATTTCCAACGCATTACACAAATCGGACTTGGATCGGAAAAGTGCCGACTGGGCAGTTGGCTTAAAGTTGTGTGTTTGTTGTTGAGCGCGATGGTGATGAGAGAGGATGTGCCGGTGTTGAATGTTTAATGCTGTTAATGATGCTGTCGATGGATCAGATGGGACGGATCCGGCATTACATGTATCGTTGATAATTTATGAGAGGATATCAAAATGTCGTCGGAAACGATGGAGTTTTTACCGTTGCGGCGGAATTCTTCCCAGAGAAGTATGGCCATTGCCAACTATTTCCGTAAACTGGGATACGGGCATATTTTGTTGGGATGTCTTGCAGTCAGCCTGCAAATTGCCGGTAAGTTTTTTACATCTGACAATATCGCAGTGACAAATGACCTACTCTATACCATAAGGAAAGTTATTTATCCGGAAGGTCTCAGCTGTATCACACAGTTGACGTGAGAGGCGTAGTTACATTTGTTCTTTTTATGTAACATTGTCAAAATTTTGTAAAATTCTGTTATAGCATATGTGTGTATTATAGCATTTTTTAAAATTCGTAGACGCTGTATATTATATATCTGTATTTACTCTATTTTTAAAAAAAAGATTTGCTTAACTCCATCTAGTGCTTTACTGCCATTTTGCCGTTTATACATTCTTTACGCTAGGCGTTTTCTGACTAATTGAGTTTCCTGGACATCCCATATTTGTTTACACCATGATCTCGTTTCATCGAAAACGCATACAGATACTTACTCTGCAGTCTGCATAACATATTTCTGCCACCAGCAGATCATTTTCCATCCCGGACTGCCAAAACTTTCATGCATTTCAACTACTGCACTTTGTTGATGCCGGCAGTAATTACGAAAAGTGCGATAGAGTTTCCCCGCTAAAAATTCCCTGTTAAACGTCATTTTGCCGGTCGATCTTTACAATGCAATTTACGTTAGACAAATACAATCAAGCCGTTTCGGCGGCTTCGCCCACACACATCGCGCGTATTACGTAAGACCGTAAAAGAAAAGCGACTTAAATTTGCATATCCATGCAATCCCAGGGGATCAACTTTCACTTGTGATAATCGATTATCACCATACAATTCAGCTATTAGCGTCTGTAAGAATAACGCGAGCACATGTTTCGTTTTTAATGCTAACTAATTTTAAATTGTGATAAATATATACTATTTACTAGATTTATTAATTTCTTTGAGGGAGTGTTGTTTATTTTTATAAAATAAACTTCAGTCAGTACTTGAGGTAAATTGCTCGACGAAACTAGCAACAGATATGATTTGTTTAATACTTTTATTATTATTTGAACTTTTATTTGTTTAATATGATAACTTCTTTTATACTTGTACTGCTCTCAAATACATAGTAACTGGATATTATGCTTAGTTAATCTCTTAACATTTTTCGGTAAAAAGGATTAATTCGTCAACTGTAAAATTGCGAACATTTATGAAATCTGTTAGGTGCAGCAAATGCTCTGACGTATTTAATCAACACGATCTGAGTGAAAGGGAGCTGTAACGGTGTCATCCCGATACCTGATAATATCATGATTGTTTTGATTGACAGTAACGGTGATGGCCTGTTTATACTATGGATTGTACGCTTGGAACTGGGATGCCCCGACCCTAGCCAAGAGTTCCATGGGCATCTGCTCCGGCACCGTGGCCATTATCCTGGGCGCCCTGCAGATCGATGCCGGTGCCATCCTCCGCAAATCATCCCGCGCCAACGTCGATGACCGGTTCTGTGCCATTAAAATGCTGAACTGTTTGTCGGCACTGTTTGCTCTGCTGGTGCTGGGCATAAGTGTGTACCTTTTGTACATTCTCATGCAGTGGCTGAATGTGGAGGACGAAATGTACCGGCGCTTTCAGAACGGTCCCGTGGCCGTGGGCGTGGTGCTCAATAGTGCGCAGGGGTTGGTGGCCGTACTGGAAGTGGTGCTATCCATTCTTGGAGTGGCCATGCGTGATTTCTGAGGAACGGAAGATGTGCGCGCATCCTCTTGAATCTTTAACAAGTTGTGATCAATGATTTATGATACTCGCTATACGTGGATGCTTTATTTTAAGACAGTGGTGAATCTTGCGTTTGTACAAAGAAAAATACTTATTCATATCGCTGACCTTTCTGATTACTTGTACGTATACGTATACACTCGTACATCAGTGCAATATCGACACAGCTGTTTAAACGTACTTACTTAATTACCGTAAGTAAGTACACCAATTTCTGCTTGAACACCCCTTGGCGGAATTACAGCACTTGCACAAAATTACACTTCATTAATTTTTAATGCATATCAGTGTATGCAAATCTTGTCGGGCTGGAGTACGGCAAACGAAATAATTTTATAACGTCAGACTTTAAAAATGCGCCTTCCAATGAATACAGTAAGCGTTTTGCCTTAAACAAGATTCAGCGAAATAGAACATATTGCGGAAAGAAGGCTTGCAGACTACGTATTCACGCTTTTTAATCGCTAATTAACGCTGATCGACACGCGCACGCGCTGATTTATTACAAGAAGACATAATTTTGCAAAGAACAATAAACGGCAAACAATAAACAAAGTATTCGGCAATAAACATCAAAGCAAAAAAAAGTGCACTTTGCGAACAGTTCGTGTTCACAAGATCGAGGCACCCGGCCTAGTCTAATCTTGTACAGATAAATTAAAATTTGCCGACTATTATATAATACAAATTCCTCACTAAAAGGTGTAGTTCCGCTGCCAAAATATCTTTACTGCACTGTAAACTAATAGGGAGTGAACTGGAAGGAGTGGATGACAATTTCCAGTTCCTGTCCGTTACTGGGTGCCAAGCCATTAAATAACCACAGATTAATCATTGCCGGCATGGGACTCTGTGGTACATCCACCGCATTGGCAGGAGCAAACGTCCAGCTGACATACTCATTCAGCCGGTTGTTATTCTGATGCCCGTGCTGTCCACTGAACAAAATATTATTACTCCGCCACGCAAACGACTGCGTCGTATACGTCCCCGACAACGCCAAATCAAACTGATAGGACGTCTGCGGCCGACCGGCCACGGAAGGGTACACGGTAAAACTCGCCGGTTTCCCGTTAGCATAGCCCCATTTGGCATATTCAATGTCGATCTCATTGGTCCGATCGGGACCGACATCGGGCGGCGGATAGTTGAATAAACCCAGCACAATGTTCTGATCCAGCCGGTCGATGGGACCTTCAATCTGGAACTGGTAGCGGCCGAAGCCCAGCCGTTGGATGGTGGCTACTTCCGCACAATACCAGCGTCCATTGCGCTGGGTGATTTTCAGATGGAGGCGACCTTGGTCGTCCAGGAAGGCGTTGTTCTCGTCCCAGTTGTTTGGTCCCGGACTGGTTCCGGTCTGGCTGCTGCGCACCGACCATTCTCTACCGGAAAAGGTCAGCGTTTTGCCATGGACGCTTTCGCTCAGTAAAATAAAAGCAAAGGAAATCGCTACCGCTTCAAGCAAACTGTTTGCAGCGAACCGGCTTGAGTATGCCATTTTGTGTTATTTCCGTACAAGCCTTATAAAATTTTCGTGGTGGAATAGGCTTAGTGATTTACCGGCATTATATACATAGAGTGAACTCAGACGGATGTTCGACGCGTATTCACACTATCTCGCGTAACATGTTTTATAGTTTAGCTGGAAAATCCGAAAAATACCGGACTTGTACAACCGGTAAAAGCCTAAAAGGTAGCGACTGCTTACAGCAGCTGCATGCGTCATTTTTATCGCTTCCTTCTAATCACCACCACATGGCCGGACTTTGGACAAGAACCTTAAAAGAGATTCCATGAATGGAAGATGTTATGAATTTGTTGTGATGAGGTATCTAGCTTGTTTGTTGCTCATGCACGCCCATCTTTTGCACATTCTGGAAACCACGACGGCACTCGTCGACCGACCGGTCAGTTCGTCCGGCATCAACGTTACAAGCAGAATTATTTTTCGCGTATTATCAAACCGGGGTATTTTGTTAGCAATAAAGCTGCCAAAAATAGTTCAGTAGCTACGCAGATTAGTCTTAAACAAATTAGATCAAGTCAACTACAATACACCAGTTGCATGTGTTTAGTGAGAAAGGTTAAGTTTGTACGTACCGTGAAAAGGATCAGTTAACCCTACGTACACGCGGTTCTGATACGGTCACCTCAAGAAAGTTTTGTTCTAACGATATCATCATATTTTGAATATTGTGGAAAGGAAAATCTTCATCAGTTTAAATAAAGGAAACGAAGCTAATTAAGTACAGCGCGCCTTCACTACTAGAATTCGAGCCACAGTGACTCGGTAGAATGAGTTAATTAATAATGCATGTAATTGTACACTTTCCGATATCAATGTGCCACGCACAATTTCCATTGTACGATGTACAATACTCGGTATTGTCCATGGTCTTGAACTTCGCTGTTATCACTACTATTGTTTAAAGTAAGTATAATCGCTGAATCGACGCTGATTAGAGTGTCTGCCGCTGTAAACAATGAAAGCGTAAACTTTATATATAATTATGCAGTACTTCATACGCAGTTAGAAGTGATAACCGCGCAACAATACCACATTAAAGGATTGTTAAACGTGTTTCACATTCAACTGATGCTGATAACACTATCGCGTGCTTATTGTCTCCTGTTTTTGAATCACGTTTGCCGTTTCGTGTTGTACATTGCCTTCCTCAAGCAGCAGTTGCTGTGAGCGTCAGAAATTCTTGTATACAAATATAATTCTGGAATCATCGTCGATCATTTCAGAAACTAAAATGCGTATCACAGCGGGATTATTGTTAATTATTGCCACTGGAGCGCTGTGTGCGCCTTCCGGTTCCCAAGGCGGTCCAAGAGCAGGTGCGTACGCCATGCAGTGTAATTACGAGTAACATAGATTTTCCGTATTCGGATATAATCTGGGCCTATCTGGCAAACACTACAAATAACCACCAACTTTTTAAATTGTGCGTACTTAATACTAAAAGATAGTGTTGTTGATTTATCAAAGCTTTTATTGTAGACACCTGCGGAAAGGTCGCTATTGGTCAACGCAATAATGTGCAAAGTTTCATCAACAAGATCGTCGGTGGATCAGAAGTAAGTTCCTGTGAAATTTTTCAAAGCTTCGATCGTTACCCAAGTACTTTGTTTATATTAACTACGCGCAATATTATTACTTGTATGGCTTTAGGAACACAAAAGCTGAGAGTTTTTGTTGTTTAAACCGCAGTTAGAACCGCGATATCGTACGCGGCTAACCAGCCAAAGCTCCAATCTTTCAACTCTGATAACTTTTTCCATGTTTCTTGTGGTTGACACACTTGTAATACCGCTTTTCCATATATATATTTTATTAGGCGACACCATACAGCTGGCCATGGCAAGTTGGGCTTCGGTTAAGGCTCCCGGGAAACAGCCCAATATTTTTCTGTGGTGGCTCCATCGTGAGTTATTAATTCTGGTCACACGGATGCATAGTGCATACCTTACTTTTCTTCGGATTAATGTATATTAATTGGCATTATTTGAATGCCGCAGATTGCTAAAAAATGGGTTATTACTGCTGGACATTGTTGTGACTTGGAACAACTGCACCCGGCGTATGGGTAATATTACCAATACAACATACATAATACAGTTGCTGCAAGTGTCTAGTTTTTGATTATCCTCATTTACACGTTATTGTAGGGGATCTATGGAAGTATTCGTTGGGACACACCGAAAGCAGAATGTCCAGTACAATGACGTATTTGCAGTTAGACGATTCATTAAGCATCCCTACTATTCCATGACCCCCATGATTGTCAACGACATGTGTTTGCTCGAGCTTGAACGGGTAAGCGTCAGATGTGACACCAGTACAATATTAATTAAAACAATACAATTATTTTCGCAGTAAAAGCAACGCCTTTGAATATAAAGCGCAACAAAATTTATAACAGATGAGAAATTCTTGGTGTTTAATTTAAATGGCCTTTCCTGAACTATGAAAACAGCATATATATAAAAAATTATGCAATATGCGGTCAAAGTGCTGTCGCAGACAAAATACATAGCTAAAGCTGGAGTCTATATGCAAAATTATATAGATATGTCGTGCATTCGCTGATGGGAATAATTTTGTGTACGTACAGTATCAGTAGTCAGTACTGTTGTTTCTGTAGGAGCTCACTTACAGCATGCGGGTACAGCCAGTTTGCTTGGCGCAAGGTGAATGGCCAGCGGGCACCGAGTGCTTCGCGTCGGGATGGGGTAGCATCAATTTCTCACCCTCGACATCCATACAGCCCGATGCACTGCAGGAGACCAACGTTCACCTGGTCTCCGAGTCCAGCTGCAGACGGACGTATGACATCGTTCCTAATATCAACATCGGCGACCACACCATTTGCGCCCTGAAACACGGAGCTGGACCGTAAGTCCGTTATATTAGTGCAGAGTAAAACAGTCTGAAAGCGGCCAACTGCATGTCTTATATGTAGTTAATTACTTTTTTACAGGTGTAAGGGTGATAGCGGTGGGCCGCTTGTGTGTCGCCGAGGAGATCGCTGGGAGTTGGTCGGAGTGACATCTGCGGTCTCCATGGCGTACGTATTTAGCCAGATTAGTGTTTACAGAAAACTCTGTGTCGTTACGTAATTGTATAATGGATTTTGCAGGGGCTGTGGTCATCCATTCTTCCCCACGGTTTTCGCTAATGTGGTGACCTTTGGCGAATGGATAACTTCTTACACTGGCACCCTACTGTGATTCCGAACATTTTGTTGGTTTTACAACAGCTGGATGGCGCGGGAACTGTCTGTTTTATACTTTTAGGCAGATCTTTGCCCGTAAAGGGTTGCTGGCCTTTCGTCACATTAAACAATTTACTTATTGTTAGTTAGTCAAATTGATTCGATATTGGTTCAGTTCTGAAGTTGTGGAAATTGTTTGTTAATTCGAATTCTGCATGTTGAAAAATTTAAGAAAATTATGAAAAATGAAGACATTGTATAATAAACATAATAACGTGACCTTATTGCCTAAAGCTTATATATAGAAGCGTATGCGCATATATACAGAGTTTATAGTCTACGTACCTATAAAAGATCCCTCTATCCTTGAAAATGGTCGACTGCACAGGTGCACGGCATCTCTGCTAAAGGTCACGCAACAATATGACAAACAGTCGTGAATGCAAAGCGAGAAACACAAACCCAGAAAGCAAATGCATTGCAGCGACAATCTCCTCCAGAGTTGTGCAAAAATGCAACATAAACAGCGAAGAATCTTTTAAATCGCCGGTGTCTTTATCCCTGCAACACAACAGCGAATTCCGGACTTATATGCAGAACTTCCCCTATAATACAGAAATTGCATTCTGCTCAGTGAGATTAATTGCTTATGCTGGCAAGGCTTGGCAATCGTATGCATGCACGTGCCGCTGTGCTCGTGGCGTAAGTTGCTTTTTACGTAGTTAGTTTTATGCCCCACTGTGTATACGAATCGTGCGAATAAGGTTTGCACTTTGCAATTCTTAATTGAGACGGAAAGCCTGTTATAAGGACCGGATAAATCAAAAGGGCACTTCATCATTGTCATTATGGTCCTAATATGACAATCCTTTGCCAACACACACAGACAAAAAATGGAACATGAACAGAGCAGCTTGTAATCAAAGAATTTGTGGCACAGTAATTCTGCCAAAACTATCAAGAACACTATTCAATGTGCACATTTACGCCAAATGCGCGGATTACGTAATATGTAGTCAGAGATTACCCGTAGCATATCAGTCTTGCTCCATTTTGATGCGCTTGTACTGTATCATAATTTTAGTTTGTTATCACAAAATTATCGCATCGCCCATTAATATTAATATTCTGTTGGTTATGTACTTTCCTTACTGCATTACACGCTCACGTTACCTGCGAAATGGCCAAAGTTGTAAAACTGCTACGCATTCTGTAGTATAAAAGATCCTTCGTTGCATGCATTCTTATTCGTATGTTTAATTGTACGACTACGAACAAATTAGCTTGAGAAACTACATTTCAAAAGATGCAGATCTTGTTGGGGATTTTATTTGGCATCGCTGCTATGGTGGCTAGTGTCCCTACAACATGGTCAGGACACAAGTCAGGTATGTTCATTTTACCGGTATTGCAATTTCTTACTAGCATTAGCAACCGGAAACTGCGCTTTTAGTTCTGTGCGGGCACATAATTTTTAAATGTCACTTGTTGAAGGAGTTAGTACGATGCACACGACAATTATACCAAATAACAACGAAAATGTGAAGGACTGTGATTGCTTATGCACGTAGCAAGCCAGTAAGCGCTTGTCTTGCAGCACACTTTGCTGGCAGCATTTCAGATCGATTTTAGCTGGAAGTGAATAGTCTAATGGCAGTACACAGCGCAAAAGCTCCAGGATGCTGTATTACTGCCTAGTGCAAACAATAGTTTTCCCTCCAAAACATATTATGCGTATCATGACAGCGGTTGATCCCTTTAATTTTAAGGGCTCTCTGGAGAGATACATACCGGCATCGTTAGACACGCTGATAAGATCGTTGGGGGAACCGAAGTAAGTTAGCAGACCACTGGCAATCTAATACACATCATATTCATATACAACGTGGAAATTGCATTTTATGATTCATAATTTTAATGCACCCATTGAAGCTACCTATGTAATATGTACTCGCATATTTATATATAAACTAGTGTACCAGTAGGTACGGAATTAACTGCAAATTGTAGTTGCGAATACCAGGTACCTTATTAAGGCTGTACGGACAAGTAATGAGATTGTTTACTACTTTCTGCAAGGCCACACCCTACAGATGGCCCTGGCAAGTTGGAATTCAGTCAAGAATTGTTGCGGAAGATCCTGACGTTCTTGAAGATCCTCCGGGATTTTTCTGTGGCGGATCTGTTGTACGTTAATATTTGCAAGTGTATTTGGAAACGATCGTAACAATTATCGTTTGTACTGCAGATTGATAAGAAATGGATCCTTACAGCTGGACACTGCTGCGTCCACATGATTGAAACCAGGTAAACAGGAGCAGCGCAGGTGGCTGTTCACTACGTAGCGATAGTAAATAAGAAGCATTCATTTGATAAAAGATAATTATATGTACACTGTACAGTAAATGAAAATCTTTGAGTCATGCTGCTCAAGAGAAAGCAGATAATTCCTAGAGAAATAAGTTGGGATCGCATTTGGGCTGCTACCACATGGCACAGGATCCACGAATTTAAATAAAAGATATTACAATCACCATATTTTCGTACTTTTGAAGGGAATCTGTGGAATTCGAGGTATTTGTTGGAACGCACCGGCGACAGGATGTACAAAGCAGGGATATATATGCCGTCGCCCGCATATTTATACATCCGCACTACTCCAATCCTGAAACCGGTGGTGCTAATGATATATGTCTGCTTGAGCTTGAACGGGTAAAGGTCAAAAATTATCCGGCAAAATTTAATGCTTTCAAATGCTGCTGCTCGCATACCGTAAATTACTAATGCAAGAAAATTAAAATACTTATTTAAAATTCGTGGAACGGTTAAGCATAGCAGATTATCTCAATGTACTTATATGGAAGCTGCTTGCGCAAAGGTCGTTGCAATCTGATGCCAACGAAACTGTGCGATGTATACAGGAAGTCACATTCAATCAGCGAGTACAACCAGTGCGCCTGACCCACAGCGTTTGGCCAGCCGGGACGGAGTGCTGGACCTCGGGATGGGGCAGTATTAATTTCATGGTGACAACGGTAATACAGGCGGATGCCCTGCAGAACACCCCAGTCAGTCTGGTGTCGGAGAACAACTGCCGCAACGCGTATGTTGCTGCTGGTGTCTACATGAACATCGGCTCGCATTCGGTGTGCGCCCTCAGGGCCGGAGCGGGACCGTACGTTGGACCACAGAATTCGCATTTGAAAATTCAACATTGCATTGCATATAATAACATGGATAAAGTCGTTTTTGATCATTGCAGGTGCCGCACCGATAGTGGTGGACCTCTGATGTGTCAGCGAGGAAATCAATGGGAGCTGGTTGGCGTTACTTCCGGTGGTAGTCCGTAGTAAGCAACTTTGCAGAGAATCGCTATACTGTATTCGTATTCTATGCTCTCACATTCTATATTTTCTTTTTTGTAGTGGCTGCGGTCATCCATTATTCCCCTCGCTTTTTGCCAATGTGGTGAATTTCAGAGATTGGATAAGCAGTACCACCGGCATCCCTTTCTAGCCACGGCAGATTATAATATAAGAAAAAATATACGATACGAACAAACGAAAAGATATAATATTTGGCTTGGTTTTATGTGGAAATATTCATCCAGCGAGTAGCATCGCGGAATTTGAGTGTGTGAGAAACTGTAAATAAAACAGAAGTGATATAAGCTGTACCGGCAGCCTGCAGTGACTGCGTCATATAAACATAAACAACCGTTTCCTATCTAAACGCTGTTAAGCTTTGCCGTATTAAACTTACATTATTTTACTTACCTGTAAAATAATTTTCCCGTTCCACAACTTTCCATTTTTTCATATTCATACAGCAAACAGCCGCTTTAAGATAGAAAACGCAGTAAAGTGGTGCTTTGCAAGAATAATTAATTAATTACTTACACAAACATCCGAATCCTCACACAATTCCAAAATTCATCGCAATAAAAGGCGCTGGGGAAACAAATATGTGCAGCACAAAACTATTATACTGCAATGGCAACTTCTAAGCTGCCCCTAGTGGGTTAGATTAATTCACCGGTACCACGATAAAACGAGGCTTGATGGTTCGTCGGTAATTACCCAGATCATAAGTAAATTACCATCTTACGTAACGCGCAAATTCAGGAACACCATCATCAGTTTAATCAGAATCAGAGCATGTGCAAGAGCAAGCTTAAGGGCAAGAGCAAAAACATGTGGGAAAGTAAACCGTCTGCCGGTCGAGGCAGCGTGAGCACGTCTACTGATTTCATATCCAGAAAAGTCAGAACATCTCAGAATTCTTCATAACCGATAACATGGATCACAATTCTATTGAGATAGGCGGTACATCTGTTCCCGGTTGAGTTGTTAGTTAACTAACAGATTCCTCTACCCTTTGGAGATTGCCTAGTGCACAGTTCACAGTTGCACGCACGGCATTTGTGCCAAAGGTCCCGGCAGAATACGGCAAACACTAGTGAATGCAAAACGAGAAATACAAATTAAGCTAGAGCAAAATCGACTATTGTATCTCCACACAGATGCAAAAATGCGATATGCTAGTACATAAATGGTGAAGTTTCGTTGAGGTGCCGGCGTCTATTTTTTTCAACACAATTGCAACAGCGAATTTTTTAGTTTCGACGCTCGAAGTACAGACTGAATTGTTCTTCCAGTCCGTAGTAAAATACTCTGGAGTCGGTAGACTCTGTACTACTCTGTTTATATAAATTAAATAATTTTAATTTACTACAATGTAGACAATGTAGAGCAGCAATGCACCACCAGCCGCTGATTACCGTAATATAACCTGCAGTATCCAGTGATAGCCTTTAACTTTCTAGTTTCTAACAGTTGTATCGGAAGCGTTTATTATTAGGTGACCACTCCGTACACACCCTTTCACACCCTTTCACTCCGTACACAACCTTTTGCACTCCCTTTCATTCTGTGCACAACCTTTTTGCGCACTACCCTTCACTCGGTGCACTACCAAACTTTTATAAATATTATATATATTATACTTAAATACTTGTAATCTATATTACTTCAGAAAAGCAAAACTACAAAAAAATATTACTACTTTTTTGCAACATCATGGGACCGTTCCGACGAAGATGTCCTGGTGTATGACAGCGTCGGCAAGTAACTCACGTAGCAAGCGAAGATTTAATAAACAAGTGTTACGGAGCAGGTCTTGCGGAGATTAGGGTGAAAACGTTGCTGTTCCAAATAAAAAAACGGTCGAGATTGCGCGTTTTTTTTATTCCAGAAATAACTCTGCTGTGAAAAAATTAAAAAAATTTAAAAGGTTGTGTACGGAATGAAAGGTAGCGCAAAAAGGTTGTGCACGGAATGAAAGGGAGTGCAAAAGGTTGTGTACGGAGTGAAAGGGTGTGTACGGAGTGGTCACCTTATTATTATTAGTTTTAATAACTTTGCATTATACTTGTTTCAAACAAGTGAGTAGTTGTTTGCTATTTACTACTTCTACTTGTACAGCGAATCCAGTGTAAGTACTTAATTCAATGTATTATAGTGAGGTGGCATTCAGTGTTGCAATAAGAACCCTCTCGGGGTGCCGGTTTCGTATACGGTTGCCTGTCTGATTTACTTCCGCTCGTTACGCTTCGCATAAAGTTGGCTTTGTTCGCATGCGGATTTGGCTTGACAGTTGCGAACTCAACGCTGTCTGTGGATCACTGGATCTGCTGAATTATTTTGTTTTTCGTGCTTTGGCTGAGCTTACTGTTAGCCGATGATCGCCCATGATTTTTAAACTGAATTTGAGTGTAATTAATTTCTGCTAAACTGCCATTTTTCTCGCGTTATAGCCGTGGCACATTAAATCCGTTCGTTGATTTTTCTGAAGTCCCAACAGTCCCTGAATAACTGCAGCGTACTGTGTTTATCAGATGCGAGTAACAGTGTAACTGTTTACCTGTGTCAGGCTGTGTGTGATTGGTGAAACGGCTAGAAAATGGCTAGAAACACTGCTCATGACGCTGACAGTCCCGTAGACTCAGCTAACTCCGCGGACTCGGAATTTGCTGATCTCCTTGGAATGTATCTAGACATTCAACAGGGATACCATTCCCTTGTCAGCGAATGTCTGGAAACAGGTGAGTTGCCATTGAAGCACATTAAAATTTTCTTAAGTTTCTTTGTTCCATAGAAAATGTCAGTTATAACGCTTCTGTTCCGCTTTTCGCTGGGCTGGTGACATGTTTTGGATTTTGTAGATCAGACTAGTTTTCGTTTTTGGTCGGATAACGAATGATAAATCATAAATGATAAATAGAACTAAAGGTTAATTAGTAACCCTGATACGCTGCAATAATTACATAATCGTAAAATGAACAGTACTTTGTGGAAGTGAAAAAGCGCTTGTTGAAATCTGTGCTGTGCTGTGCTGGAGATGTGATTTATCAAAATGCTTCTTTTTTCACAGAGGAAATTTTCCTGGATATGGTGCGACACGAAGACGAGCATGTGCGACGTCAGTGGTACATTGCCAGCAGTCAAGTGAATCAGTACCAGAAAGCATCCGAATCTGAAGATCACAGCACTCGCAATCAGGGAATTATTAGGAATATTCGGTACGAATCATGCGCTGTATGGGATTCCTAAAATACTTGTGATAAAATATTATTGTGCCACTATTAATTATTATTGTCTGTGTAAGCACTAAGCAGAATTGAAGTGGCTTTGCCAATCGAGACTTGTTGACATGGGTTAGTTTTTCAGAAAGCAGTCAATGCAGTTCTCATCGAATATTTTCATTTTTTTCCATTAGGCGAATTGTTTATCGCTGTATGCACGTTTTATTTTCATAAATGCGTTTTTAAAATAATGGTTTCTGTGTGCTTAAAGAGTTAAAGGAAAGAAGGAATTCGATATACCAATAATTTAACTTTGATTTGACAGCGCGCAGCTGCAGAACGAAATGGATCGCCGCTTGGAGGCTGAAGATCGCATCCAGATGTTCGAACGCCTGTTTGACCGCTTTAAAACGGTCCTGGAAAGCGGCATGGTCACGGATGAGGAACGACAGCGTTTGTTCCGCTCTATGAATGAAGTATCGCAAGGCCGAAGTGGACCGAGCCGCGTGTGGTGAGGTTTTATTACTGTGCTAGATTATCCAAATTTGTCCCTTTTTTGTAGTTAATTATTTGTTATTTCTCCGTGAGCCGGCTGTCTTTTGTATACACTGCGCTCATACATATTAAAATTTGTCGACTTCTTCCGTTTAGTTCATATTTTCGATTGTGAATTAATTGTGAATTTTTGGCGGATTAAATAAGGAGTTTTTAAGCTGGAAATACGAAACACTTATATATAACTAATATTTATAACCGTGTGGTTTCCTGCAGGACGGGCATCCGTAAATCAGAGGACATCGATGCGGGACGGATTTCTTTCGATCAGAGCGATGACGAAGTGCTTGATGAAGAGGATGAAATGGACGTCCAGGAAGATATTCAGACCACTACTCGGCGCATCAGTGTGAAAAACGATTCCGGAGAAATGACCAAATTCGCTAAACTGATTGTAAGCCCTTCACGCCATTTTCTCGATGCGGAATTTGATTGCGAATTCTGTCTATGTAGGAAAGAGGCGATGGAGATGTGGAGATCATTTCGAAGACACACGTCCGCATCCCGGAGAACGGTGCTCCGATTGAGGCGCGAACATCCCTGTCGACGCGACCGCGACGCTCCGTGGCCTTCGCCGATGTGCGCGATGGTCGTCGTAGTCAGAGTGTTCCGCGTTTGAGTAGCGAGCAGACCACTGGACAGCGCATCCGACGAAGTAAGATATTAAAAATTAGCTGTACACATTTTGTGATCGCCTGTAACGTGAAACAAAATGACTTAGTGATTGTTCATTTTACAGTAAATATATCAAATATATTGAGAGTTAATTTGATTATTAATTTAATAACTGTTGTTTTAACTTGAATTAGCACAGCTATTTTAAGAGCGATAAAGAAACAGTGATTTATTTACTTGAAACAGAAACATAAAAATGGGTAACGTTAAAAATAATAATTACACTCTGAGTGTAATTATTATTTTTAACGTTACCCATTTTTAACGTTTTTAACTATTATTGCTACTCGCAAGTCAGCAGCTACGCAGAGAACTACTATCTTAACATTATAAAATTAATACTTCTTGGAATAGCTCTAAGGTTTTTACTGTATTCGCATGAATGATAATAACTGCGATCATAAGGTACGAGTATAGTAACGATATAATAACTAGGATAGTTATGACAGTAACTACGATTTCAGTAATGTAATAAACGTTGTGTTGGTGGTTTTGCAGGCAACGAGACAACTTTTCTCAGTTGCGATGCGTCCAGTCAAGGCGGCAGCGATGCAGATTCCATCGCCAACGTGCCCGGTCCGTCGGAGATGCCCCGCGCGGAGGTAGTCAGCGGCATCCTAAATCGCCGCCGGTCCCGCTCCGTGGGCGGTGGTTTGGATGTTCATCATGATTTTGTGTCCAAGCGGATGTGGTATGACACCAAATGTACGCACTGCCGCTTTCCAGTCCGTTTCGGGCGCGTGGGGCTGGTGTGTTCCGACTGTCGGATGGTGGTGCATGACGCCTGCCAGGCCCTTATCACGACACCGTGTGCCCCGGAGCGGGATCGACCGAATGCCGATCAGTCCAGCGGCAAATGGGTGCCTTTGTGTTCCTTAGTTAAAAAATTAATTTTAGTAATATTGCTGTTTTATTATTATTGTTTCTCTTTTAAAAATAATTTTAATATTATGGTTTTCTTTTTATTAATATTAATGACACTGCAGGGGTGCAAATGCGTAGGCGTATGACTATTCAGCTAATTCTCTGTATCTTTAGCTTTTTTTGAATAATTTTCTCAACAATTCGCAAGAAATTCGTTTTTTGCTCGCCAAAAATTTAGCTGTAGCCATTTGTGTCATAAAAACATTCAGGTGATTTGAAATTTTGTGCGGTTATAGTGCGCAATTGCATGTTCAAGTTTTTGCAGATTGATTTGAATAAAATCGCTCCGACCGAAACTCCACGCGTCCCCACTATGTTCGTGCAGTTGGTGCGCTTCATAGAGCGACATCTCAACGAAGAAGGTTTATATCGAGTTCCCGGATCGGTCGACCAAGTGAAAAAGCTCAAACGGGATCTGCTGAAAAATAAATTTGAATTTCGGAAGGTACGGGTAGCTGGAAAAAAAGTACATGGAGATTAGAAACTGCAAGGCTGCTTTACTTGGTAGGATGATCTGCGCGATGTGCATGTGGCGTGTAGTTTGCTGAAGAATCTCATCTCGGGATTAAATGAGCCCTTGCTTACATACCAATTATGGCCGGAGTTCAGTAAGATTGCCTGTACGTTTCGTTGGCTAACTTTACATTTGCAGTGTATTTAATAATTGTTATCCACTGTGTAGCATCGGCGAACATGGACGAATTTTATCGCCTAATCAACAAGCTGCCGCCGGTCAACCGCGAGACATTAGCGTATCTGATGCTGCATTTCAGAAAGTAAATAAATCCTATTTTAGTGCAGTAATTATTCTTGAATTAGTTCGCAGTGTTTTTCCAGTTTTTTTTTTAAATTTTCGCAGTTTTTACTGTGGCTTAGTAATAGGTTTTGATAAAACAGGTCACATATTTTACATATCTCAGTGAATAGTTCTATTAATGACATTACAGCAATAAATCGTCCGTAAAATGTTTATTTGTAATCACAATTGGCTAGTAATTCATTTGAGATATGATTGGACGTCTTCGCGATTGTAGGATCACCCAGGCGCCGAATGTGCGGATGCCGGCGACCAATTTGGTGAAGGCGATCGCTCCGACCATCGTGGGCAACTCGCGTCCGCAGGAGCAGATGACGCCGCAGATGCTGACGGCCGAGACCTTCCGTGCTCAGATCATCATGAGCAAGCTGTTGGATATCCACGTTCGTTTCTGGGAAGACATGATCCGCGGTGGACCGGCCGGATCCGGCTCCTCGAATGGCACAAACTATCACGCTCACAATTCACCGGATTCAGCGCGTCCAGGTGCGAAAAAAAGCTGGATTATTTTTGTAAATTATTTGACCACAATTCTTCCGATTTTTGTATTGCTGAATTATAAAATAAGATTCACCTTCTGATTAAGATTTGGGTTTTTTGGGAGCAGCTCCCGCTGATCGTCTGGTGCAGAATGGATTGGCCGGATTCCGGGAGAACGGCAATTCGTTCTCCAATGTCGCTAGGTCTATTTTCGGCAACAGGTGAGCGGATGAATAGGTGCTTTTTACTGCCGGCAAATTCATTCATTCCTTCGATTGATTAGAGCATAATTGTTGGCGGTTTTTGCAGTAGGAACAATCTGTCGAAATCCAACATGGAGCCATCGTACTTCCGCTCGCCCACCATGGCAGACTAGATCCTTCTTTAGTTTAAAGTCTGTCTTTTTATGGCTGCATATGTACGGATAATGATTTGGTTTTTTTTTATCGTAGTGGCGTTTTACGGTCCTAGTTCTTGCAGTGAAATATAATGAAATAATTGTTTTTCTGCTATATTTGTTCGCTCAGTGCCTTATTTTGATTGCGATGAATTTTAGAATTATGAAAGAATTCAGGCATTTGTATAATTGATTGCTTTTGTCAAATAGCGATGTGCTGCGTTTTGTTTTTAGAGCGGCAATGTTTGCTGCGCGAATAAATAAGCTGCAATCGGGAATGCTATTATTATCGAGCGGAAGAAAGTACAAATAAATAACGTTATTAGAAGAACGTTAAAAATTGAAGGAAACGTGAAGTTCATCATCATAAAGAATGAATAATTAAGAAAAACCAGACCGAGTATGAAATTTAATTGGATCTTAATTGTCGTTTGTCCACGCACCTGTGGTAATGGTTGCCGATTTTCCATTTTATTTTTTGGTTTGAAAAATACTCAATGAATATAGAGAAACTGTTCACGCATTACATCAGCTGTCTTTACAATTGACAATTCAAAACATAAGGCCATTGAAAAATCCATCCGATATTTCACTTGTTTACTGCATGAGTAGCAGCACAAAATACAAACAGCGACGTGATACACAGTACGTGAAGAATCTGCTGCTGCAGTCACTTTTACCTATTCTCCTGGAGTGTTTTCAGTGTTTTGAGCAGTACACAAAATACAGATTATTAACGCATCATGTCGCTACCTATCTTCATTGCGATTCACCGGCAAAGTTCAGAAGAGTGACTGCACGATCGAGTACATCGAATTTAAATTACATTTCCGGGGATCTTCATAAACACCGGAAATACACACGTTCATTGCAGGCAAAAAGTTGGTGTGTTTTCTACGTATCTGTCTGAAACCGATACCTGTACTGGCAGTCTTATAGCCAGCTTCCGGTTTGCTTGACGCGGAATTGAAACATGGAGGTTGCTAACCGTATCTTCGGCTTCTTACTATGGAATTTATTTATAATTTGTAATGGCAGTCCGGTGGATACAAAGGCCATAAGTCCATATTTCTCAAACAGGCATTATAATCTGACTGAAATCCGACTGGAGAACAGCACATCTAACGGTACGTGTACGGTGTACAGTAAAAGTATTGTACATAGTACTGCATATCTATATAAACATATAAATTTTACAACATGAAAATTGTTTAGTTGATTTGCAAAAGCTGTATTATACTTAAACGTAATACATCTGACCTTTTTAAGTTTTATTTTCTTGGAAGGATATAATATTATTTACAAATCTGTATACGAGAATTAACGCTACAATATTATATCTATATTTCGAAAGATTAAAGGTGCATCGTACGTAAAAGTTTCGAAACTTTTTTTTATATCTCTATACAAAACTGAATTTATTGATAATTTTAAACGAAAGCTAAGAATTGAGTAAAGCACTATAGTTCATAATATGTTTCTGATTTTATTGTTATGGAAGTTTTAGGTATTCAACTGTAAGTAACTTTTAAGTACGATATTGTACAAGCAAGTGTTCTACCATACGGTTTTATTAATTTAGGTCCTCTCGTGGTGATCTCCGATGTCGCCCACGGTAAGCACATAGCTATTCACTTTCACAAATATATCATGTGAAATTTTGGGAGGGGCCGTGGTCGCCAGTTATACAACCTTTTCCTGTCGATAAGGTACACGAATCCGCACAAAACTAAAATCCGGAGTGTCTTTATGCTGGCCTGTGAAAGTACGTGACAGTACCGGTATCGACCACACTATCTGCCACTGCAACGAAATTTCCGCTTATCACGAAGCTGCTCGTGAAGGCGACAAAGCGCCGATTATACCTACTAAGAATATTGAAGTTCATCCCTATAATACCGATGCAACGGAAACGGTTTACCCGGCTGACCCTACAACGGCCGGTGATACGGACTTCAGCACACAAGTCTCCACGGAGCTGACGAATGTGGTAAGAAAAGTCTGGTTAATGGTAATTATACGGCGCTTCGTTTCTTTTCTGGTTGGTAACATACAAATTGATTGTATGCGATTAGTTTGTAATCCCAATTTTACAGGACCATCCGCTTACTACACCGGAAATACTTCCTTTGAGCACGATGGAAACAACTCACAGCACACTAGACACCACTTCCTCCAGTGACCTTTCGATCAGTCCGGACGCAGAAACGGGATTTACTCCTGAGCACACGTCACCAGTAATTCAAGACACGACAGTCGAAATCTCGACGAACCATCTCGTTACCGATGTCACCACCCACATCCAAAGTTTGACCTCGGAACATACAATCCTAGTCCCCCTTATTGATACCAGTACAGCTCCCGTTGTTTTTACCGTGCCGCCAATAGAGAATACTCCCAGTGACCATCCAGTTACCGGCGCCACCATTCATATCGAAAGCGTGACCTCGGAGACGACAGTCCCACAGAGCGATATCAGCCCAACCACCCAGGTTGTCGTTACCATGCCGATAGTAGGGAATATACCTGGTGGACTTCCCTTTTTCGATGCCACAATCCACACCGGAAGTGTGACTTCAGAAACGATAGTTGCACACAGCGACGCCAGCTCAACCACTCCGGTGGCAATCAGCGAGCCAGTAGATGAATTCCGCGGTATCCAGCTGGCTACCGACACCACCGTCCCAGCGACATCCGTGACCACAGAACACACAACTGTCCAAACCGGCACCACCATAGCTCATACTGTATCGCATCCTGTACTGACCACCGGAAATTCGGCAACCCCGATGGTGGCCGAGTCATATCCGAGTCTATTGGTTCCCAGGTTCGGAATCAGTGGGAGGGAAGGGAATATATTTGGATCCCATTCCAGACTTTTAGAGCGTAAAAAGCGCGAAATCCTACAGGACGAAGGCTGGCAGCAAGTGCCTAACGTCTACCACATTTATCCGTGGGTATGTGGAGCCGGTACGCCGTGTTGTTTTGGAGAACCGCGTCAGACGCAGCTAAATCAGCCGGCAACTACAAACACTACTTCGCCGCCGCAACCTAATCACGCGGCAACCAGGCGCAACGGTAAAACCTAACCAGTTACAATTGTTAATCACGTCGTTTGTTCAAAGAATGCGCTGCTTTTGCAGGATACACATACGGAGCGCTTTGTGGATTTTTGTCGTTTATTTTGGCCTTCCTATAAGTATAAGCCCACGCCTTTTAATCTGTGATGTGCTTTAAAAGGATTGACCTGCGACTTTCCTGTGTGGAGCCATTATGGAACTCTGTGTACCTAATTTTCTATATTCTGCTGCTTGCTCATTTTGTCGGCTAATATATTGTAATATCATTAATACTTTAATTATTTTCGAAAACTGAGTACATCTGTACATGTGTAATTTATTTAATTATTGTTACAGTGATTAATTTGACTATTTTAATAAAATCCTGTTGGTTTCCGAATAAGCAGCACAAATTCAAAGTACAGATAAAATCACCACAAAACTAATCAAAAGCCAAAATAAACTACAAAATACACTGCCCAGCGAAATCCTGCGGCTATTACGTAAAACGATAGGTAGAATAATCATTAAGCAAAGAATATTAAACCATCAAAATAAAGTATTAATCCCTTAAAATTAATATGAGCGCACAGCCGGCGGCACGGGTTTACACTCCTTCTCATCCAGCGTGTGATCAATAACCGGACGATAATCCAATTTCACCTTGCCATCCGACTGCACATACGCCAGGGTGTGTTTGCGCCAGTGCTTGTCCAGCGGACGCTTCTGTTGTCCTTGCAGCGGCTTGGTGTAATCATACTCGTCCACGCGATCCTGAAAACAGCGCTGAACTATTTAACACTGGAAAATATACTGGTAAGTGACTGGATATTACAATATTACTCATACCGTTTAAATAAATAACCTAAAATCACTAAATTTACGTATAATCATGTTATGAAAACAAAACTTAATAAATACCAAAAAGACATGTTTTTCTATCTCACAGTAACAGGTACTACAAATGCAACACTCAATAAACGTCCGAAATCACTAACAGGTGCTCAGATGCAAAGGCTTCTCGGAGAACGAACCAGCTGTTGCAGAGTGAAATTGTCAAAAATAGCAATACCGAATAAAAATTATAGCACGAACAATGTAATCTTAAATAGTCCTGTACAGAAAAATTGAAACAATTTTACATAATCTCTGAAATTTTTGTCCTCTATAATCAACACAAATTACATATAGTTTTCGTGAGGGATCCAATATTAATCGACTTTTAAAATAAAGCGCCACAAAAGCTGCTAATTTTACATCTGCATCGCACTATGTGAACAACAGAATTTGCTACAAAGTTGGATTACAGGTTTACCTTGAAATCTTCCCGAGCATGTGCACCACGGCTTTCTTTACGGGCCTCCGCGCCGTATACCACCTGCAGACCGGTCAGGAGTAGATTCTGCAGTTCCAGCGTCTCCACCAAATCCGAATTCCATATCATGCCGCGGTCGAATAACTGCAAACATCAGCGATATTTTGCCGATATCCCACGACCAACACTGTTTGTAAAGCTGAATGATGATATACTGTACCTTAAGGTCCTTGGATTCCTGGTAGAGCTCACTCATCTGCCGGCAGCCCTCCTTTAGGACGTCGCCCGTACGGAAGACAGCAGCATGGGTCTGCATGCATTTCTGCATTTTCAGGCGGAGATCGGCGGTGCTGACGGAGCCCTTCGAATGGCGGAGGTGGTCGATGTTGGCAATGGATGACTCGCCAGCATTCTAAACAAATCCAGGCCCAAAATTAGCTTTTTAAATGTCAAAGCTCAAAAAATGATCTAAAAAAATAAATAATCGATGTAAAATTAATAGCAACAAAAAAATAAGACCACTGAAACCATTGTTATGCTATGACCGTTGAAATCCGCGAAAACCGGTAAATGAAACTGATAAAATACCATTTCATATGCTAACAAAAACAAGATATGACAAAATATGAATTGATTTAATTGAATAAAAATTATCTGATAAAGGAAGTAGCTATCCAGATCGAATTTTCTTATGCGATCACATTCTGTATGCAACAGGGCATGTGAAAGCAATAAAAACGTTCAGTATGATTCATCTACCAAGTCATCGTAAGTAATTGTGATTAAATTAATGGGCAATCGTAGTACGGAGGCTTCTGTCAATGAACAGTGGTACGATTCCATTGGCATGCTCAAATACGAAAAAACAAAAAAAATATTACGATACCAGTAAATCAACACAGTAAACTGAGTAAACGTTTTTTTTAATTCAGCAAATGCATTTGCTTGAGTATTTGTACTTGATACTATAATATAAAGTGACTGTGAATTAACAATAGAAAAGACAAACTGAACAAGAAGGTAAAATAGCATAATCGTCAATGAAAAGTACGTTAAATATTCACATAAAACCAAGTTTTTCCTCCAACAGCCGACCATACTGACCTCGGAGAGATCCGGCACCTTCTCGCCCGGCTTGTTCTCTTCGGCAATGGTCAGTGCACAGGCCCGCCCGAACACCACCAAATCCAGCAGTGAATTGGCGCCCAACCGGTTAGCTCCGTGCACCGAGGCGCAGGCGGACTCCCCACAGGCGTACAGTCCCGGAATGACCTGGTCGCCCTTCTTGGCGTCATAGAGCAGCGCCTGTCCCTTGAAGTTCGTGGGAATGCCGCCCATGTTGTAGTGGACGGTGGGCAGCACCGGGATGGGCTCCTTGGTGACATCCACGCCGGCGAAGATCATGGCCGTCTCCGAGATGCCGGGCAGACGGGTGGCCAGCTGCTCCGGCGGCAGATGCGACAACTGCAGGAACACGTGGTCACGGTCTGGACCCACACCACTGCAAAGCAATGCAATTGAAACACCAATGAGTAGTTGCACTAATGAGTAGTTGCATTTTGCAAACTGGATACAGCGCATTAATAATCATTTAGATCGTAATTATTAATCTTTTCAAATATTTATTAACTGGCTACTGATTTATTCGGTCGTTTAAGTACTTAGTGTTTTATAAAGCGCAATACGTACATGCAAGAACACCAGGGCTACCGCTTTCGGGTTTCTACCGCAATAAATGAACAGTACACTTCTACTGGTAGTCACTGTAATTTTAAAAGAAATTTAAATCAAACGCACAAGCAAATTTATTGCAGGGTCGTCGTTGTTATTCATCAAACACATTTTTAATTTTTTTATCGATCTACTTATTCAGCTATTTAAATATTTATGCATTTAAAACGTAACTTACATCATTAAATGTTTTTTACATGGTATTCTGCATGTAAGGAATTTGATTTACCGGTTTTCGCGGATTTCAATGGTCATAGCGCGCGAGACCACATCGCGAGAGGCCAGATCCTTGGCGTTGGGGGCGTAGCGCTCCATGAAGCGTTCACCTTCGCTGTTGACCAGATAGCCGCCCTCACCACGACATCCTTCCGTAATCAAACATCCCGCGCCGTAAATTCCTGTAAGATGACGAAGTCAGACCTTAGGAGTCATCCACTGCAAGATTTAACATAGGCAATATAGCACAGAATCAATCAACGATACCGGTGGGATGAAACTGTACAAATTCCATATCTTCATTGGGTAATCCGGCTCGAGTCACCATAGCGCTTCCATCGCCTGTGCACGTATGCGCCGAGGTGCAGGAAAAGTAGTTTCGTCCAAAACCGCTACAAAGACAGATTTCTCAGTGCAACAACCGAGTCGGGAGTAGAGAAACTCAGTTATTATCATTAAAAATAGAAGTGCAGCGATAATACATAAATTTAAAATAACATTATTATTACATCCATTAATTTTTGCACAAAATGTAATAATTAAAAACGGTAATCAGTACGAGTACACCATGAAGGCGCCAAGAAGAGTTTAAAATTACGCACCCAGTCGCAATGACGGTATTATTAGCCCTAAACCGGTGCAGTGTTCCGTCTTCCAAACATAGCGCAATGACACCGCGGCATTCACCGTTTTCCATCAGCAGATCCAAGGCAAAGTACTCCACAAAGTACTGACAATCATATTTCAACGACTACCAAGAAAATCACCTCTTAGCACACTAGTACCACGGTGCAACACGAAAACGATATAGTACATAAACAGTACGTACGCGCCCATAAAGTGTGTGCAGCAGTGAATGTCCGGTGCGATCGGCCACACAGCAGCAGCGATGCGCCTGGCCTCCCTTCCCGAAATTATAGCTCTGGCCTCCGAATGCACGCTGGTAGATCTTGTGGTCTTTGGTACGGCTGAACGGCATGCCATAGTTTTCCAACTGTGTAACGAAACAAAACAGTCATAACAAATTTACCTTCGTTCTAGTCGCAACGGCTCCAGGGGAGGGGGGGAATCTGAGAGTTCGGTATACTCACCGGACCGTTTGTTTCACATGTATTCACCATAAACGCGACAATTTCACGTGCATTCAACTTAAGCGCAACAATTTCACGTGCATGCAGTATATGCACAACAAAAGCATTTCTAAAAATATTTATCCCCTGACGTCCACCGCCATATACGAAAATTAGTGATCACAAAGCGCAAAAACTCCCACAATATTAAATGAACTCAAAGAAACAGTGAATCCCCCAAACAGGAATCAAAAGACTTAGAAAAGCGCTCTCTATCAAAGAAAAAGGACTAATAACTCACCTCAATAACCGCCTGTGGAGCCTCGCGCGTCATGTAGTGAATGGCATCCTGATCGCCCAACCAGTCGGATCCCTTCACCGTATCGTACATATGCCAGCGCCAATCATCCGGCTCCATATTCCCCAACGCTGCATTGATGCCGCCCTAAACCAATAAGACGAATAATTAAGTATACATCCCTCATTCCAAAAACACAACATACACCACTGCAACAACATCCAAGTTTACCACCAGCTAAACACATATTTCCTTTAAAACCTAACAATCGCAAATTTGCTAAAACATCAGCCAAAAATAATTTACGGAAAATCCATGTTTTAATGTTTACTACCAAATACAGCTGTTTCCTTTGAAACTCTCTGAATAATAATAAAAATGAACCAAAAATATAGGAACAATGTTAGAAATTTGCTAAAACTTAACAAAAAATAGTAGATGAAAATTGAAAAATCTATGTCTTCTACCAAACAAGTAATTTTCTTTGGACGTTGATAGTCGTAAATTTGCTAAATAATTATTCAAAAATAACTAAAATAAAAATTGCAGAAATACCGTAGCGTACCTGGGCAGCGACGGTGTGGGAGCGCGTGGGGAACAGCTTGGTGATGCAGGCCACATTGAAGCCTAACTCGGAGAGCCCGAAAGCAGCGCGCAGTCCCGCACCGCCCGCTCCCACCACCACGGCATCGTAGGCATGATCGATGATCGGGTACTGGCCGGAGAACTACGGTACAAGCAGGTACGTATTCACTACACATAGCGTCAAAATAGTGCAACAGGCAGGGGAATTTAATGCAGGGCGGACCTGGGTCTTCTGCGTGGCTGACGATTTGTGGCGCTGCAGGGACGGTTGGGCGATCCGACTGCTGAGGAATTTCGACGGCAGCGATCGCGATAATAGGCTCTGCAATGCGTGCTGCTTTTTAGTCGGCTGATAACGGGCAGATGGGGCCAGTACTTACACTGGATAACTTCCCAAAAACTGACATGGCTGCGCTGCGCTATGAAGAGCCTGATATTCGTGTGTGGCTATAATAGATGCACGGTGAAATCAGAGCTCCATGAATATCCTTGTGGTCTTGTCAGAACGAGCTGCAAACAGCAAGTAAATCGCAAATTAAAAGAACATCAACTTTTCTGCAAAACTTTTTAATCAAAAAAATTTAAACTCAGTGACTGTAACTCAGAAATTCTGGTTTGCACTTTTGCTGAAGTTTGCATAGAGACTCTATCAGCGAAAAACCACTTTTTCTGTATGGCCTCAGTCGTATTTCACATAGGCTTGTTTTGTAGAGAAAAAAATCTAAAACTTTTTAGTGTTTTTGAATAAACTGAAAGAAAAAGATTTCTTTTCCAAAAAGCAGGAATGATGGGAATATACGTCCCACAATAGCGTCTACGAGGAACCGCATTTTTAGCCGTGCCAGCCCGAATATGAGCCGATCTCCACTGCATACTTAAAGCATGGGGCCAGCCACAGAAACTCGTGTGCGGTAGCCCTAATGTCTTAATCATCGTGAGAGACGATTTTAGCTCATGTTCTGTGGCTTCCCAAAATTCTAAAAAGATGTAACAAGCTAGACAACTCAAAATTTTTGAATGTATGTATCAAGTTTTATCAGTTTCAGCAAAGCAGACATGCTGAATGCAAGTTTATCAGTATGCCGTTTGCCAGGGAACCTAACGTACAAAACACCAGATTTCACAGTTCGCACTTATTCCAACACCCGAGTTTCCCGGGGAGATTTTCATCCCAAAACTGAATGAAATCGAAAGATGATAGAGTTTACAAATTTGTGGATTTGGTAAAGTTGTGGTAAATCGTCCTAGTTCAAAAGATAAATGCAACAGAACAGCAACTTCTGTATAGTGCGACTGGGTCTACAACGTTTATAGTGGCTCAATGTAGTGGTACTCTGGATAAGCCATACACCATTCGATAGAGAATTAAATTCTCTTTCTGATTGGTGCATTTTAAAATGAGACCAATGAGAAAGGCCTGGGGCAGGGCTACGACAAGCCGAGGCATGCATTTTCTCGGTACGAAGCACGGGATTCGAGCCGAAATAGTGCACAGTGTGGTGTATATACCTACGCTGTCGTTGAGTCTCTAAGTTTGCAGTTTGCTCATTGCTGCCTCTGGGCTGCTCGTCTACTCCTGGTCGCGCTCGGCCTTCCTGGCCGTGTCTAAACCGCCATCCGGAAGGGGGGCGACAATGCGAAGTACGTACCAAGCCGGAAGCTGTACGTACTCTGTACATAGTACAGTCAGATCTACTGTAACCACTTGTCTGGGTTGCCAAAAAACAATTTTGACAACATTGGTTTTAGCAGAACTATGTATTTAACTTATTTTCTTATACGTACTATTTTAAGGCATGTACGTACTATTCTGTCAAGAAAGATTTGCGAATGTACAGTAGTGGTAACCCTCGGTCGGGAGAGTTTTTGCGTGCGAGAATCAGCACTGAGATACAACGCGTAAGTGCTGTGGATCTGTCCTCGGAACATTCAATGAGATGCGAGACAACGAGGACGTTTTTTTTAGCTTTTAGATTGGCTGATCGGGAATGATTAGTGCCCGATGTTGTTTTTCTTGGCACCCCTGCTGTGATTTTGTTATTATAAGGCAGATATCCGAATCCTCGACCGGAATTTTCACGATTGACAACATTTATTTATCTGAGACAGTTCTGACCTTTTAATTTATAACGGTAATTTTTGTCTACGGTAAACTAATATCACATGATTTCCACCAACAACAAGGGAAGTGATGGTCGATACTGCAATTACCCTTACATGCATGTAAGGGTAATTGCAGTATCGACCGAGTATCGAGTATGAGGGGGTGAGGCATATGCCTCACCCCCTCAATTCAGGACAGTATTGTATTTGTAATTTTAGTGTGGTGTGTGAATTCAAGGTGTTTGGCGCGCCCGTTTCCGGCATGTCATTTTTCCGTTTTCTCCTTCCGGGAGGGACAGAGTCCCCTTCATATGGGCAATTATACACTGCAGTACCTTGATTCTACTTTCGCAATTCATATTTAGCTAGTTTCATTTTATACCGTGTATAAATTTGTGCAGAATGTAAAACACTGTAAATAATGTAAATGTAAAGTTTTACACTGCAAATAATCTAAAAAAAGTATTAGTATACTTCTACTGCATTAGGCAAGACACTGTCTTTGTCTCGCCTTGCCGCGCTTGAAAAGACGTTTCAAGCGCGGCTAGTAGTGCATTCACCTCATAGAGAACCATCTAAATAATTACGAAATTAGTTAGATTGCCCTTTGTCCAATAAAAGTCATCCAATACTGCCACGGTGACATTGATGAAGAGAAAATAATTTAAACGCCTTCTACACAGATAAACTTTTCCACTACTTCTTAATGAATTTAAGTTTATTTTAGGAAGCATACGTCACTCATAGCCAATTGTTCTGTGAGTGCACTCCCATTTTTTTATACATGTACAGAGTATGTACATATATGTGATGCACAGAGGCTGTACATCGCCTTTTTGCTTGTTTATTAAAATCTCGAGCCCTGTGATGTAGTATTACGACATCCGATCCAAATTCAGCTGCCTTTGCCGGCATTAGCCAGCTTATTTAATGACGGAGTAAATATTTAATCCCGATCCAGAATACGCTGCTCAACCTACATCTGCGCACGTACTACGACGGGCGTATTAAATTAACCGCGGTGGCTCTTGCGCACCGCAGGCATCACGTTACCGGTTACCTGATGATCTTGATCCTGAGATGGAAACTCGTACTTTCTCTACATGTGCGTTAATGATCAAGAGCTGATGTTGTATCTGAGTTACTGTGTGAACTGCTATGAAACTACAGAGTCATTTAAAAATATATTTTTGAAATTCAAAAGGGCATTCCTTCTAAAAATGATAATAATTACTTATCTGCGTATTGCAGTGACATTTGCTTTAATACGTCACAGTGCGACTTCCTTAATAGCCGCTGTCGCTGCTCCGTTCAAGGTGGAGATTGTTACATGGGGACATGTGAGCCTGTTGTCAATATCGTCCATTGTCTACAATGGCCCGCCAATAGAAACCGCTGTCGCCGAAATGAATACGAAATATAACGGATCTATCTATGCTTATCATACGGTGCTGGCCAATTCATCTATCGTATCGTGCGACGATATGGTCTCGCAGATTGATGCGGTCATGTCCAGTTGGTATTATCGAAAACGTATGGATGTTAACATGAGCGTTCTTATTGCAGCCGGTAAATTTCTGTAACGAAAAGATCTTTTCTTGGAAGCGATTGCATTTTCCAACAACGATAAAAGTGTTGCAGAAGTTTTTGCTGATTTTCTCGTAGGGTGATGCTGCTGAGTGAAATTTAAGCGGCGTTTGCTAGAGCACACGTCTTCAGTTGTTCTGTTTTGCGGTTTTTACACTTGTAAATTTTTTTATCATTATAAAAGTAATTCTACAGAAAAGAAATATTTACACGGTAAAGATCACGATAACTTTAACAATCGCTTATTACGTATTTTAGAAGCGGTTTAAGGAATGCGCAATACACGTAATTCTGTTGTTACCGTTGGGCGCTAAACTTCAGTGTACTGATAATACATACTTGAAGTCATCGAATTCGGAGTAACTTAAGCGACGGAAGCTACGGTACTTTGGCAATTTGTTATTCTTGCGGTTTTTAGACTTGTCTCTATAATTTCAGGTTGTACGGAACAATACAACATAAATCGTTTGGCAGCTGCATGGAATCTATTGATGCTGACCAGGTACTGTCTCTTTGCGCTTTCAACGAAAGCACGGCGGTCCGGGATAATAAATACAACTATTTCTGTGTCACACGAGCCTTTAAACGATATTTCTTAGAATAACAATATTTTCGCTTCTGTGGTTTCCGCAGCGGCAGAATCAAGAGACGTTCTTGGCATTAGATTTATTTACCCCTTTCAGTGTGGCAAGCGATGCCATTCAGATCCACAAGGACATCACGCCCACCTGGGTATCCATGCCGCCACAAACACCCCAGGGTTACGCCGCCTTTCTGCGTAACCTTGTCCTCCGCTACAACTGGACAACAATTTATATTGTCGTGGAGGAATCGGTTAATCTGGGATATGTTCAGATTGCCAGTAATTTCTTTACCCTATTCAACAATATAAGCAATGCCCAGGTCATCCGGCGTTACGTGCGCGCTATCAATGCATCCAGCTACGATGGCATTTTGGAGGAGTTCCGGAAAAGCTGTCGCGGTAGGCAGATCATATTACCAATTACGACGGACGGGATAACATTGCTTTACATCAAATGAATTTAACTTTGTTTATTCATTTTCTTGTTTCCCTCGAACAGTCCTGATGTTTTTCGGACATGCGACCAAACTGCGAAGCTTCATGGTAAAATACATAAAGAAGTATATTTTACTACAATAATAGAAAACAAATAGTATTCAGAAATTTTTTCCTTAGATAAGCGCTTTCAAGGCGAACATGACCTCTGAAGAATACGTAAGCGCTTCGTTGGAATTAACGTTTGATTTAAATTTGCAGATGTAACGTAACTGCATTATAACTGAAAAGAATTTTGCAGGTATATGTCGCAGTGGGACAGACCTTTCCGTACAAACCATTTGGCAACTATACGTGGGAGTATGACGATGCCGACGATAAAATTGCTAGACAAGCCTTCCAAAATTTGCTGCTGGTTGAAATTTTTGATGCTACGATTCGCAGCCCATCCGACACGCTGCGAGATACCTGGATCGAGATGGCGAAAGCGGAATACAACTACACAATTAAATGGAACGAAACAGTTCGTAACATTTCTGTGCTGCGAAGGCGGCCTCTTTAAAATTTCTCCACAATTGCTCTAATTGTAGGCGGTTCAGTTTTTGGCTGCAGCCTACGGTTCCGTGGAGATATTCTTTCAAATACTAAACGAAAGCCTTGCCAAACAGACTGAATTCGATTATAGCCATGGGAAAGGATTCGCTTCGTTATTCTACAATCGCACGTTTAACACCAGGTTTTTAAGGATTGCTATCGATGAATTCGGCCAGCGACGTATTGCATTCGCGGTGAAATCATTGAATCCTGAGACGAACCACATGGATGTAAGCTACACAATTATACATTTCCATAGATGTGGCTTAGTAATTCTGTTATTTTTCAGACAGTAATGTATGAGAATTATGGCAGTACCGAAATCCAAGTAAACGGCACAATTTACTGGGCAGGGAAACCAAACAGCCTGCCTCCGCGAAACGAACCGATCTGTGGATATTTCGGCAACAAAGGACCCTGTGCTCCAAAAGGTGAAGTCACCCGTTAACATTCACTATGCTACCACTTACAACACAGCGCCTTCTCATTACGCGTCATCATTCGGGACATCATAATGTATGCCTAATAATAACAAGTGCTTAATTCGATAATTGTATTTCCAGATGATGCGGGCAAGATAATCGGAAGTGTGGTTGGCGTTTTTGTGGTTGTTTGCGGCATCTTGATTACAGTGGCGTATCGCATGATTAGGTATAGGTCGATTTCTTATGAAACAGTGGCAATTTGTTCTATTTGCATCCTTTCCAGACAGCGTCTGCAATTTGACTCAGCAGAATTATCCTGGATAATTGATTACAGCCAATTAGCACGGCCAGCTGGTCTTCGGTCAACAGAATCATTGACACAAACGAACGTAAGAAAGTTAGAAACCATACACAGAACATCTAAAGTTACGTAGTGAGCCCTAGGAAAGAATTTCTCCAAGGTTTTGACAAATCAAAGAACTGTAGTAATTCTGATTATGCTGTAGTATTCGGCGACGTATTTGCCGGTACAGCAGCATGTCTGGATCTATTCGGTGCCACTGGACGATAACGTTAACGCCGCCATCGGAACGTTCGCGACACCGTCTAGAGCTACGGCTCGGCTAATTTACGAAGTATATAAGATAGCATACATTTGCATAAGTGCTTGTAGTATTGAAAGTTTTCTTTGGTTGACGTTGCAGCTGCGACACATTAGCTCGGACAATATCAATGTCCTCCTTGGACTGAGCTTGGGCTTTAACAGAACGCGGCTGCTCTTTGTCGCGCCTTTCTGCGAACGCGGCTCTCTCCATGACCTTTTCGATCTACAAAATCGTCTGGATATGGACCTGCAAAATTCGCTCGCTATTGATCTTATTCGTGTACGTGCCGTTGTGTATGTCCTTATTTGGCTGCTGAGGTTTTCCAACTGTGGACAGAGGCTTTACTGTTCTATTAATAAACCGTTGAATTCAATGTAGGCAATACATTTCATCCATACCAAGACATCGCTCCGGTACCACGGTCATCTGTCGCGATGGGTGTGCCTTATTGATCGTCATTTCACCTTGAAAATTGGAAAATTTGGATACGTGGCATTATCGCAGAGTTTGTGCGGTCGTGCGGTAGAAAAGCCGCATGACAACGCTAAGAAACTGCTCTGGACAGCGCCAGAACTGTTACGAGACGCCAAAGGTCATCCAGACAAAGCCACAGATATCTACAGCACCGGCATTATTTTGTATGAGATTTTCACTTTGCGATATCCATACGACAATTCACCTCAACCTTCTGGCAACCTGGAAAACAATGGTACTACTGCTACGTTTTGGTCTAATTTCTGATAACACTCGTAATATATGTAAATCAAAGCCAACCAGGTGGTGAATGAATTTGATTTTGCGTTAGCTAATAAAATAATCAAGACCATCCGGAGCGGCCAGTCTCCATATCTGCGTCCAACAGTTGACCATCCCACTAGGCAGCTGAGTACGGTGATGCAAATTCTGGATGCATGTTGGAATGAGCAGCCAGCACTGCGCCCCGATTCTTCCAGTCTTCTCAATCAAATAACCAGCAAACTCGGCTTATCGTACAAACAGGATACATCGTTTTTTGATAATATATTACACCGACTGAAGAAATACGCTGACGCTTTGGAAGACGAAGTCTACAATCGCACCGTGGAGCTGCAGATCGAGCGGAAGCGCTGCGACGAACTGTTGTGCGAAATTCTCCCGCGCATTGTCGCGGAACGCCTGCGAAATGGGGGAAAGGTCGAACCAGAATACTTTGAAAGCGTGACGGTACTGTTTTGTGATGCATATGGATTTGAGACGCATGTCGTGGACCTACAGTCGCCGATTGCCGTCACGGGATTTTTGGGGAAACTGTATTTCGCTTTTGATCCCGTTGTGAAGAGTTTTAATGCTTACAAGGTGGAAACAGTCGCCAGTTCGTACCTTGTATGTCTGTTCCGAGCTAAAAGCGAACAAAACCATGAACTATTACCAATTTTGTGTATTGCTTTTATAGATAGTCAGCGGTCTGCCAGTGGAAATCGACAACCACGTGAGCGAAATTGCGTCTTTGGCGCTGGCGCTCAAAAAAACGTTCGTCGTATTTGTGGAGACCGATGGGCTGCAGTTTGTCGGCGGTATGCATACCGGTATGAATCAGATTCAAGATTTTCAACTACACTGCTTGTCAACTTTCATTATATTGTATATTAACCAAGTCATAAGATCAGGTTAAATTTACAGCACTTGACTTTAATGTATGATATATCATGTGGCTTGTTTATAGGGCCATGCGTGGCTGGAGTGGTAGGCCACGTGAATCCTCGCTACTGCTTGTAAGCAGACGTTGTCACCCATTTAAAATTTTTCACAGCAAAATGTTCGTAGATTTGGCGACACAGTAAATACAGCCTCACGAATGCAGAGCTACAGCCTTCCTGGCTATATTCAGCTGAGCGCAGAAACGGCTGACCTCCTCCGCAGCGTTCCTTATCAGCCTTACGAAATCAAGGAGCGCGGGAGTATAGATATCAAAGGAAAGGGGGCGCAGACAACGTACTGGCTACTCGGAGGACACACCACTAGAATGCCTTAAACTACAATACAGTACCAGAATCATAGCATGCACCTGTGGCTTACAGTATTATAACATTTACTTTTACGAAAGCTCAAATTTGCTGTACTGGTCTGTAATTCAGAGTTTAATTTAGGCTGTTGGATGACTGGACAGTTAGCATCCATCATACCTCAGCAGTGTTTTAAAAATTTTCATTTTTTACATTTCATTTTTTCTAATTTTTGCTTCACAATATGCGCTAAGATCTACTGCACCAGTCAGTTTTAAGTCACCAAATCGTTTTGGGCAGGCTGGCATGGGAAAATAAAAGTTCCCGTTTGTGGTAGGCTAAACTCGTGCTCGATGAAATAACAACCGAACAGTAAGAGGTACACCTGGATAACGGCACTGCTGCGTTAATCAGATAGTATTAACCGGGCAAAATAAACAAGCAATATAAATAGACTGGACATAATAAATAATACGGTAGTCTATTTACATAATTATTATGTCTTGCCTGACTTGCCAGTCTTGGTATTCGACTTTAGACATTGTCTTTGCTTGATTTTAGGTTTAATTCTTATTTCTTGCGTATGGAACGATCTAGTAAATTGGGCCGACGATCTGGCCTCACATTGATTAGTGAAGGGTGTACCTCGATTCTGATAATCGCAATGATATCGTGACCCTTGTATCCTTTTCTAATCTACCCAGCTAGGAACTCCCTCGAAATGTTATCGTTTGTAGAATTTCGAAAAAGCTAAAAGCTGCTGAAACAAAATCATGGTAAAACGAAAACCATTGTGTGCTACTTTACTAATTATACTAAATAAAACCTCCGACGCTATGTGAAATTACTGCAATCGTTTTCATTTTCAAAGGTATCGAAACGAATGTTGAGGGCTCCGATATGTTGGCGGTTTTCGTGTTGTACTTCGCTAGTCGCTACTACCTCTTTACGCGAGGTAGAATCCCAGGCAGGCGTTCTCTGACCTGTGTCGAAAAACGGTAGACGTTCTGGTTGAACTTATTTATTTCTTCAAAAATGACGTGATCCTTAAGGGGTACTGGATTACTAGAACTGAATTTTGTGTACTAATTAGTGCTGTAAGGTCAAAGCAAGCAATTCCGTTTTGGAGCGAACGCTTTGTGAAATGAATGTTACTCGTGGGTAGATTACTCGCCCCCGAGCGCCCAGTGCCAGATAATTGTATTTGAGTGTGAAATTATATATCAGTGTTGCTGAATCTTCTTTTTTACCGATTTCAGATTCTCGTGCATATTGCATGTACAGTACGTACCGGCACCTATACTCAGGCTAACTGAGCTATTGTTTATTCATTAAAATGCCCCGCCTTGTACAGCGTACCAATAACAGAAGTCAGAGAATACGATTCCAGTTCAGTTTGCTTATTAATCTCGCTTGCCAACGGCAAAACAGATTAATTTTAATCCTGATCTGAATACGCTCCCAGCTCAGCTGTGATCTTAATACACGACATCCAGCGCCAAATGATCTACCGTTCGTCAAGTATTGTTTGTTGGTCGGTGTCATGTTGCCCTAGAATATTGGTGCAGAAGCATTGAGGTTCATTTACATTTTACCCTATCTGCTGTTGTACGGCAATGGTGCGAACTGCGATAAAATCGCAATCTTTTCGACTTCCTTATTAGCCCGATTTACGCTAACACACCTCTTAAAATGACCTTTATTACTCATCTACTTTTTCTAAAGATGATTTTTTTGCTTCTGCAAAGCGCGGCTTCGTTATCGAAAACTGGTGCAGCTCCGTTCAAAGTGGAGATTGTCACATGGGGGCATGTGAGTCCACTATCGCTAGCAGCTATTGTTTATCATGGTCCACCAATAGAGACGGCTGTCGTCGATATGAATGCCAAATATAATGGATCAATCTATGCTTATCTAACTGTGCTGGTTAATTCGTCCATTGTGTCGTGCGACGATATGGTCTCACAGAGTGATGCTATAATATCCAACTGGTACTATCGAAGACGTACGGATGTCAATATGAGCGTTCTCATTGCAGCCGGTAAAATCGAAAGAAGTTATTCTTTCCCAGTGTGCAACATTTGATAGAAATATTATAATTGCAAATTTCATAGAATGTTTTACTGTGCTTTTAGTACAATTCTAAAATTATTCCGTAAAATCTGAAAATGTTACTAGAATCCGGTACATTTTATTTTTTCTAATGACAAAAAAATACTGGTTATGAGTACTTCTACTCATAGACCCATAGCCGTAATTGCTGCTAGTTTCAGGTTGCACGGAGATCTTCAATACAAATCGTTTGGTTGCTGAATGGAATCTTTTTGTGATGACCAGGTAATCCGCGCAATCACTGCATGCTACGGTCGCAATGTATTTATGGGCGTTGATTGACCTTTCAGTGTAGCAAGCGATGCCGTTCAGACCAACAAAGAAATCACCCCCACGTGGGTGTCCTCCTCTGTACTAACGACACAAGGCTATGCAGTCTTTCTGCGTAACCTGTTCCTCCGCTACAATTGGACAACAGTTTATATTGTCATGGAGGAGTCAGTTAACCTGGGCTACATTATCATTGCCCGTAATTTCTTTTCTCTTTTCAACAATATCCCCAATGCTCAGATCATTCGGCGAACCGTGCGCGAATTCAATGCATCCAGCTATGATGGTATTCTGGAGGAGTTCAGGAAGTGCTGTCGAGGTAATTTATTGCGTTACTGCATTCCCGCACAGTAAGATCTAGATCCCCTTACATCATCCGTACGGACCATATGTTGCTACATATGTACATATGCTGCTGCGTTAAATACGTGCATAGTTATACGAGTATTTTCGGCAAAACCTAACGTATTTTTTTGCTGCAGCGATGGTGTTCTTCGGACACGCTGTAAAACTGCGAACCTTTATGGTGAGCTACGCATAACGTGCACTGCCTTTGCTAAAAATTTCTTAAAGGGAAATGCTATTCACTAATTCTGGTATTCCCCTTTAGATAAGCGCCTATAAAGCTGGCTTGACCTCAGAAGAATACGTAAGCTTCGCATTTTGTCACTTCTCTGCATCGAGATGTCGCTGATTTTCTGGGCTTATTCAACCGAAGGTATATGTGGCGATGGGACAAGCATTTCCGTACGAACCGTTTGGTAACTACACATGGGAGTACGGTGATGCCAATGACGACATCGCCAAACAAGCTTACCAAAATCTACTGGTAGTGGAAATTTTTGACGCTACAATTCGTAATCCATCGAACGCGCTGCGACATAATTGGGAAGAAACGGCAAAAATCCAGTATAACTGCACAATCGGTTGGAATGACACAGTTCGTTAAAATGTTTTTATATTGATTGTTAAAAAGCGCATTTTGAATAAGTACATAATCAGTCGTCGTTTTCGTGTTTTAATGCAGCCGGTGCAACATGTGGCCGCATCATACAGTTCGGTGGAGTTGCTCTTCCAAATGGTAAATCAAACTCTTTTGAGGAATCTGGCTTTAACTACAGCGATGGAAAAGCGTTTGCTGCACTGTTGTTTAATCGTGCATTCAGCACCAGATTTTTAAGAATCGCATTCGACGAATTTGGCCAGCGACGTATTGCGTTTGTGGTAAAATCACTGAATCCCAGAACAAGCCATATGGAGGTGTGTAGGCTGAACGCTTGGGCGTGCTTACGACTTACTGTACATAATACGCAGCTGCGGCAATTATTGTTATAAATCTTTTTGTTCTGCATTTCAGACAGTAATGTTTGGGGATTATGGTAGTAGTGATATTCAAGAAAACGGCACAATTTACTGGGCAGGTAATGCCAACAATAGGCCTCCGCGAAACGAGCCGATTTGCGGATATTTAGGCAACAAAGGACCCTGCGCTGCCAAAGGTGACTTGGTCTCTGACCTTTACTAGCTTTCCAGTTGTTTGTGGAATTCCTTTGCACTTGATTATGGCTGGTTCAGTGAGTGGATTCGGCGCCGATTTTCAGATGAGTTAAGAGAAACCATCGGCATTGCCGTGGGGGTTTTGGTGGTTGTGTGCGGCATCATGGTTACCGTGGCTTATCGCATGTTTCGGTGCGTATTTCAAACCAAACAAAGCGTATGGTGCTCGTATCACGGTGGAAATTGCAAATCAGCAATTTGGACGAAGAATTATTTTGCAGGCAACGACTGCAGTCTGATTCGGAAGAATTTTCCTGGATTCTTGATTATAACCATTTAGTGCGTCCAGCTGCTCTGCGGTCAACAGAATCACCAACAGAACATAGTGTAAGAAAATGACAGAAAATGTCTGGTTTATATACAAAGCACTCTGAGGTATGAACTGAGCACATACTGAATGCTGTTTGATATGTACTACGAACACAAAGTTGGTTAGTCGCATAAGTCTAATAATTCTTCAGTACTCGGCGATGTATCTACCAGTGCAGCAAGCTGTCTGGATTTGTCCCATGCCACTGCTCGACAATGCTGTCATGGAGACTTTTAACACACCTTCCAGATCTACGGCTCGACTAATTCATGAGGTGAGCGGAGAACATTTCTGCCAACATTGCATACAGTTTTTGGGTTTCTTTAAATGTTTTCCAGCTGCGACATATTAGCTCAGACAACGTCAATGTTCTCCTCGGATTAAGCTTAGCGCTAAGTAAAACGCAATTACTGTTTGTTGCGCCGTTCTGTGACCGGGGCTCTCTCCATGACCTTTTCGATTTGCAAAACCGCTTGGACATGGACCTACAAAATTCGTTAGCTGTGGATCTTATTCGAGTCAGTAACGGTTAAAAACTTTTTCATTTATCGGCGTCCTTCTATGAACCCGACTGCCGTTAATTCAAAATGTAGGCCATACATTTCATCCATACCAAGACGTCTCTCCGTCACCACGGCCAGTTAACGCGACGGGTGTGCCTTATTGACCGGCACTTCACCTTGAAAATTGCTAAGTTCGGTTTCACAGCACTGTCACAGAAACTGTGTGGCCGTGCGGTATGGATGCAGCATGATAACCCAATGAAGCTGCTCTGGACTGCGCCTGAGTTATTACGAGACTCTAACCATAGTCCAAACAAGGCGATGGACATCTACAGCATCGGCATTCTTTTGTACGAGATCTTCACGCTGCGCTGTCCCTACGAAAATTCCCGACAAGCATCTGGAAACCTAGAAAATAACGGTAAAATAAGGACTTTATAAAGTTCGATATGCAGAGTAAATAAACGCGCAGTAGTACTTTAGCCAAAAACCATTCTCTACTATTTGATCATTCAACATTAATCAAAGTTCATTCAACGATTAAAAGCGGAATCATTAATCACTCACATCGGGAGTATGTACGTCTTCTTGCATTAGCTCAAAAAGTAATCGACGCCATCCGAAACGGGAACTCTCCGTATCTGCGACCAACAGCTGACCATCCAACGAAGCAACTCAGCATGATAATGCATACCCTACAGAAGTGTTGGAATGAACAGCCGGCACTTCGCCCGGATTCATCCAACCTTCTCAATGATATTACCAACAAAATGGATACGGCTTTCAACCATAATACTTCGTTCTTCGATAATATACTACACCGAGTGAAGAAATACGCAGACGCTCTAGAAGACGAGGTCTATAATCGCACTGTTGAGCTACAGACTGAGCGGAAGCGCTGCGATGAGTTGCTGTGCGAAATTCTTCCGCGCATAGTCGCCGAACGCCTTCGAAATGGAGGAAAGGTCGAACCCGAATACTTTGAAAGTGTAACTGTGCTATTTTGTGATGCACATGGATTCGAAACCCATGTCGTGGACCTGCGGTCACCGGTCGCTGTCACGGGGTTTCTGAGCAAACTGTACTTTGCTTTCGATCCCGTTGTTAAAGGTTTTAATGCCTACAAGGTGGAAACAGTCGCTAGCTCGTATCTTGTATGTAATGGTGGACACAGTCACACAGGAGAGCACAAACATTGGTATTTGAATATTGTTTCGCTCTACAGGTAGTCAGCGGACTGCCAGTTAAAATCGGCACTCACGGGAATGAGATTGCCTCTTTAGCATTAGCGCTGAGGAAAGCGTTTACGGTATTTGTGGAGACCGATGGTCTGCAGTTTATTGGCGGCGTGCATACCGGTAACGCAGTACTTTAGCTCGATTTGCCGATTAGTACGCTTGATGTTTATTTTATGGCATGTTTAGGACCATGCGTTGCTGGAGTTGTCGGCCATGTCAATCCTCGCTACTGCTTGTAAGTAAATTAGTTATAACAACTTTGCTGAATTAGAAGCACGAAAAAGAAACTGCTTTACTTACAGATTCGGCGATACAGTGAATACCGCTTCGCGAATGCAAAGCCAGAGCCTTCCAGGTCATATTCAGCTCAGTGCGGAAACTGCTGACCTCCTTCGCAGCGTTGCGCGTCCCGCTTATGAAATTAAGGAGCGCGGGAATATAGACATTAAGGGAAAGGGCTTGCAGACGACGTACTGGTTACATGGAACAAGCACTGCGAAGCTACCTTAAACTGCCAGTGCACTTTGCTACTGTTCTACTGGCAACTGCTTTCCATAGCTCAAAACTGCTGGAAGACATTCGGATTTCTGAATACTAACAGCATGTTCTTTGCTCTGTTTAAGAATTTCTTATTTTGCAATAAATGATGTACAACATGAGTGCTTTTAATTTGCTGTATTGCATTTGACTGTGTGATGTACCATGGAATTTTCTCAAAGTATTAATGGTAAAAGTGCATTTCACAATAGCATTTATTGCTTGTAGTTGTGTTGTTTCAATCAACTTGATGTGGTAAATTATACCGTTCAGAACGCATGAGAACGCTCTTGGAAACTGCGTGCATGAAGACGGGGACACATATTTTAAATAGAAAACCGAACATATTTTAAATAGAAAACCTTTATTGTTGTACTTCTATAGCTGATTTAATTGCATGATCGGAAACCATATAGCCGGATTACAGGAAAGCATACTTGGCCGTGACGAGCAGTCAGGCCTTCCGGCATCCCGTGAATAATCCCTGCTGACTGATCGATTGCATACGGATCGATACGCCAATGTAAAACCCGGTACATACTGTATATTATGCGTCAGCAACCATACTCGTAATCCTTCTCTGATTAGAACAGACCAGCAGTGCACACGTCATAAGATCTGTGTTTTAGCGACCTAATATCGCATTGATCTTTCGAACAGACTGGCATCCCAACAATTTGCAGCTTTGCGGAATTATTCATGGTAGACAGTGAAAATTACGATCGCCCGTTGGCGCAGTATATTCCTTGTCCAACTTCGGACAACGGAATGGCAGCAAAAGCTTGCCAGTCGGAAGGTGCGTCGACGGCAAGCGCTTGTGAGCCAGCAAAATCCGACGCTGAAAATGCGTTACAACGAATCCATTTCAATCGGCGCTACTTTAGAAGCATCGGGGGCACCATGACCGTTACAGCCGCTGTAAGTGCTAGCTTTATAGACTTGAGAATATTATCATTAAGCTGTATATTAATGTTGGCATTATGCTTACATACGAATTTGTAAAGTTTGGTTATCGATTTCTTTAGCGATTGTCAAGAAGAGAAAAAACTTCTGAAATGTCTTTCTTTGCTTTTAATAATGCACATACAGGTGTTTTAACTGTTAAGATTTTTTTCCATAGCATTCGCAAGGTGTAGTTTCCAAGCTGCATTAGTGCATTAGCCGAGTAGCCTCTCCGGTATGCCAATGAATCAATCTGTCCAGTGTGCATTTTCCCAGTTAATGATAACATCAACGTAGCGCCATTTTGCTAGAGTAGTCTACAGGATTTTTGCTAATGACAGAGCTCGCCGAATATATTTCAGGTCTGCGGAATGATTGCAACACTGCTGTACGAGTTGGGACTTGATCGACATTATTATTGGCCATGGGATAGGAATCGTTGGGAATTGTACGAGTATGCTGTCCTTGCATCATGGCTGTATTTAGCAGTTTTCGTCGTATTCGTCGGATTTTCCGCACATAAAAAGCTTCGGATCGGCGAATCAACCATGGATTTCATTGTGAGCACATCTCTCGCAGATACATAATTTTATGGAATCGCCGCCACCCTTCATTAAACTCAGTATACATTTAATTTTTTATTACGTCAATTTTATTATTACTTATGCTAGAAGTAGGTTTAAATCGACACAACTTTTGTAAAGTGTGGCGGCATGCTGAAGCTATTAATTTTTGCAAAGAGAAGAAAGACGGATGTAGAAGTTATTTGCAGGTGGCTGGACAGTCTATTTTGATGTTTCTGCTAATATGTCCTTTACCAACTTTGGCGACTTGCTTGGCTATAAAAGGGGGGTACACATACGGGAACAATAACGCGGCATCGGTGGCCAGCTATGTAGGTGACAGCTGTTATATTGCAATCCTGTACCGAAATTGGTAAAATGAAAATTATTTACGTTTTAATATCTGTAGCTGTTAAGATGCGATATGTCGATCCTTTTGCACATTTTGAATCGAAATCACCGAATCAGACAGTTTGCTGTTTACTTATTAAAAAACCGTAAAACCAGTAACAGCACATACAAGATTTTATAAATTTTACCGGCTGAAATTTTTAGGCTTTTGCATTCCTGGAAAGCATCGCTTTGTTTGTCACTGCCGCCGTCACCTATCTTCACCTCATAAAACAGTATCACGCTCCAGCTTTTGATTGAAAAGCAGATCGAGATCTGACATGGCTCCTGCACACTTGGCTGATCAAAATAATCGTAGTCAAGCAACAATGAATTTGGCTAGTCTTAACGTTATCGATTACTATGTGTGGATATTGCAAATCAGTATTTAAGTTATAATCTGAAAATTGCCTTGATGTACATGCTGTTATAAACACCTTTTCAGTATACAGTTTCCTGTCTATGCTTGTCGGTATTACTACGGTATGCAAATACGTAGCTCACTCGCCGACGTTGCCGTCATGACACTTTACTGTTAGTTCGTCTTTTTGATTCTGCTCATCGCTTTGAAAGTGCGCATATACATTTTGTGCTGGCACCACGAGAGAACTTGCTCGCATTTTTTTGAAACATATTATGCCGAGCGGCGTTCTGTAACACCAGTGTGGACTGGATACGGTTAAGCGGTTAACCAGTGTGGATTAATACGATTTGGATACGGTTAAGTGTGATCTGAATTAAAACATGCCACCTAAAAACGAGATTTCTTGATCTGAATAATTGATGCTAGTATAAGCTATTGTGAGTTGTAACTGAATGTACAAAACGGTACATAAACAGAGTACAGTGCCATAATTTAAAGAGCCTTACGGTGCAACTGTCCGCACCGAAAAGGAACCGTGCTATCGGGATCTTGCAAAACGCCATTGTTGACCGAGCCTTTAAGCTTACGCTTCAACAGTAGTTTGTACCGTCGACTGAACATAAAAGTGAATGCAGTAGACAAGGAAAAAACATATACACGTTTCTGCTTGCAGGCAACGGGCTGCGTTTGTTTTTGTATTTACCATTAGGAGCCGGTATGACATACGAACTCTGCGTGTGCGCAAAACCTTGAATGAAGAAATGAGCAAATTATAAAAATTTGCAACTGCAGTTAATGGATTGCTTGATCGGAGACCATATATCCGGGATACCAGGAAATACTTATTTTGATAGCTGCGAGAAATAACCCTTCCGGTATCCCATGAAAAATTTGTGCAGCGTGATCGATCGCAAGTAGATCGATGTGTTTAGGTACATCGATTCTGTATCAATTGATTCGGTATAGTACTGTGCTGTGTTGGTAAACGTCCGCATTAAGTCTGGAATTGTATCACATGATACCACGACCTCCGTTTGACGCGCTCAGCTCTCGAGCAAACTGCATCATCCTGTTGTAATTATGATGATTGTTTGCGTTTTCGTGGAAGTATCTCAGTAAGCGTGAAATTCTTGATACAAAAACTTGATGTAGGAAAATGATGGCAAAAGTTTGCCAAGCGGAAGGCGTGCCGATTATTTGTGATGCTGGATCGCCAAAGTCAGACATATCGCCAGCTGCAGCTGAAAAAGCAGCACACAAACTGCAGCTTAACAAGCGCTATTTTACAAGCACTGGAGGCATCTTGACCGATATTGCCTTGGTAAGCGTGCAGATGCTTTGCTGTCGTAACAGTACAATGTTTGGATTTTCGACCGGGATGGTCAACAATCGGCTAGCTATCACGAATTTACAGATAACGACAACAGACAGCAGCATGAACTGCAACAAGAGATGTAGCATGCAGTTAATGACTTTTTTTTCTATGCATAATATGTATAAGCTAAATTTGCGTTATACTGTTATGAACACTTTTCAGTTCTCCGGTATTGTGGCAACATTTTCATTTGAATTGGAAAAATTGGAAACAAATCCGAGGTTTCGCTGGGAATTGTACGAGTATGCGGTTCTTGCATCATGGTTGTATTTAGCAGTTTTCGTCGCATTCGTCGGATTTTCCGCACACAAAAAGCTTCGGATCGGCGAATGTGCCATGAATTTTATTGTAAGTGCAATTACTTGTACTTGTATTCACGGTTAGTTGAACGCTGCCGCTACCACGATTCGTTAGCGAACATTTTTTCCATATCCATAGTACATACGTACGTACATAATACTCGTACGTGCTTACTCTCGTAGGGACAAAACTACGTACATTTTTTTGTGCGCTTACTGAAATCCTTGCAGTAATAGGCGTACAGCAAGTCCTTTGTCATCTAATAATTTTTTGCAGGTAACTGGACAGTCTATCGTTTTGTCGCTGTTAATATCCTGCCTAACATTCGCCTTGACTTTGGGAAGTGTACAAAATCCGGATCCAGGTTTTTCTGTCGCACCAAGGGCGGCAAGTTGTGTAAGCGACACTCCTTTTCCAGTTTCAACAGGACCCGACTTAAGGGTCATTTTACCGTGATAGCCGCACTACTCTGTATGTACAAAATGCGATTAGTTTTTGATGGTAAAGTTTTTCTTAGGCTTTTGCGTTCCTGGAAAGTCTCGCTTTGTTCTTCACTGCCGCTGTCACCTATCTCCATATGACGAAACGGTATCATGCTCCGGCTTTCGATTGAGAATGAATTTGATATCTACTGTTGGCGCTAAATGTTCGCGTCACTTTGCGGTGACAAATCATCAATCTGTTTATGGCTATTGCTCTTAAGGGTTTTTTTCTGCTAATCTTTCGCAGCTCGATTTTTGCCAGAACTCTATGATTGCTTCATAAAGCCTTCATTCATTGTGCTTTCAAAATTAAGAGCATGTAAACCTGGTTATTTTGCTCATAAGCGTGAATAATGTATTGAAGAATGATATTAATCCTAGACAGCATTTGCGCTACAAATCTTTTATTACATATTACATGTATCTGTTGCGGATGATTGTTTCATTGTTTTCCGTTGTTGGCTACAGAATGTGCTTACAGACTACTATTTCATATATGTTTTACGTGAGTAAGAATTACACATTACAGAAAATTGGTACTCAAGGTTAAAGTGCTGAATGTAACACGTTTGTTAATTCGGTCTGTATCTAATTATGGCATTGTATTCGTAAAATGATTTTAACATTTCTTTTCTTTTGCGAATATACATAGTACACCCGAACATCCGTACCGAAAAACGGGAAAATGATATTCGATTCAGCGGGTACCTTGCGTACAGCAACGTATATGAAAGCAGCGATCTCTGTGCCGTACTAGATCCTGTCACACCCACGATTCGTCAGCAAGATTATAATCGCACTACCTGTTAGTATAGATAAAAAATGCAACCAAATTTAAGCATGAACCACCCGGAATTCGAGTGGCCACTTGATCAGCGTTTGAACGGAAGCAGACAGACGCTGCGTTTAATTTGTAAATTGCAAACTTTATAAATTTGGCAGTTGACAGCTAAAATGACACCAATTACACTGATACGATGTTTCAGAGCTGCCCTGATCGCACTTGTAATAACATACTTATGTGTTCCGGTGATCGGCGTAAACCGCAAAATTCTTACGTTTTCCGGGCGACAATGGTCTGTTCGCAATCAAACTCAAGCTGGTCCCGGTCCCAACAACTGGGATGAAACCAACATGTTTCTCGATAACAAAGGTCACCTGCATCTGAAAATTACCAATCGCAACGGAAATTGGTCCTGTGCGGGAGTCGCTGGCATCGAACGCCTGGGATTCGGTCGTTATCAGTTCCAGATTGAAGGGCGTATCGACCGGCTGGATAAGAACGTTGTTCTGGGATTATTCAACTACCCCCCGCGCGACGTCGGTCCTGACACAACCAATGAGATCGACATTGAATACGCTAAATGGGGGAACGCCAACGCCAAAACGGGAAATTTCGCGGTGTGGCCATCCGCCTCGGGGAGGAAACAGACATCGTATCGGTTTGATGCGACGCTAACAGGATCGTACACGACGCAGTCGTTTATATGGCGCAATGACACGATTTTGTTCAGTGCGCAACATGGACATCAGAATAATAACCGGCTAAATGAATACGCTAGTTGGAGTTTTGCACCGGCAAGTTCACTGGATATTCCACAAAATCCCATGCCGGCGATGATGAATCTCTGGTTGTTCAAGGGTGCACCACCGAGCGATATCCGCGAAGTCGAAATTGTAATTCATTCTTTCAGCTTTATCCCCTTTTAGAACATAGTAAGATAACGGAATTTGTTTCCGAAAAAACACTGATGCAAGAGTACTGGTACAACAATAAACATCAACACACTTTGCCGTATCAAAATTCTGACGGAATCGTTTTGCAGTTTTCGCTACCAAACTGGAGCAATCCGCTGTTGGTGTATTGCGTGTTTTGCGAACTTAAGTGTTTTGCGAACATGTGTATTTTCAGTTTTCTTGAGAACGCAACGCGGTGATTTCTTGACCATGACAATTTTAGAATAATTTATATATGATATGTGGACAAAATATCATGAGAGAGCTATTAATTTTTAGACAACCAACCAAGACGAGTCTGCGACAAGGAACATTTTTATAATTCCTTCATGGTAGACAGCGTTTCGCCCACATGTCTGATTTTCTGTAACATTGTCACCGATGCAGCTTTTAAAAGAAAATTTCAGAAAATAGTGCAAAGCTGGGGCGTAATTTCGAAATACATTACGTGTAACTTACACAAGTTCGGCTATCTGTTAGAAGAGACAAATATGACCGGTTAGTGGAGGTAGTACCAGTCGCTTCAAACGGCATAACAAGTACAACGGCTATACTGAAGTAGTTTACGTACCAAGTACAGTAAAGTTAGCAGCAACAGCTCTTTTCTTTGGAAACCGGTTACCACATCATCAGCCTAAGGATAGTTGCAACGTCCCCGTGTTCTCTCGTTTCCATTAACATTAGTGCAATGGCATGGTGTGTCACACGGATTTTGAGCTCCTGGTCCACAGATACGGCCACTACTCATACATTTTGGCGCTGAAAATATAGTTTTCATCACCTAGGCTGTTCGAAATTATTATTATTTACAGCTAATTTAATGCCGTAATAAAAAACAAAAACTTACAAGAGTATCATTCACAAAAACTCATTATTATAATTATCTTGTATTTCTTGCAGACGGTTTGCAACTTTGTAATTTTAAACGGATAACTCTCTGAATTTCCGTCGCGGAATTTATGCGAATGTGCAGACTAGACACGTGCAAGTTTACCCCCGCGGCAGAAGTGCTAATCTAAGACCGGGTCTGTTTGGATTATCACATCCGACACCGGCACGTGCATCAAGCAGCATGTGCCAAATTCTCTCAAGTACGGGAGGTACAAGTGCCGTCTGGCGAAAAATCTTCGGAAACTTGAAAAGTTTGTTAAACAATATTTCTATCAATGTACAGGTACGAAAACAACTTTGAAAACTTGGCTATGTCAAATTTTTATATTTCTTTATATGTTCCATTTTCTTACGCTGCCACATTCACTCGTACTGCTTTTAATTAACAACTGTTACAGCAAACGACAAAATGCAACGCAAACGTACTAGCTCTAGTCTGTCCATGTACAAAAATATATGCACTTCTACAACCATGCTCAACATAAATAATTAGTTAAATGCTGTATAATATCATATGTATGCTACTAATAACGACGATTGCTACGCTCCAAGTACCTGCTTTGAAAGCATGTTTATTGTATTCCGCAAAGGTTAAGAAACTAAACAGATGCACGTTAGAGCAATGACGTTAGAGAAATCAAGCTTTGCAGAGCTGTATCAATCAAGCTGTAATCAAGCTGTTTTGCAATCAAACTGTAATACAAGTACTGTAACTACGAGCGTACGATTACTGGATTATAAATGTGCATAGTGTATGTACATACCCGCATTCGACCTTGCAAGATTATAATATGCATGTGCTGCTTGGAATCGGAAAACCATCATGAGGAAAGCCACAGAATACAAAAGCGCCAGTGTTTTCATTGTTCCTTTGCCAGTATAAAAAATAGATGTACCAAGCCAGAAATATAAATAACACTTTGTTAATATTTTATAACTATTTTATTTGTACACAAGAGGTCAACGCCTATAACTAACTGTTTGTTGCGAATGGAAATAAACTTCTTTTTTTTTCACTGGCGTAAATGAGTAACGTATATACACAACAATTTACGCTAAATTAAAACTGCACTGCACGATCAGGTTTAGAATTACCAAACTTCAGGAAAATCTTTGCACTGAAATACTCTACAGTTACGACTTACGAGTACACCGCTACAATACCGGGTAAGACAATTATGAATACGTTTTTTTCAGCGCACACCTCCTGTAATACTGCTTTTACTTAGTACATTTCCGGTTTTTAATGGATTTAAAACTGCATGTTGATTACTTTCAAGGACACGGTCGTGCATGCGAGTATGGCTGCAGGGAAACTTACACATTACTCAGTACGTATCGCCGAAATCTGAGAATCAACAAGAAGAATTCATTAACATCCTGCTTTTGTAATGCAAAGCGCTCATGCGGTTAGTGTAGTTCTATTGCACAATTAACCATAATGGTAAAACTGTAAATTTTAATGACGCTTACCTGCAATTATTTCCACAGCAAATGTATACCCATCAGCTGCTGTTGTTGATAGTCTTCTGCGCCATTCTTACGGACTGTTTTTCTCACGCTGACAACGGTAAGAACATAAAAATGGGCTGATTGCCATTTCGTTGAACTGCATAAATTAAAGTAATATCCAGATGATGTGCTGCAGACAACACCGGCATTATTTATGCCCAAGCCAAGAAATGCGTCAAAAAGCTGTGCGGACCAGGATACGAGAATCCCTGTGCGGCACCGTGTAAATGCTGCGCAAAGGGCACAACAAATCGCGGACGCTGTTGTTTCACCCCGTCATCCAGCGCGGCCGGGGAAAATTACTATTCACATGGATTAAGTTATGTGCATCCATAAAATATGTTGGAAAATACCTTATGTTCGCCATGGTATTTGTATTTAATCAAGCTATCGAGACGAACCATATTTCACTACATTTTTGTCATCTCTGTATCAAATTTTACGTCTCTTCCGGTTTCCAGAGTATGTGCGTCATTTGAGTAACTCTCATGAACAACTCATAATACCATGTATTGCTGGTTGTAAATAAACTGCAGCACCCAAATGTATATACACTGTCTCCTTGTCAAAATCAAAATGTTTATCTTAAGACAGGCATTTTATAAACAACAGTTCGATGTTATTCACGCAATATTTATGTTGAGATAACAGTTTAGCTCAGTTTCGTTCAAAGAATGTCAAAATTCAGGCTTGCGGTAAGTATTTACCGCAAACCTGCAGGTATACGCAAGGACGTTTAAATTAAAAGTCTAGATCTGGTGTGATCGGTGTACTTTATCAATTTGATGATGCTTTACCAATATATATATTGATAATAATATATGCAAGAATATATTGGTCACGATATTATTAGTAAAACTAACCAAAAGTTTGTTCTGAATAAAGTCTTGTTTGAGTATGTATGTATTTAAATAGAATGCATTTGGCTAGAGCAGCGGAGGGCGGCCGGCATAGCACGCGTTGTATGAGTAAGTGAAAACGACTTCCGCAGTCAAAAAGTCCGGTATTGTTTGTATTTCTAGCAGTACTGAATTTACCGGTAGGGTTACTTGTATTCTGATGCAATCCGGAAAACTGCAGTAATGTACAAATGCTGTAACATAATTATTCGTAGGTTTTTCTCCAAGACAGAAATGCTAATCTGTACAAAAGAATTTTTATCTCTAAATCTTTTATGAATTATCGTACGTTAAGTACACCAAACCTGCACAATCTGTATCTGCAGAATTACAAAATTAATAATTATCATAGCTATGGAGCTATGAAATTTATTATGTCCAGCCGGAGCATTGTTGTACATCAGGCTAAATTTGTGATAATAATTTAAGCACTTTTGCTAGAATGTGCTACCCATGTCTGCAGACATTGAACACGAGAAAAACACGTTTGCACATTCGCGTGCTAACAAATTACGGCTTTAACCAAATAACCATGAACTTATAATGCGACAGCTAAACTGAAACGATCACGTGTATTAAAGATGGTAGCAGTGGTGTGCTTGTCTGCTTGACAACTCCAGTAATTTACTAAGCGCGATTGAAACAAAACAATGCGAATGATTCCGTAACGTTGCTATGTACTGGTATATATTTCCCATGGTATCGCCGCGTCTTCACGGAAGTGGAACTTTCCTTATTGGTTTGCAGGCAAAAACAACACAAAAACTGGCAACTAATTTCCTAAAATTCTTCCACAATGGTTTAAATGTCATAGATAGCTCAGCAAGTTGTTTCCCAATTCGAAGCTGCACTTTTAATAAAAACTACGGCTGATCTCTTAATACATAATTTGCATTTTCGCATCTACGATTCTGACAACTCACAGTATTACCACAGTCGGTATCGGTGTTACATGTCTGTGCTACCTTTCCGTGCCAAAATAATGGCAACACCGGTTCAGTTCTGTATGGCGATGATCATCATTTGGGCACTTTCATCGACACACTGGAGGTTAATCTATGGGCAAAATCCTTAAGTGCCTGGAACTGGTAAGTCAGCCGATTAAAGGTAGACCGTTTATTGAACAAAAAAAACCCTCTTACTTATTCATACTCGTGGAAGATTCGCATTATAGTAGATAATAATTAACTGGGATGTAACTTCAGGCTCTAGGTAACCTAGGTTGATTACACTGTTTTGCTTAAATCTTAAAATCTGTTAGCAGGAAAACATTACTTACTAAAATCACCATTAATGATTATGTACAGTAAACGTGCTGCAATGAGTGGAGTCAGTGAATTTGTAGCCAAGCACGTTAATATGCATCGCTGTTGCTGTAACTATGGCATAAAATAACCGTAAGGTCAGTTTTTACTTTCGTAATTCGTGCACTGCTGGGTTTTCTGGTTGGTTTACTTCTATTGTTTGGTTCGGACTTAAGACTTCTTTACATCTGACACGTAAGCAATATTAACACATTGAATCGTGTTGCAGATGATGGTTTAATAAACTATCAAAATTGCCGTTTACGTTTAGCCGATTAGCACCATCCTGCCATCGAGCAAAATGTGGTCCGGGCAATTTGAATCCATGCTCCGGAAACATGTGTATTTGCACAAATATTTATGGTTCTCCCAAAAGTCGTGGTTACTGCCGTTGGAAGGGATAGTACAAACACGATATTAA